AGAGTTCCAAAGGCTGGGCCTAATATTGTGTGTAAGACGTCATACAATACGTTTTGTAGTGATTCCTATGTTGTTGAAGAATATATGTTGGTCCGTGGCGTGTAATGAGGAGCAAACAGACACTGCACTTGACACATTTATGAAATTGCTTATTCTAGTTACTAATAAGCATGCACCCATTTAAGAAAATCACTGTTAACTGTTAAATCCTCATGGATTGATGAGGAATTGAAAAATGGTATGGTTGAGAGGGATGAGGCAAAAGGAATGGCAAATAAGTCTGCTGGCTGCACAACCGATTGGCAAACTTACTGCAAATTGAGAAATCATGTGACTAAACTGAATAAAAATAAGAAGAAGCTACACTATGAAACAAGGATAAATGACAAAGAATGAAAGTAAAAAGCTTTAGAGCACCTTAAATGACATTTTGGGCTGCAAAAGGCAAACTCAGCTCCATCATTCATTGAATCAGATGGCTCATTCATCACAAAACCAACTGATATTGCCAATTACTTTAATAATTTATTCATTGGCAAGATTAGCAAACTTAGGCATGACATGCCAGCAACAATTGCTGACACTACACATCCAAGGATATCTGACCAAATTATGAAAATAAGTGAAAAAAGTATTGTTGTCTATGAACAATGACAAGCCACCGGGGTCTGATAACTTGGATGGAAAATTACTCAGGATAATAGTTGACGATATTGCCACACCTATTTGCCATATTTTCTATTTAAGCCTACTAGAAAGTGTGTGCCCTCAGGCTTGGAGGGAAGCAAAAGTAATTCCGCTACCTAAGAATAGTAAAACCCCCTTTACTGGCTCAAGTAGTCGACCAATCAGCCTGTTACCAACCCTTAAACTATTGGGAAAGAATGGTGTTTGACCAGATACAATGCTATTTTACAGTAAAGAAATTGACAACAAACATTCAGCATGCTTATAGAGAAGGACATTCAATAAGCACAGCACTTACAGTGAGGGGAAAAAAGTATTTGATCCCCTGCTGATTTTGTACGTTTCCCACTGACAAAGAAATGATCAGTCTATAGTTTTAATGGTAGGTTTATTTGAACAGTGCGAGACAGAATAACAACAACAAAATCCAGAAAAACGCATGTTAAATTTTTTTAAATTGATTTACATTTTAATGAGGGAAATAAGTATTTGACCCCCTCTCAATCAGAAAGATTTCTGGCTCCCAGGTGCCTTTTATACAGGTAACGTGCTGAGATTAGGAGCACACTCTTAAAGGGAGTACTCCTAATCTCAGTTTGTTACCTGTATAAAAGACACCTGTCCACAGAAGTAATCAATCAATCAGATTCCAAACTCTCCACCATGGCCAAGACCAAAGAGCTCTCCAAGGATGTCAGGGACAAGATTGTAGACCTACACAAGGCTGGAATGGGCTACAAGACCATCGCCAAGCAGCTTGGTGAGAAGGTGACAACATTTGGTGCGATTATTCGCAAATGGAAGAAACACAAAAGAACTGTCAATCTCCCTCGGCCTGGAGCTCCATGCAAGATCTCACCTCGTGGAGTTGCAATGATCATGAGAACGGTGAGGAATCAGCCCAGAACTACACGGGAGGATCTTGTCAATGATCTCAAGGCAGCTGTTACCATAGTCACCAAGAAAACAATTGGTAACACATCACGGTATGAAGGACTGAAATGCTGCAGCGCCCACAAGGTCCCCCTGCTCAAGAAAGCACATATACAGGGCCGTCTGAAGTTTGCCAACGAACATCTGAATGATTCAGAGGAGAACTGGGTGAAAGTGTTGTGGTCAGATGAGACCAAAATCGAGCTCTTTGGCATCAACTCAACTCGCCGTTTTTGGAGGAGGAGGAATGCTGCCTATGACCCCAAGAACACCATCCCCACCGTCAAACATGGAGGTGGAAACATTATGCTTTGGGGGTGTTTTTCTGCTAAGGGGACAGGACAACTTGAACACATCAAAGGGACGATGGACGGGGCCATGTACCGTCAAATCTTGGGTGAGAACCTCCTTCCCTCAGCCAGGGCATTGAAAATGGGTCGTGGATGGGTATTCCAGCATGACAATGACCCAAAACACACAGCCAAGGCAACAAAGGAGTGGCTCAAGAAGAAGCACATTAAGGTCCTGGAGTGGCCTAGCCAGTCTCCAGACCTTAATCCCATAGAAAATCTGTGGAGGGAGCTGAAGGTTCGAGTTGCCAAACGTCAGCCTCGAAACCTTAATGACTTGGAGAAGATCTGCAAAGAGGAGTGGAACAAAATCCCTCCTGAAATGTGTGCAAACCTGGTGGCCAACTACAAGAAATGTCTGACATCTGTAATTGCCAACAAGGGTTTTGCCACCAAATACTAAGTCATGTTTTGCAGAGGGGTCAAATACTTATTTCCCTCATTAAAATGCAAATCAATTTATAACATTTTTGACATATGTTTTTCTGGATTTTTTTTGTTGTTATTCTGTCTCTCACTTTTCAAATAAACCTACCATTAAAATTATAGACTGATCATTTCTTTGTCAGTGGGCAAACGTACAAATTCAGCAGGGGATCAAATACTTTTTTCCCTCACTGTACACAAATGACTGATGATTGGCTGAGAGAAATTTATGATAAAAAGATTGGGGGCTGTTTTGTTAGACTTCAGTGCGGCTTTTGACATTATCGATCATAGTCTGCTGCTGGAAAAACGTATGTGTTATGGCTTAACACCCCCTGCTATAATGTGGATAAAGAGTTACTTCTCTAACAGAATGGAAGCCTCTCAAACTTAATCCAGGTAGAATCAGGAATTCCCCAGGGCAGTTGTTTAGGCCCCTTACTTTTGTCCATCATTTACTAACGACATGCCACTGGCTTTGAGTAAAGTCAGAGTGTCTATGTATGCGGATGACTCAACACTATACACGTCAGCTACAACAGCAACTGAAATAACTGCAACACTTAACAAAGAGTTGCAGTTAGTTTCGGAATGGGTGGCAACGAATAAGTTAGTCCTAAATATTTCCAAAACTAAAAGCATTGTATTTGGGTCAAATCGTTCACTGAACCCTAAACCTCAACTATATCTCGTAATGAATATTGTGGAAATTGAGCAAGTTGAGGTGACTAAACTGCTTGGAGTAACCCTGGATTGTAAACTGTCATGGTCAAAGCATATTGATACAACAGTAGCTAAGATGGGGAGAAGTATGTCCATAATTAAGCGCTGCTCTGCCTTCTTAACAGCACTATCAACAAGGCAGGTCCTACAGGCCCTAGTTTTGTCGCACCTGGACTACTGTTCAGTCGTGTGGTCAGGTGCCACAAAGAGGGACTTGGGAAAATTGCAGTTGGCTCAGAACAGGGCAGCACGGCTGGCCCTTAAAAGTACACATAGAGCTAACATTAATGACATGCATGTCAGTCTCTCCTGGCTTAGAGTGGAAGAGAGATTGACTTCATCACTGCTTGTTTTTGTAAGAGGTGTTGACAAGCTGAATGCACCGAGCTGTGTGTTTGGAATACTGGCATACAGCTCGGACACCCATGCATACCCCACAAGACATGCCACCAGAGGTCTCTTCACAGTCCCCAAGTCCATAACAGACTATGGGAGGCGCACAGTACTACATAGAGCCATGACTACATGGAACTCTATTCCACATCAGGTAACTGATGCAAGCAATAGAATCAGATTTAAAAAAACTGGTAAAAATACACCTTATGGAACAATGGGGACTGTGAAGAGACACACACAAAGGTACAGACACATGCATACGCACACATTGTGATATTGTTGTATGGTGGTATTAAACATTTTGTATTGTAGATAGGTAGTGGTGTAATAATGTTAAATTATGTACTGTTTTATATTTTGTTTTATATGTAAGTGTTTTAATATGTTTGGACCCCAGGAAGAATAGCTGCTGCCTTGACATCAATAAGGGAACACAGCTTTCGTCCTAATATTTATATATTTCTTAATTCCATTCTTTTGCTTTTAGATGTGTGTATTGTTAGATATTACTGCACTGTTGGAGCTAGGAACACAAGCATTTCACTACACCCACAGTAACATCTGCTAAATATCTGTATGTGACCAATAAAATTTGATTTGAAGGGATCATAGCTTTCACCTGGATTCACCTGGTCAGTCTATGTCATGAACGAGCAGGTGTTCTTTAATGGTCAGTCAGGTGTTATGCAATAAGCCATGTCAGGTCATGAGGATATTCATTCATATTCATTGAATTCACATTGAATTGAAAAGAGAACAGAAATGGATTATGTTTTGGAGTCAGTGTCATCCTGAATGACAGGTTGCTGGCAGCTCAACAATAGGTTGTTTGTCTGACTGAGACGGATGGATTAGCTCATAGCTCAAAAATGTATGCACACATGACTGTAAGTCGCTTTGGATAAAAGCGTCTGCTAAATGGCATATTATTATTATTATGTGTGTGTGTGTGTGTATTGCGTCACTCACACAGCAGAGGACAAAACTGCATTTTTTGGGGGGATAAAACTGCAGTTCCTCACAATAAAATGACAGCTCTTAATTAAGTTTGTTTTAAAAGTCAGTCAGTCAGCTCGTTCTCAAATCTGTCTACACTGTCTCAGAGTTAATTTGATTAAAGCCTCCTACAGTAAATCATCTCTACTAACAACTACAGTCAGTTTGATTCATAAATGAGGAAGGCCTACAAGTGGGGGGGGGATTTCTCTCTCTCACTCTCATTTTACAGACACTGATTTTTATCTCATATCACTAATTTGATGATCCCATACCTGTTATATATTTGCTCTATTTGATAAACGGTAATTGTCCTTCAACTTGTAGGATCTGAAATAAGATATAATATAATAACCATTTTATAAATCTGGCAATATGAAAGAGATATTATAGCTTAGAAATAGAAAGATTACAATGGGACAAAGCTCCTTAAAGCATAAAACTCAGAGATTCTACATCTATGATTTAATTCTACCTATGTCTGAGAAAATGGTTTTGCTCTCTGACCCCTCTGTAGTTTGCTGTCATGAGAAGACACACTCGCATGCGGAGGACGAGCTCTTCAAGAAGCTCTTCATCGGGTACAACAAGTGGTCCAGACCCGTACCCAACATCTCAGACGTGGTCATCGTCAAGTTCGGCCTCTCCATAGCACAGCTCATCGATGTGGTGAGTAGTGACTGACAGGACCAGGAAGAAACAGGGAAAACAGTAACAAACAGAAAAAGACCAATTGAATGGAGAGGAGAAGGGGCTTTTATTTTTATATATATACATACAGTGGGGAGAACAAGTATTTGCTGCTGATTTTGCAGGTTTTCCTACTTACAAATCATGTAGAGGTCTGTAATTTTTATCATAGGTACACTTCAACTGTGAGAGACAGAATCTAAAACAAAAATCCAGAAAATCACATTGTATGATTTTTAAGTAATTAATTTGCATTTTATTGCATGACATAAGTATTTGATACATCAGAAAAGCAGAACTTAATATTTGGTACAGAAACCTTTGTTTTCAATTACAGAGAAAACACAATTACAGAGGAAGGCCACCAAAAATTCTGAAATTTCCATCCCCAACTATAACATTTTCCGTCTAGATAGAACTGCCAAAGGGGGTGGAGTTGCAATCTACTGTAGAGATAGCCTGCAGAGCTCTATCATACTATCCAGGTCTGTGCCCAAACAGTTTGAGCTTCTACTTCTAAAAATCCACCTTTCCAGAAATAAGTCTCTCACTGTTGCCGCTTGCTACAGACCCCCCTCAGCCCCCAGCTGTGCCCTGGACACCATATGTGAATTGATTGCCCCCCATTTATCCTCTGAGTTTGTACTGCTTGGTGACCTAAATTGGGATATGTTTAATACCCCAGCCATCCTACAATCCAAGCTAGATGCCCTCAACCTCACGCAAATTATCAACGAACCTACCAGGTACAACCCTAAATCCTTAAACATGGGTACCCTCATAGATATCATCCTGACTAACATACCCTCTAAATACACCTCAGCTGTCTTCAACCAGGATCTCAGCGATCACTGCCTTATTGCCTGCGTCCGTAACGGGTCTGCGGTCAAACGACCACCCCTCATCACTGTCAAACGCTCCCTAAAACACTTTAGCGAGGAGGCCTTCCTAATTGACCTGGCCCAGGTATCCTGGATGGATATAGATCTCATTCCGTCAGTAGAGGATGCCTGGTTGTTCCTTAAAAGTAATTTCCTCTCAATCTTAAATAAACATGCCCCATTCAAAAAATACAGAACTAAGAACCGATATAGCCCCTGGTTCTCCTCAGACTTGACTGCCCTTGACCAGCACAAAAACATCCTGTGGCGTACAGCATTAGCATCAAATAGCCCCCGCGATATGCAACTTTTCAGGGAAGTTAGGAACCAATATACACAAGCAGTCAGGAAAGCAAAGGCTAACCTTTTCAAACAGAAATTTGCATCCTGTAGCACTAACTCCAAAAAGTTTTGGGACACTGTAAAGTCCATGGAGAATAAGAGCACTTCCTCCCAGCTGCCCACTGCACTGAGGCTAGGAAACACTATCACCACCGATAAATCTACATTAATCGAGAATTTCAACAAGCATTTTGCTACAGCTGGCCATGCTTTCCATCTGGCTACCACTAACCCGGCCACCAACTCTGCACCCTCTGCTGCAACTTGCCCATGCCCCCCCCCCGCTTCTCCTTCACACAAATTCAGACAGCTGATGTTTTGAAAGCGCTGCAAAATCTGGACCCCTACAAATCAGCTGGGCTAGACAATCTGGACTCTTTCTTTCTAAAACTAGCCGCCGAAATTGTCGCAACCCCTATTACTAGTCTGTTCAACCTCTCTTTCATAACGTCTGAGATCCCCAGAGATTGGAAAGCTGCCGCGGTCATCCCCCTCTTCAAGGGGGGGTGACACTCTAGATCCAAACTGCTACAGACCTATATCCATCCTGCCCTGCCTTTCGAAAGTATTCGAAAGCCAAGTTAACAAACAGATCATCGACCATTTCGAATACCACCGTACCTTCTCCGCTATGCAATCCGGTTTCCGAGCTGGTCACGGGTGCACTTCAGCCACGCTCAAGGTCCTAAACGATATTATAACCACGATTGATAATAGACAGTACTGTGCAGCCGTCTTCATCGACCTGGCCAAGGCTTTCGACTCTGTCAACCACCGCATTCTTATTGGCAGACTAAATAGCCTTGGTTTCTCAAATGACTGCCTCGCCTGGTTCACCAACTACTTCTCAGATAGAGTTCAGTGTGTCAAATCGGAGGGCCTGTTGTCTGGACCTATGGCAGTCTCTATGGGGGTGCCACAGGGTTCAATTCTTGGGCCGACACTTTTCTCCGTGTATATCAATGATGTCGCTCTTGCTGCTGGTGACTCTCAGATCCACCTCTACGCAGACGACACCATTTTGTATACATCTGGCCCTTCATTGGACACTGTGTTAACAAACCTCCAAATGAGCTTCAATGCCATACAACAATCCTTCAGTAGCCTTCAACTGCTCTTAAACACTAGTAAAACTAAATGCATGCTTTTCAATCGAACGCTGCTAGCACCCCGCCCACCCGACTAGAATCACCACTCTCGACGGGTCTGACCTAGAGTATGTGGACAACTACAAATATCTAGGTGTCTGGTTAGACTGTAAACTCAACTTCCAGACTCACATAAAGAATCTCCAATCCAAAGTTAAATCTAGAATCGGCTTCCTATTTCGCAACAAAGCCTCCTTCACTCATGCTGCCAAACATGCCCTCGTAAAACTGACTATCCTACCGATCCTTGACTTCGGCGATGTCATTTACAAAATAGCCTCCAACACTCTACTCAGCAAATTGGATGTAGTCTATCACAGTGCCATCCGTTTTGTCTCCAAAGCCCCATACACTACCCACCACTGTGACCTGTACGCTCTTGTTGGCTGGTCCTCACTACATGTTCGTCGTCAAACCCACTGGCTCCAGGCCATCTATAAATCACTGCTAGGCAAATCCCCGCCTTATCTTAGCTCATTGGTCACCATAGCAGCACCCACCCGTAGTCTGCGCTTCAGCAGGTATATCTCACTGGTCATTCCCAAAGCCAACACCTCCTTTGGCCGCCATTCCTTCCAGTTCTCTGCTGCCAATGACTGGAACGAATTGCAAAAATCTCTGAAGCTGGAGACTCTTATCTCCCTCAATAACTTTAAGCATCAGTTGTCAGAGCACCTTACCGATCACTGCACCTGTACACAGCCCATCTGAAATTAGCCCACCCAACTACCTCATCCCTATATTGTTATTTATTTTGCTCTTTTGCACCCCAGTATCTCTATTTGCACATCATCTCTTGCACATCTAGCATTCCAGTGTTAATACTATTGTAATTATTCTGCACTATAGCCTATTTATTGCCTTACCTCCATAACTTGCTACATTTGCACACACTGTATATATATTTTCTGTTGTATTTCTGACTTTATGTTTTTTTACCCCATATGTAACTTATTGCACTACTTTGCTTTATCTTGGCCAGGTCGCAGTTGTAAATGAGAACCTGTTCTCAACTGGCTTACCTGGTTAAATAAAGGTGAAATAAAATAAAATAAAATGTTTCCTGTAGGTCTTGTCCAGGTTTGCACACACTGCAGCAGGGATTTTGGCCCACTCCTCCATACAGACCTTCTCCAGATCCTTCAGGTTTCGGGGTTGTCGCTGGGCAATACAGACTTTCAACTCCCTCCAAAGATTTTCTATTGGGTTCAGGTCTGGGGACTGGCTAGGCCACTCCAGGACCTTGAGATGTTTCTTACGGAGCCACTCCTTAGTTGCCCTGGCTGTGTGTTTCGGGTCGTTGTCATGCTGGAAGACCCAGCCACGACCCATCTTCAATGCTCTTACTGAGGGAAGGAGGTTGTTGGCCAAGATCTCGCGATACATGGCCCCATCCATCCTCCCCTCAATACGGTGCAGTCGTCCTGTCCCCTTTGCAGAAAAGCATCCCCAAAGAATGATGTTTCCACCTCCATGCTTCACGGTTGGGATGGTGTTCTTGAGGTTGTACTCATCCTTCTTCTTCCTCCAAACACAGCGAGTGGAGTTTAGACCAAAAAGCTCTATTTTTGTCTCATCAGACCACATGACCTTCTCCCATTCCTCCTCTGGATCATCCAGATGGTCATTGGCAAACTTCAGAGGCCCCCCCCCCCCAAAAAAAATGCATTTTAATTCCAGGTTGTAAGGCAACAAAAATAGGAAAAATGCCAAGGGGGGTAAATACTTTCGCAAGCCACTGTATATTCATTGAAAAATCTCACAATGTTACCCAATGAGTCCTAAATCACACCCTAGTATTACTTCTGACCATTTGGCCATTTACACAGGTAAAGTTACTTCAATTGGCAAGTTTTTCTGAACTTGCTAAACAGACTTTGCTAAATTAACTCTTTCAGCGAACTGAAACAAATCTCCATCAGTCAGGAGCAGAGTAAAGGCGTGAAAAACAACCAATCACACGATCCTTCAGTCAATGACTACAGCCTTCAACCAATCACACGATCCTTCAGTCAATGACTACAGCCTTCAACCAATCACACGATCCTTCAGTCAGTAACTACAGACAAGTCTTTCATAGAAGCATGGCCACAGTTTAAGAGTGGCAGGTGTTTGACTTTACATTGTTACACAAACTTTCTCTCACACTCTCAATCTCTCCGTCTCTCGGTCTCTCAGTCTCTCTTCCTCTCTCTAGTTCGTGTCCTTGTGCTTCTCTCTCAGTGTATATTTATAAAGGTACACACTGAGTGTACAAAACATTAGAAACACCTGCTCTTTCCATGACAGACTGACCAGGTGAATCGAGGTGAAAGCTATGATCCCTTCTTGTCACTTGCTAAATCCATTTCAATCAGTGTAGATGAAGGGGAGTAGACAGATTAAACAAGGATTTTTAAGCCTTGAGACATGGATTGTGTATCCTCTGCTTTTTCCTGAAGTCCACGATCATCTCCTTTTGTTTTGTTGACGTTGAGTGAGAGGTTATTTTCCTGGCACCACACTCCCAGAGCCCTCACCTCCTCCCTGTAGGCGGTCTCATCATTGTTGGTAATCAAGTCTATTTTATTTATTTTTATTTAACCAGGTAAGCCAGTTGAGAACAAGTTCTCATTTACAACTGCGACCTGGCCAAGATAAAGCAAAGCAGTGCGATAAAAACAACAACACAGAGTTACATATGGGGTAAAACAAAACAAAGTCAAAAATACAACAGAAAAAAAATATATATATATACAGTGTGTGCAAATGTAGCAAGTTATGGAGGTAAGGCAATAAATAGGCTATAGTGCAAAATAATTACAATTAGTATTAACACTGGAATGATAGATGTGCAAATAGAGATACTGGGGTACAAATGAGCAAAATAAATAACAATATAGGGATGAGGTAGTTGGGCGGGCTAATTTCAGATGGGCTGTGTACAGGTGCAGTGATCGGTAAGGTGCTCTGACAACTGATGCTTAAAGTTAGTGAGGGAGATAAGTGTCTCCAGCTTCAGAGATTTGTTCCAGTCATTGGCAGCAGAGAACTGGAAAGAATGTTGGCCAAAGGAGGTGTTGGCTTTGGGGATGACCAGTGAGATATACCTGCTGGAGCGCATACTACGGGTGGGTGTTGCTATGGTGACCAATGAGCTAAGATAAGGCGGGGATTTGCCTAGCAGTGATTTATAGATGGCCTGGAGCCAGTGGGTTTGGCGATGAATATGTAGTGAGGACCAGCCAACAAGAGCGTACAGGTCACAGTGGTGGGTAGTATATGGGGCTTTGGAGACAAAACGGATGGCACTGTGATAGACTACATCCAATTTGCTGAGTAGAGTGTTGGAGGCTATTTTGTAAATGACATCGCCGAAGTCAAGGATCGGTAGGATAGTCAGTTTTACGAGGGCATGTTTGGCAGCATGAGTGAAGGAGGCTTTGTTGCGAAATAGGAAACCAATTCTAGATTTAACTTTGGATTGGAGATTCTTAATGTGAGTCTGGAAGGAGAGTTTACAGTCTAACCAGACACCTAGGTATTTGTAGTTGTCCACATACTCTAGGTCAGACCCGTCGAGAGTAGTGATTCTAGTCGGGTGGGCGGGTGCAAGCAGCGTTCGGTTGAAGAGCATGCATTTAGTTTTACTAGTGTTTAAGAGCAGTTGGAGGCTACTGAAGGAGTGTTGTATGGCATTGAAGCTCGTTTGGAGGTTTGTTAACACAGTGTCCAATGAAGGGCCAGATGTATACAAAATGGTGTCGTCTGCGTAGAGGTGGATCTGAGAGTCACCAGCAGCAAGAGCGACATCATTGATATACACAGAGAAAAGAGTCGGCCCAAGAATTGAACCCTGTGGCACCCCCATAGAGACTGCCATAGGTCCAGACAACAGGCCCTCCGATTTGACACATTGAACTCTATCTGAGAAATAGTTGGTGAACCAGGCGAGGCAGTCATTTGAGAAACCAAGGCTATTTAGTCTGCCAATAAGAATGCAGTGGTTGACAGAGTCGAAAGCCTTGGCCAGGTCAATGAAAACGGCTGCACAGTACTGTCTATTATCGATCGCGGTTATAATATCGTTTAGGACCTTGAGCGTGGCTGAAGTGCACCCATGACCAGCTCGGAAACCGGATTGCATAGCGGAGAAGGTACGGTGGGATTCGAAATGGTCGGTGATCTGTTTGTTAACTTTGCTTTCAAAAACTTTTGAAAGGCAGGGCAGGATGGATATGGGTCTGTAACAGTTTGGATCTAGAGTGTCACCCCCTTTGAAGAGGGGGATGACCGCGGCAGCTTTCCAATCTCTGGGGATCTCAGACGTTACGAAAGAGAGGTTGAACAGGCTAGTAATATGGGTTGCGACAATTTCGGCGGCTAGTTTTAGAAAGAAAGGGTCCAGATTGTCTAGCCCAGATGATTTGTAGGGGTCCAGATTTTGCAGCTCTTTCAGAACATCAGCTGTCTGGATTTGTGTGAAGGAGAAGCGGGGGGGGGGGGGCATGGGCAAGTTGCAGCGGAGGGTGCAGAGCTGGTGGCCGGGGTAGTGGTAGCCAGGTGGAAAGCATGGCCAGCCGTAGCAAAATGCTTGTTGAAATTCTCGATTATTGTAGATTTATCGGTGGTGATAGTGTTTCCTAGCCTCAGTGCAGTGGGCAGCTGGGAGGAAGTGCTCTTATTCTCCATGGACTTTAGTGTCCCAAAACTTTTTGGAGTTAGTGCTACAGGATGCAAATTTCTGTTTGAAAAAGTTAGCCTAACTTCCCTGAAAAGTTGCATATCGCGGGGGCTATTTGATGCTAATGCAGTACGCCACAGGATGTTTTTGTGCTGGTCAAGGGCAGTCAAGTCTGAGGAGAACCAGGGGCTATATCGGTTCTTAGTTCTGTATTTTTTGAATGGGGCATGTTTATTTAAGATTGAGAGGAAATTACTTTTAAAGAACAACCAGGCATCCTCTACTGACGGAATGAGATCTATATCCATCCACGATACCTGGGCCAGGTCAATTAGGAAAGCCTGCTCGCTGAAGTGTTTTTGGGAGCGTTTGACAGTGATGAGGGGTGGTCGTTTGACCGCGGACCCGTTACGGACGCAGGCAATAAGGCAGTGATCGCTGAGATCCTGGTTGAAGACAGCGGAGGTGTATTTAGAGGGTAAGTTAGTCAGGATGATATCTATGAGGGTACCCATGTTTACGGATTTAGGGTTGTACCTGGTAGGTTCGTTGATAATTTGTGTGAGATTGAGGGCATCTAGTTTAGATTGTAGGATGGCCGGTGTGTTAAGCATATCCCAATTTAGGTCACCAAGCAGTACGAACTCTGAGGATAGATGGGGGGCAATCAATTCACATATGGTGTCCAGGGCACAGCTGGGGGCTGAGGGGGGTCTGTAGCAAGCGGCAACAGTGAGAGATTTATTTCTGGAAGGTGGATTTTTAGAAGTAGAAGCTCAAACTGTTTGGGCACAGACCTGGATAGTATGATGGAGCTCTGCAGGCTATCTCTACAGTAGATTGCAACTCCACCCCCTTTGGCAGTTCTATCTAGACGGAAAATGTTATAGTTGGGGATGGAAATTTCAGAATTTTTGGTGGCCTTCCTAAGCCAGGATTCAGACACTGCTAGAACATCAGGGTTGGCGGAGTGTGCTAACGCAGTGAATAACTCAAACTTAGGAAGGAGGCTTCTGATATTTACGTGCAGAAAACCAAGGCTTTTACGGTTACAGAAGTCAACAAATGATAGCTCCTGGGGAGTAGGAGTGATACTGGGGGCTGCAGGGCCTGGGTTAGCCTCTACATCACCAGAGGAACAGAGGAGGACTAGAATAAGGATACGACTAAAGGCTTTAAGAACTGGTCTTCTAGTGCGTTGGGTACATAGAATAAAGGGGGCAGTTCTCCGGGCGTTGTAGAAAAGATTCAGGGCATTATGTACAGAAAAGGATATGGAAGGATATGAGTACAGTTGAGGTAACCTAAGCGTTGGGTAACAATGAAAGAGATAGCATCACTGGAGGCACCGATTGAGCCGGTATCGGCGTGTATGGGGGTGGAACAAAGGAACTATTTGAGGCAGTTTGAGAGGGACTAAGGGGTTCTAACAGTGAAATTGTATAATAAGAACTAACCCAAACAGCAATAGGCAAGGCATATTGACAAGGGAGAGAGGCATAAAGCATCACAGGTGTTATTAGGACTCTCCAACCCTGTTCCTGGAGAGCTACCATCCTGTAGGTTTACACCAGGGCTCTCCAACCCTGTTCCTGGAGAGCTACCCTCCTGGAGGTTTACACCTACTGTCCTGTAGGTTTTCAGTCCAACCCCAATCTAGCGCACCTGATTCTAATAATTAGCTGATTGATAAGCTGAATCTGGGGTTGGAGTGTAAACCTACAGGACAGTAGCTTTCCAGGAACAGGGTTGGATAGCCCTGGTGTAAACCTACAGGAGGGTAGCTCTCCAGGAACAGGGTTGGAGAGCCCTGGTGTAAACCTACAGGAGGGTAGCTCTCCAGGAACAGGGTTGGAGAGCCCTGGTGTAAACCTACAGGATGGTATCTCTCCAGGAACAGGGTTGGAGAGCCCTGATGTAAACCTACAGGATGGTAGCTCTCCAGGAACAGGGTTAGAGAGTCCTGGTGTAAACCTACAGGAGGGTAGCTCTCCAGGAACAGGGTTAGAGAGCCCTGGTGTAAACCTACCGGATGGTAGCTCTCCAGGAACAGGGTTGGAGAGCCCTGGTGTAAACCTACAGGAGGGTAGCTCTCCAGGAACAGGGTTGGAGAGCCCTGATGTAAACCTAGAGGATGGTAGCTCTCCAGGAACAGGGTTGGAGAGCCTTGATGTAAACCTACAGGAGGGTAGCTCTCCAGGAACAGGGTTGGAGAGCCCTGGTGTAAACCTACAGGATGGTGTCTCTCCAGGAACAGGGTTGGAGAGCCCTGATGTAAACCTCCAGGAGGGTAGCTCTCCAGGAACAGGGTTGGAGAGCCGGCTCTACTGCATACTGTATTATGCTGAACTATACCCAGCTACCACATGACTGGTCTCTCTCTCTCTCTCTCTCTCTCTCTCTCTCTCTCTCTCTCTCTCTCTCTCTCTCTCTCGTCTCTCTCTCTCCTCTCTCTCTCTCTCTCTCTCTCTCTCTCTCTCTCTCTCTCTAGGACGAGAAGAATCAGATGATGACGACCAACGTCTGGCTGAAGCAGGTGAGGTGTTTCAGTACATTCAGTATGTATAGCATGTGTGTGACTGAGGTGTTTCAGTATGAATTACGATAATGAATTTGTTAAGGATGAATAGGCTCTTTCTGATCAGGGCACTGAACAACTTCTCGTCGTGTGTGTGTGTTCTCCTCTTAGGAGTGGAATGACTACAAACTACGCTGGAGGCCTTCTGACTATGACAACGTCACCTCCATCAGAGTCCCGTCAGAACTAATCTGGGTCCCAGACATCGTCCTCTACAACAAGTGAGTGACAGCAGACTTTGTTTGTCATCTACTGGGTTCCTGAATCATAAGCGTAACATCAGGAATGGTTGACATTTTAGTCATTTAGCAGACACTGTTATCCAGGGTGAGTTACAGGCACAATTAGGGTTAAGTGCCTTGCTCAAGGGCACATCAACAGATTCTTCAACTAGTCGGCTCAGGGATTCAATCCAGCAACCTTTCAGTTACTGGCCCAATGCTCTAAATCGCTAGGCTACCGTTTCTCAGAAGTCATTTCCCGCAACAATGAGATGACGAGGAGTGAAACAAGGTTGTCCACTATCGGCATATCTATTTATTGTGGCCATCGAGATGTTAGCTATTAAAATCAGATCCAATAATAATATCAGAGGATTAGAAATACAGGGCTTAAAAACAAAGGTGTCATTGTACGCAGATGATTCATGTTTTCTTTTAGATCCACAACTAGAATCCCTCCACAGCCTCATAGAGGATCTAGATACATTTTCTAACTTCTCTGGATTAAAACCAAATTATGACAAATGTACTATATTACGTATTGGATCACTAAAAAATACAATTTTTACATTACCATGTAGTTTACCAATAAAATGGTCTGATGGTGATGTGGATATACTCGGAATACATATCCCAAAGGAAATAAATGATCTCACTTCAATAAATTTTAATAGAAAGTTAGCAAAAATAGATAAGATCTTACTACCATGGAAAGGAAAATACCTGTCAATTTGTGGAAAAATCACCCTGATTAACTCTTTAGTATTATCCCAGTTTACCTATTTGCTTATGGTCTTGCCTACGCCTAGCAAACAGTTTTTTAAATTATATGAGAAAAAAATATTCAATTTTATTTGGAACGGCAAGCCAGACAAAATTAAAAGAGCATATTTATATAATGAATATGAATTCGGAGGACAGAAATTATTAAATATTAAAGCATTAGACCTATCACTAAAATCTTCAGTCATCCAAAAGTTATACTTAAATCCGAACTGGTTCTCAAGCAAATTAGTAAGATTGTCTCACCCACTGTTCAAGAAAGGCCTTTTTTCCCTTTATTCAGATTACAACCTCTCACTTTCAGTTATTTGAAAAGGAAATAATCTCCCAAATGTCACTATTTCCAAAACAAGCCATAGAAAGTTGGTTGCAATTTCAATTTAATCCTCCAGAAACGACAGAACAAATAATGCAACAAATATTGTGGTTAAATTCAAATATACTAATTGACAAAAAACCTTTATTTTTTGACAGAATGTTTAAAAAAGGTATAATCTTCGTAAATGATATCATCGGTAGGACTGGTGGAGTTATGTCGCACATGCAGCTAACAAAAACATATGGAAATGTCTGCTCTACCCAAAATTACAACCAAATAATTGCAGCCTTACCGCAAAAGTGGAAGAGGAAAGTTGAAGGGGGAGAAAGTAAGGAACTTGTCTGTCGGCCTTGCATTAAAGAACATAATTGGTTAAGGAAAACTGTGATAAATAAAAAAGTATATCAGTTTCACTTAAGGACCAAAGGATTGACAGCCGTCCCATATAGATTGCAAAATAGTTGGGAAGAGAGATCTTTGACGTACCGATCCCATGGCATAGTGTTTATGAACTGACACGCAAAACGACACCGGATTCAAAAATTAGAATCTTTCAATTTAAATTATTATATAAAATTCTTGCTACCAATAGAATGTTATTTATATGGGGGATACAATCTTCCCAGCTCTGCAGATTTTGCTGTGAAGAGATAGAATCATTAGATCATTTGTTTTGGTTCTGTACATTTGTAGCTTGTTTTTGGACACAGGTCCAGGAATGGCTAAAGGATTGCAATATTTACCTGGAACTAACCTTGCAGATAGCATTACTGGGTGATCTGAAAAGTCATAGTCAATCAATCAATAATATAATAATACTTTTAGCAAAAATGTTTATTTTTAATTCACAATCTGTAGAAGCAATGAGAATAGAAAGGTTCAGAACTTTTGTAAAACATCACAGTACGGTTGAAATATATATGGCAAATAGAAATCCTATATGGATGGTGTTAAGAGATAGATGGGAGGTATTGAATAGAGTTGAAGGATGGGACTAATAACAAATAACAACAAATAATAACAAAGATAGCTAATAATGTAAGCATACTGTGTCCATAATAAGTATATAGGTTGTATGTTGGGAGCTTTTGGGAAAGAGCACAGTTAGAAAGATATGGCATTTAGAAGCAAACCGGATGGACATCATGAAAATGATCGGAGAGGTTAAGAGTAGAAGTAGTTCAGGAGCAAAAAAATCAATAAATAAATATATATATATATATATATATATATATATATATATATATATATATCTATATATATATATATATATATATATATATATATATAGAATTATTGTAAAATTAACTCTGTCCATAAGGTGTAGATAGTAAGTATAGACCGTAAGTAGAGGCCTGGGCGTTGTTGTTCACTAATTTACTCCAAGTAGGGAAAGGATGGTGGGGTTGAAAAGTAATAAAGGGGAATATATATATAAAAAATAAAAATAAACATGGGGGATTGGAAGTGATGCAGACAATTACATTGATAGAAGATACAATCTATCTGCAATATTAAGCTGATCCATCCCCCCCCCCAAAAAAAATAAAAAATAAAAAAATAAAAAATGAGATGACGACTGTGATCCCTTCTACGTATTCTGGAGCATGACATCACTGACGATTACCTAGATGATATGAGTCAATATACCTGTTGTTGTTAGTGTTAATGATTGAAGCGCAGCTGTAGGCCTACTCTTGATAAAGATCTGATGTTAAACAGTAATGTACCGCCATGTTATCCTGATCCTAGCCTCCTCCCCCCCCCCGTAATATACTGCCATGTAATAACAATATTATAATATATATTATAATATAGCGACTTACAGTAATGTGCGCATACATTTTTACGTATGGGTGGTCCCGGGGATCGAACCCACTATCCTGGCGTTACAAGCGCCATGCCATCTACCAATTGAGCTACAGAGAACCACATTGAGCTACAGAGGACCACGTTATCCTGATCCTAGCCCTCCCCAGTAATATACTGCCATGTTATCCTGATCCGTGCCCTCCCCAGTAATATACTGCCATGTAATCCTGATCCGAGCCCTCCCCAGTAATATACTGCCATGTAATCCTGATAGTAGCCACCCCCAGTAATATACTGCCATGTAATCCTGATCCGAGCCCTCCCCAGTAATATACTGCCATGTAATCCTGATAGTAGCCACCCCCAGTAATATACTGCCATGTTATCCTGATCCGAGCCCTCCCCAGTAATATACTGCCATGTAATCCTGATCCGAACCCTCCCCAGTAATATACTGCCATGTAATCCTGATAGTAGCCACCCCCAGTAATATACTGCCATGTAATCCTGATAGTAGCCACCCCCAGTAATATACTGCCATGTTATCCTGATCTCAGCCCTCCCCAGTAATATACTGCCATGTTATCCTGATCCGAGCCCTCCCCAGTGATATACTGCCACATTATCCTGGTCCTAGCCACCCCAGTAATATACTGCCAAGTTATCCTGATCCGAGCCCTCCCCAGTAATATACTTCCATGTAATCCTGATCCGAGCCCTCCCAGGTAATATACTGCCATGTAATCCTGATCCGAGCCCTCCCCAGTAATATACTGCCATGTAATCCTGATAGTAGCCACCCCCAGTAATATACTGCCATGTAATCCTGATCCGAGCCCTCCCCAGTAATATACTGCCATGTAATCCTGATAGTAGCCACCCCCAGTAATATACTGCCATGTTATCCTGATCCGAGCCCTCCCCAGTAATATACTGCCATGTAATCCTGATCCGAACCCTCCCCAATAATATACTGCCATGTAATCCTGATAGTAGCCACCCCCAGTAATATACTGCCATGTAATCCTGATAGTAGCCACCCCCAGTAATATACTGCCATGTTATCCTGATCTCAGCCCTCCCCAGTAATATACTGCCATGTTATCCTGATCCGAGCCCTCCCCAGTGATATACTGCCACATTATCCTGGTCCTAGCCACCCCAGTAATATACTGCCATGTTATCCTGATCCTAGCCCTCCCCAGTAATATACTGCCAAGTTATCCTGATCCGAGCCCTCCCCGGTAATATACTGCCATGTTATCCTGATCCGAGCCCTCCCCAGTAATATACGTCCATGTAATCCTGATCCGAGCCCTCCCAGGTAATATACTGCCATGTAATCCTGATAGTAGCCACCCCCAGTAATATACTGCTATGTTATCCTGATCCTAGCCCTCCCCAGTAATATACTGCCATGTTATCCTGATCCGAGCCCTCCCCAGTAATATACTGGCATGTAATCCTGATCCGAGCCCTCCCCAGTAGTATACTGCCATGTTATCCTGATCCGAGCCCTCCCCAGTAATATACTGCCATGTAATCCTGATCCGAGCCCTCCCCAGTAATATACTGCCATGTAATCCTGATAGTAGCCACCCCCAGTAATATACTGCCATGTTATCCTGATCCTAGCCCTCCCCAGTAATATACTGGCATGTTATCCTGATCTGAGCCCTCCCCAGTAATATACTGCCATGTAATCCTGATCCGAGCCCTCCCCAGTAATATACTTCCATGTTATCCTGATCCGAGCCCTCCCCAGTAATATACTGCCATGTTATCCTGATCCTAGCCCTCCCTAGTAATATACTGCCATGTTATCCTGATCCTAGCTATCCCCAGTAATATACTGCCATGTTATCCTGATCCTAGCTATCCCCAGTAATATACTGCTATGTTATCCTGATCCTTGCCCTCCCCAGTAATATACTGCCATGTTATCCTGATCCTAGCTATCCCAGTAATATACTGCCATGTTATCCTGATCCTAGCCCTCCCCAGTAATATACTGCCATGTTATCCTGATCCTAGCCACCCCCAGTAATATACTGCCATGTTATCCTGATCCTAGCCCTCCCCAGTAATATACTGCCTTGTTATCGTGAACCTAGCCACCCCCAGTAATATACTGCCATGTTATCCTGATCGTAGTGACCCCCGGTAATATACTGCCATGTTATCCTGATCCTTGCCATCAACACTAATATACTGCCATGTTATCCTGATCAAATCAAATTTTATTGGTCATATGCGCCGAATACAACAGGTGCAGACATTACAGTGAAATGCTTACTTACAGCTCTTAACCAACAGTGCATTTATTTTTAACAAAGAAAGTAAAAATAAAACAACAACAAAAAAAGTGTTGAGAAAAAAAGAGCAGAAGTCAAATAAAATAACAGTAGGGAGGCTATATATACAGGGGGGTACCGGTGCAGAGTCAATGTGCGGGGACACCGGCTAGTTGAGGTAGTTGAAGTAATATGTACATGTGGGTAGAGTTAATGTGACTATGCATAAATAATTAACAGAGTAGCAGCAGCGTAAAAAGGATGGGGTGGGGGGGCAGTGCAAATAGTCCGGGTAGCCATGATTAGCAGTTCAGGAGTCTTATGGCTTGGGGGTAGAAGCTGTTGAGAAGTCTTTTGGACCTAGACTTGGCACTCCGGTACCGCTTGCCGTGCGGTAGCAGAGAGAACAGTCTATGACTAGGGTGGCTGGAGTCTTTGACAATTTTCTGGGCCTTCCTCTGACACCGCCTGGTATAGAGGTCCTGGATGGCAGGAAGCTTGGCCCCAGTGATGTACTGGGCCGTACGCACTACCCTCTGTAGTGCCTTTTGGTCGGAGGCCAAGCAGTTGCCATACCAGGCAGTGATGCAACCAGTCAGGATGCTCTCGATGGTGCAGCTGTAGAATTCTTTGAGGATCTGAGGACCCATGCCAAATCTTTTCAGTCTCCTGAGGGGGAATAGGCTTTGTCGTGCCCTCTTCACGACTGTCTTGGTGTGTTTGGACCATGATAGTTCGTTGGTGATGTGGACACCAAGGATCTTGAAGCTCTCAACCTGTTCCACTACAGCCCCGTCGATGAGAATGGGGGCGTGCTCAGTCCTCTTTTTTTTCCTGTAGTCCACATTCATCTCCAATCATCTCCTTTGTCTTGATCCTAGCCCTCCCCAGTAATATACTGCCATGTTATCCTCATCCCAGCGACCCCCAGTAATACACTGCCATGTTATCCTTATTCTAGCCCTCCTAAATTCATCCAATCCCTAGTAATATACTTCCATGTTATCCTGATCCTAGCGACCCCCAGTAATATACTGCCATGTTATCCTGATCCTAGCCACCCCCAGTAATATACTGCCATGTTATCCTGATCCTAGCCACCCCCAGTAATATACTGCCATGGTATCCTGATCCTAGCTACCCCCAGTAATATACTGCCATGGTATCCTGATCATTCCCTCCTACAGCCATCCCATCCCGAGTAATATACTGCCATGTTATCCTGATCCTAGCCACCCCCAGTAATATACTGCCATGGTATCCTGATCATTCCCTCCTACAGCCATCCCATCCCGAGTAATATACTGCCATGTTATCCTGATCCTGACCCTCCCCAATTATATACTGCCATGTTATCCTGATCCTAGCCCTCCCCAGTAATATACTGCCATTTATCCTGATCCTTGCCATCCCAAGTAATATACTGCCATGTTATCCTGATCCTAGCCCTCCCCAGTAATATACTGCCATGTTATCCTGATCCTAGCCCTCCCCAGTAATATACTGCCATGTTATCCTGATCTGAGCCCTCCCCAGTAATATACTGTCATGTTATCCTGATCCTAGCCCTCCCCAGTAATATACTGCCATGTTATCCTGATCCTAGACACCCCCAGTAATATACTGCCATGTTATCCTGATCCTAGCCACCCCCAGTAATATACTGCCATGTTATCCTGATCCTAGCCACCCCCAGTAACATACTGCCATGTTATCCAGATACTAGCCACCCCCAGTAATATACTGCCATGTTATCCTGATCCTAGCCACCCCCAGTAATATACTGCCATGGTATCCTGATCATTCCCTCCTACAGCCATCCCATCCCGAGTAATATACTGCCATGTTGTCCTGATCCTAACAATCCCCAGTAATATACTGCTATGTTATAATGATCATAGCCCTCCCCAGTAATATACTGCCATGTTATCCTGATCCTAGCCCTCCCCAGTAATATACTGCCATGTTATCCTGATCCTAGCCCTCCCCAGTTATATACTGCCATGTTATCCTGTACCTAGTCCTCCCCAGTAATAGACTGCCATGTTATCCTGATCCTAGACACCCCCAGTAATATACTGCCATGTTATCATTATCCTTGCTCTCCCCAGTAATATACTGCCATGTTATCCTGATCCTAGCCCTCCCCAGTAATATACTGCCATGTTATCCTGATCCTAGCCCTCCCCAGTTATATACTGCCATGTTATCCTGTACCTAGTCCTCCCCAGTAATATACTGCCATGTTATCCTGATCCTAGCCCTCCCCAGTAATATACTGCCATGTTATCCTGATCCTAGCCCTCCCCAGTTATATACTGCCATGTTATCCTGTACCTAGTCCTCCCCAGTAATAGACTGCCATGTTATCCTGATCCTAGACACCCCCAGTAATATACTGCCATGTTATCATTATCCTTGCTCTCCCCAGTAATATACTGCCATGTTATCCTGATCCTAGCCCTCCCCAGTAATATACTGCCATGTTATCCTGATCCTAACAATCCCCAGTAATATACTGCTATGTTATAATGATCATAGCCCTCCCCAGTAATATACTGCCATGTTATCCTGATCCTAGCCCTCCCCAGTTATATACTGCCATGTTATCCTGTACCTAGTCCTCCCCAGTAATAGACTGCCATGTTATCCTGATCCTAGACACCCCCAGTAATATACTGCCATGTTATCATTATCCTTGCTCTCCCCAGTAATATACTGCCATGTTATCCTGATCCTAGCCCTCCCCAGTAATATACTGCTATGTTATCCTGATCCTAGCCCTCCCCAGTTATATACTGCCATGTTATCCTGTACCTAGTCCTCCCCAGTAATAGACTGCCATGTTATCCTGATCCTAGACACCCCCAGTAATATACTGCCATGTTATCATTATCCTTGCTCTCCCCAGTAATATACTGCCATGTTATCCTGACCCTAGCCACCCCCAGTAATATACTGCCATGTTATTCTGACCCTAGCCCTCCCCAGTAATATTCTGCCATGTTATCCTGATCCTAGCCACCCCCAGTAATATACTGCCATGTTATCCTGACCCTAGTCCTCCCCAGTAATATACTGCCATGTTATCCTGATCCTAGACCTCCCCAGTAATATACTGCCATGTTATCCTGATTGTAGCTCTCCCCAGTAATATACTGCCATGTTATCCTGATCCTAGCCCTCCCCAGTAATATACTGCCATGTTATCCTGATCCTAGACCTCCCCAGTAATATACTGCCATGTTATCCTGATTGTAGCTCTCCCCAGTAATATACTGCCATGTCATCCTGATCGTAGCCCTCCCCAGTAATATACTGCCATGTTATCTTGATCCTAGCCCTCCCCAGTAATATACTGCCATGTTATCTTGATCCTATCACTCACCAGTAATATACTGCCATGTTATCTTGATCCTAGCACTCACCAGTAATATACTGCCATGTTATCCTGATCCTAGCCCTCCCCAGTAATATACTGCCATGTTATCCTGATCCTAGCCACCCCCAGTAATATACTGCCATGTTATCCTGATCCTAGCCCTCCACAGTTATATACTGCCATGTTATCCTGATCCTAGCCCTCCCCAGTAATATACTGCCATGTAATCCTGATCCGAGCCCTCCCCAGTAATATACTGCCATGTTATCCTGATCCGAGCCCTCCCCAGTAATATACTGCCATGTTATCCTGATCCTAGCCACCCCCAGTAATATACTGCCATGTTATCCTGATCCTAGCCCTCCCCAGTTATATACTGCCATGTTATCCTGATCCTAGCCCTCCCCAGTAATATACTGCCATTTATCTTGATCCTTGCCATCCCAAGTAATATACTGCCATGTTATCCTGATCCTAGCCCTCCCCAATAATATACTGCCATGTTATCCTGATCCTAGCCCTCCCCAGTAATATACTGCCATGTTATCCTGATCCTAGACACCCCCAGTAATATACTGCCATGTTATCCTGATCCTAGCCACCCCCAGTAATATACTGCCATGTTATCCTGATCCTAGCCACCCCCAGTAATATACTGCCATGTTATCCTGATCCTAGCCACCCCCAGTAATATACTGCCATGTTATCCTGATCCTAGCCACCCCCAGTAACATACTGCCATGTTATCCAGATACTAGCCACCCCCAGTAATATACTGCCATGTTATCCTGATCCTAGCCACCCCCAGTAATATACTGCCATGGTATCCTGATCATTCCCTCCTACAGCCATCCCATCCCGAGTAATATACTGCCATGTTGTCCTGATCCTAACAATCCCCAGTAATATACTGCTATGTTATAATGATCATAGCCCTCCCCAGTAATATACTGCCATGTTATCCTGATCCTAGCCCTCCCCAGTAATATACTGCCATGTTATCCTGATCCAAGCCCTCCCCAGTAATATACTGCCATGTTATCCTGATCCTAGCCCTCCCCAGTTATATACTGCCATGTTATCCTGTACCTAGTCCTCCCCAGTAATAGACTGCCATGTTATCCTGATCCTAGACACCCCCAGTAATATACTGCCATGTTATCATTATCCTTGCTCTCCCCAGTAATATACTGCCATGTTATCCTGATCCTAGCCCTCCCCAGTAATATACTGCCATGTTATCCTTATCCTAGCCCTCCCCAGTTATATACTGCCATGTTATCCTGTACCTAGTCCTCCCCAGTAATAGACTGCCATGTTATCCTGATCCTAGACAACCCCAGTAATATACTGCCATGTTATCATTATCCTTGCTCTCCCCAGTAATATACTGCCATGTTATCCTGACCCTAGCCACCCCCAGTAATATACTGCCATGTTATCCTGACCCTAGCCCTCCCCAGTAATATACTGCCATGTTATCCTGATCCTAGCCACCCCCAGTAATATACTGCCATGTTATCCTGATCCTAGACCTCCCCAGTAATATACTGCCATGTTATCCTGATCCTAGACCTCCCCAGTAATATACTGCCATGTTATCCTGATCCTAGCCCTCCCCAGTAATATACTGCCATGTTATCTTGATCCTATCACTCACCAGTAATATACTGCCATGTTATCTTGATCCTAGCCCTCCCCAGTAATATACTGCCATGTTATCCTGATCCTAGCCACCCCCAGTAATATACTGCCATGTTATCCTGATCCTAGCCCTCCACAGTTATATACTGCCATGTTATCCTGATCCTAGCCCTCCCCAGTAATATACTGCCATGTAATCCTGATCCGAGCCCTCCCCAGTAATATACTGCCATGGTATCCTGATCCGAGCCCTCCCCAGTAATATACTGCCATGTTATCCTGATCCTAGCCACCCCCAGTAATATACTGCCATGTTATCCTGATCCTAGCCACCCCCAGTAATATACTGCCATGTTATCCTGATCCTAGCCACCCCCAGTAATATACTGCCATGTTATCCTGATCCTAGCCCTCCCCAGTTATATACTGCCATGTTATCCTGATCCTAGCCCTCCCCAGTACTATACTACCATGTTATCCTGATCCTCCCCAGTAATATACTGCCATGTTATCCTGATCCTCCCCAGTAATATACTGCCATGTTATCCTGATTTTTAGCCCTCCTAACAGTTTTCTCCTCACCTAAATTAATTCTACTTTCACGGCTAAAAGTTTCAGATTAAACTCCTAGTATTTAATGACTGGGTTCCACCTCATCAAGCTCCTCTGTATGATCACTATCAGTTAGTGAAATTAAAAAGGTGTGTGTGTGTGTGAGCATGCGTGTGGGATTCGAGAAAGATGTAATGATAGACTTATCATTATGTCTCCAGAGACAGCTATTAGCAGTGCATATTAAAGCCATGATCAGGGGATGATCGTAGCACTTCAGAGGAGGAGATCAATTACAGACTGCAACAGAGGAGATACGTTCAGGAGATTGTTCCTGGAGGATCATAACGCCCTACCAAAATAATGTCTCTGAGTCATTTTGTTTTTTTTGTGTGTAAATAAATAATTTGTGAAGCGCTGATGAGGTTCCTGTCACGTTGAAATTTCAAATCCCAGCTAGCGCATAACGTTCTGAGAACCATATGTTTCTTAGGGCTTGGTGAAAGCGTGGTTGTCCTATAGTTATTTTGCATACAACCTTCCCACAACGTTCTGGGAATGGTGCATGATAGTTGCTTGGCTTTGGAACATTCTCAGCACATTTTAAGGAACTTGACAAAATAACATTTTCTTGGTATTTCATTACCTTAACAGAATGTTTCCTAAAAGTTCAATTTAACATTTCATTTCAATTTTGGTAGTGTTATAGGAACATTCTCCAACTGGTTTGGATTGGGAATGTTCTCAAATAGTTCAGAGAACGTTAAGAAACAACATACTTTTGTTGGAATTTCAGTACTTCAGCATAACGTTTTCCTACAGGCTTCCTTATGGTTCTATTTCAAAATTAACTTTCCCAGAACAGGCAACATTTTCACTTCCGTTCTCAAATTGTTTGAAAGACTTTCGGTTTTACCGGTCAGAAAATGTATGGCTTCATTCCCCGAAACCAATGGGAAACCAAAAACGTATGTTCCCACAACTTCCAAACAACCAAATATGCTAGCTGGGAAGTGGCTTTAACAGTATTGAGGGAGCTAAATTAGCAAACAATGGACTATTTACCAGATTGACAGAGTTATGTATTGGCTAGCCCTGATAGTTTCACAAATAATCTAAAAACAATCTTTATCGTGGTTTGATTATTAATCTAATAGCTACCATAATTCAATGTTTAACACCTGTACTGTACAAACCATCTCTAACTTTCTACAACAGGTTGGTCCAAACAAGCATTGTTATTGGTTGAGAAACGTTCTAAGACATGCAACAACAACAACAGCAACAACAACAACTGTTTTATTTTCTACTTAGAATCCACCGTCTCATCAGCCCAGCCAGGCAATTCATTCACTTCATCTCCACTGGAAAACGCGTCTAGACATTATTACCCATTGCTTAGCGACAACGAGGGATTGAACAAAAGTTGCCGTCTGCCTCTCCGACCTTTGCAGCATTGTTTCAAGTTTGAATAGCGCTCTCCACCCGCCCATATGAACATGTCAGGACGAGACAGACAACATTTTCCGATACTGGCGAAACCATACATCAGCATAATGTTTCTGGATATATATATACAAAGACATGACAATAGAAGAACAGGTAAAATGAAATTAAGTTTGAAGTAATTGTGTTAGCTGTGTAGTTGGCTAGAATTAACTAGAAAGGGGGAAAAGCTTGTAGTGGGTGATTTTATAAATAAATAGTCAGTGTTATGATTACAATTATTCCCCTTTCTGGATATTTGGTCCGGCAGTAGGCTACAAGTGTAGCCTGTAGTGTATTTCTGCTTAATGAGCAAGACGATCGAGGCAGTACATTCAGCACCACGGACAGCGCTATAACTGTCAGCAGCTGCACTAGCTGTGCCTGCCCATAGCAACCTGCCAGAACAAACGGTGCCAATCGAACGAACGACCTGAGGGTTTGGCTGGTAACGATGCCATTGATCTACGGTACTCGGCTGTCGCCTCGTACCTACAACAGCAACACAGCCGTGCTAATAAAAAAAATAGTTTAACAAGGCCCTTTCGTTTACAATTGCTTCAGTAACCTTTGTTCTGTTCTCCTCTTCTGCCTCCAGTGCGGACGGTGAGTTCGCCGTGACCCACATGACCAAGGCCCACCTGTTCCACAATGGGAAGGTGCGCTGGGTCCCCCCGGCCATCTATAAGTCCTCCTGTTCTATAGACGTCACCTTCTTCCCCTTTGACCAGCAGAACTGTAAGATGAAGTTTGGCTCCTGGACCTACGATAAAGCTAAGATTGACCTGGAACGCATTGAGGTATGGGGGTTGTATCAAGCAAGCAAGTAATGTTGTAAATGTGTTGTACAAGATGTATGTACAGTGTTTAGTTTTTGTACAGTAGTTCTAGATCTGTTTTGTGTTTTTGCTAACTCCATTGCTGTCAGTAGCTTTAGTTTACATCCAATTGGCGACAGATTTTCATGTTAATATTCTAGAATCCGCATAAAGAAAATGACAATTTTCCCACCAGTGGTGTTTCCACCAAACAGACTTGTCGATTATAAATCAGTGCGTGATGACGTAGTGTACACATAATGTACTTTTTCATTTAAGTTTTCAAGTACCAAATAAGTTCAATGTGTTTCCATCGCATTTTCTACGGATAGTTTTGTCACAAAAACTGTTGCGTTAAATAGCAAATGTGCCCACTCTGGTCTTGGCACGTGCGCTCTAGCCAACAGCTGGCAGATACAGTGCGGGTAGGATAGTCTACATGATGACATTATTATGGATAATCGCAATAATGTTTTAATTTGTCAAATGGCAGTCAAGCATCGATCATCATGTGACCAGAATAAGACCCTCAATATTTATTGGTTAAGGAGCATCAAGATCACCGTGCACTTTCACCACCCTGTGAAGTTCATCATAACTTATTTCATCTGTAACCTAAAACTGCATTCTTTCCCGAGTCGTAGTGGGAGGACCATACCGTATCATCACACACAACATATCATTGCGTGACTCCAAGTTTACTTCGATACGATGGTTATTATATCTATTTTTGCGCATAAAGGCATTTCCACCGCCATTTCTCGCATAATACATTTTACCGACACAAAAACACCCCACCATGTCGAACAAAGAAATAGTCTGTCTGCATTTATAAAATTGTACCGCAACTTCCTGTTGCCATCACAGCTGTCGTAATTTAGTTTTTATATGCTATCACTTTACATGCATAAAAACTGCGTGTAAAGTACATGTTGGATAAAACGTTTAATGACAGGCCTGACGGAAACAGAACATTTCTTGGTAAACTTTCCAAATGTAAACAAAACAAAAAAGGTGGGATCTTTGTGTCTGTAAAATTAATTATGTGAGAAATGTCGGTGGAAAGGCTTATGTAAAAATATTGATATGATAACCATCATATCAAAGTAACCTTGGGAGTCACGCGATGACGTGTGGTCCTCCCACTACGACTCGTCGGGAAAGTATGCAGTTTATTAGGCTACAGATGAAATAAGTTATGATCAACTTCACAGGGTGATGAAAGTGCACGGTGATGAGCTTGATGCTCCTTTCCAATAAAACTCGAGGGTCTTATTCTGGTGACATGATCATTGATGCTTGGCTGCATTTTGACAAATCTCGCTCTTTTGTCAATAATAATAATCTCATCATGCAGGCTATACCTAGAGGTGGAAAAAGTACCCATTTGTCATACTTGAGTAAAATAAAAAGATACCTTAATAGAAAATGACTCAAGTAAAGTGACAGTAAAATACTACTTGACTAAAAGTCTAAAAGTATTTGGTTTTAAATATACAGTGCATTCGGAAAGCATTCAGACCCCTTGACTTTTTCCACATTTTGTAACATTACAGCCTTATTCTAAAATTGATTAAATCGTTCCCCCGGGCTGTCATGTGCCTTTTACTGAGGAGTGGCCTCCGTCTGGCCACTCTACCATAACAGCCTGATTGGTGTAGTGCTGAAGAGATGGTTGTCCTTCTGGAAGGTTCTGCCATCTCCACAGAGGAACTCTGGAGCTCTGTCAGAGTGACCATCAGGTTCTTGGTCACCTCCTTGACCAAGGCCCTTCTCCTCCGATTGCTCAGTTTGTCCGGGCGGCCAGCTCTAGGAAGAGTCTTGGTGGTTCCAAACTTCTTCCATTTAAGAATGGTGGAGGCCACTGTTCTTGGGGACCTTCAATACTGCAGAAATGTTTTGGTACCATTCCCCAGATCTGTGCCTGTCTCGGAGCTCTACGGACAATTCCTTCGACATCATGGCTTGGTTTTTGCTCTGACATACACTGTCAACTGTGGGACCTTATATAAACAGGTGTGTGCCTTTCCAAGTCCAATCAATTGAATTTACACAGGTGGACTCCAATCAAGTTGTAGAAACATCTCAAGGATGATCAATGGAAACAGGATGCACCTGAAAATTAGCAAACATTTCTAAAAACCTGTTGTCGCTTTGTCATTATGGTGTATTGTGTGTAGATTGATGGAAAACAATTATTTAATCCATTTTAGAATAAGGCTTTAAAGTAACAAAATGTGGAAAAAGGGAAGGAGTCTGAATAGTTTCCAAATGCAGTTGCTAAAATATACTTAAGTATGAAAAGTAAAAGTATAAATCAATTCACATTCCTTATATTAAGCAAACCAAATGGCACGAAATTGTAATTGTAACTTTATTTAATGCACATATTGTTTTTATGCGGATTTTATTCATATTCGCGTGAAAATCTGTCGCCAGTTGGATGGAAACCTAGCTAGTGTCAAGCCACACAGAGAGCAGAATTTACTGGCACCAGAGAAGTCTGTGACAGAATCACACTGGCACCAGAGAAGTCTGTGACAGAATCACACTGGCACCAGAGAAGTCTGACAGAATTACACTGGCACCAGAGAAGTCTGACAGAATTACACTGGCACCAGAGAAGTCTGACAGAATTACACTGGCACCAGAGAAGTCTGACAGAATCACACTGGCACCAGAGAAGTCTGTGACAGAATCACACTGGCACCAGAGAAGTCTGTGACAGAATCACACTGGCACCAGAGAAGTCTGACAGAATCACACTGGCACCAGAGAAGTCTGTGACAGAATCACACTGGCACCAGAGAAGTCTGCAACAGAATCACACTGGCACCAGAGAAGTCTGTGACAGAATCACACTGGCACCAGAGAAGTCTGCGACAGAATCACACTGGCACCAGAGAAGTCTGACAGAATCACACTGGCACCAGAGAAGTCTGCGACAGAATCACACTGGCACCAGAGAAGTCTGACAGAATCACACTGGCACCAGAGAAGTCTGCGACAGAATCACACTGGCACCAGAGAAGTCTGACAGAATCACACTGGCACCAGAGAAGTCTGCGACAGAATCACACTGGCACCAGAGAAGTCTGCGACAGAATCACACTGGCACCAGAGAAGTCTGTGACAGAATCACACTGGCACCAGAGAAGTCTGCGACAGAATCACACTGGCACCAGAGAAGTCTGTGACAGAATCACACTGGCACCAGAGAAGTCTGTGACAGAATCACACTGGCACCAGAGAAGTCTGCGACAGAATCACACTGGCACCAGAGAAGTCTGTGACAGAACCACACTGGCACCAGAGAAGTCTGTGACAGAACCACACTGGCACCAGAGAAGTCTGTGACAATTTTCCCCAAAGGGACACCAAAGTACATCTCTATCCCCTAGAACACTGTGGATCTGAACCACTATATTTATACAGTATGATATAAGCTTATAGATGACTTGTGAAGCATCTATGTAGTTCTTGTGATGCCTTTATGTATGCCATATGAAGCCTTTTATAGAGTGGGACGGTTGATCTCTATCCCCTAGAACACTGTGGATCTGAACAACTACTGGGAGAGTGGAGAGTGGGCCATCATCAATGCAGTGGGAACATACAACACCAAGAAGTACGACTGCTGTCATGAGATCTACCCTGATATCACATACTTCTTCATCATCAGACGGCTGCCTCTCTTCTACACCATCAACCTGATCATCCCCTGTCTGCTCATCTCCTGTCTCACCGTCCTAGTCTTCTATCTCCCTTCAGGTAGGTCCTGGTCTTCTGTCTCCCCTCAGGTAGGTCCTGGTCTCCTGTCTCCCCTCAGGTAGGTCCTGGTCTTCTGTCTCCCCTCAGGTAGGTCCTGGTCTTCTGTCTCCCCTCAGGTAGGTCCTGGTCTTCTGTCTCCCCTCAGGTAGGTCCTGGTCTTCTGTCTCCCCTCAGGTAGGTCCTGGTCTTCTGTCTCCCCTCAGGTAGGTCCTGGTCTTCTATCTCCCTTCAGGTAGGTCCTGGTCTTCTGTCTCCCCTCAGGTAGGTCCTGGTCTTGGCTCCCCTAGGTGTCCTGGTCTTCTGTCTCCCCTCAGGTAGGTCCTGGTCTTCTGTCTCCCCTCAGGTAGGTCCTGGTCTTCTGTCTCCCCTCAGGTAGGTCCTGGTCTTCTGTCTCCCCTCAGGTAGGTCCTGGTCTCCCCTCAGGTAGGTCCTGGTCTTCTGTCTCCCCTCAGGTAGGTCCTGGTCTTCTGTCTCCCCTCAGGTAGGTCCTGGTCTTCTGTCTCCCCTCAGGTAGGTCCTGGTCTCCCCTCAGGTAGGTCCTGGTCTTCCATCGCCCCTCAGGTAGGTCCTGGTCTCAGGTAGGTCTAAGTAGGTTAATAGAGGGAAGCTGTAAATATTCGGAATGTTACCGGTGTGAAACGGCTATCTAGTTAGCGGTGACGCTATTAGCGTTTCAATCGGTGACGTCACTCGCTCAGACCATGAAGTATTTGTTGTTTCCCTTGCTCTGCAAGAGCCGCAGCTTTTTTGGAGCGATAAGTAACGATGCTTTGTTGGTGACTGTTGTTCAATGTGTTCAGAGGGTCGTGCCTAGGTTGGGGCAAGAGAAACGGAAGCAAAACTGTTTCAATTTTAGCTAACATCCCCATCTAGTGGAGCTGTTGGAACATCACAGGTTGTTACAACTGAAAATAGTCCAGATTTGACATACATATTGTATATTTATTTGTTTATGTTAGTAACAGTTACAGAAATTCAATAAAATGTTATATGCAATTAAAACAAAATGAATTTCTCTAAGCTGACCATTCACAATGGACAGAAATTAAAAACCAAACGTTTATTTCATCACCCAAACATGGCATAATAAATGTCTGCATCCATACTGCACGCAAGAAAGAAAAAAAGGTACGTTAAAAAGCGAAATAAAATCTATCAGATGGACATCAACTGTAAAAACATTTATATCCTATTTTACTCGATCAATAAAGCTACAGACAGTTTAGAAGTCTTAGTCCAGCACTGGGAGAAGAGTAGGGAACAAGGGGTCTTTCCTCCAGACCTGAAGCTCAATACCGGAGGCTTTCTTTAAGTTCTATACAGAGAACAAAACAACAACAACACGCACATCAGACAACATGACAGACCATTCACTCATTCTATAGAAGACCTTTAAAGATTAAATTGTTGAAAGGGGTTTATATGGACAAGATTATTACGTCAAAGGTCTATTTATGACCTGATTCCCTTTCAGTTCACAGATCTGAAGGACGTAAATCAGTTAATGTAATTTATCTAATGCTCAAAAAGGAACCAATCCCTGTGATTCTCACCTGCTGGTGGGCGGTTCTTCCTGGTTTTGTAAATAGTAACTATGGCAACCATGACGGTCAGTGCCACAAAGACAACTATGTCGATGGACAGCTGGACACCGTTACTGGTACCTGGCACCATGATGGTCTGTGCCAGAAAGACAACTATGTCGATAAACAACTGGACACCGTCAGTGGTACCTGGACAATAGGACAGACAGTGATCAAACACAAACCTTGATGTATTCAACACAGAAACTGTTTTAAGTGAGAAGTAGGAAGATGTAAAGCAAGGTGTTTAACACAAAGCAGCCACTAGAGGATTCTAATTACCAACAATATTTTACATTTTACATTTTAGTCATTTAGCAGACGCTCTTATCCAGAGCGACTTACAGGAGCAATTAGGGTTAAGTGCCTTGCTCAAGGGCACGTCGACAGATTTTTCCACCTAGTCGGCTCGGTGAATTAGAACCAGCGACCTTTCGGTTACTGGCACAACGCTCTTAACCACTAAGCTACCTGCCGCCTTTTATCCCTGAATGATGTTCATGAGCTGAGAAAAGCTTCCCCTTTTTGAACATGATCATTTCTAGTTGTGCATAAATGAAGACTTTGGTTGTTCAGACTATCTACTAAATAACATCTTACCAAGTGCACCTGGAGAAGTGGAATTTGGCTTCACAGAGGGAGCAGGACTTGGGCCTGTTGGTCACATTAGAAAGTAGGTGAATATCAGCGGTGGCTGGTGGCACTTAAAATTAGAGGACGGGCTCACAGTAATGGCTGGAACGGAATGGTATCAAACACATTAAACGTGTGGTTCCCATGTTGATAACATTCCACTCCAGTCATTATTATAATAATAATAATAATAATAATATGCCATTTAGCAGACGCTTTTATCCAAAGCGACTTACAGTCATGCGTGCATACATTTTTTTGTGTATGGGTGGTCCCGGGGATCGAACCCACTACCTTTTGCGTTACAAGCGCCGTGCTCTACCAGCTGAGCTACAGAGGACCACGTTATGAGCCCGTCCTCCCCTCACCACCCTTCTCTGGAATACGGACAACCGATTTTGCAGTCAAAGGCTGATTTTATGACTAGTTGATGATGAAATGGGAGATATCTATGTGATAACGTCTACCTGATAATGTGAAGTCCTGGAAGGTCTTCACTTCTCCATGGTTCTCCGCCTGACACCTCCACTTCCTGTTGTTGTCCTTCCTCTGGAGGGTCACAGTCAGAGTGATGTCACAGTCAGTCGTCTTTGTGAGCTGGTATCTGGAGTCCCCCTGCAGCTCGGTACCGGCCTCATCCACCCAGCTCAGTCTATCATATAAGAAACAGCTTCCAGTTCCACCCCAGGTGGTCTGAACGCACCTTAAGGTCACCGGTCGATCAGGCTTTAGATCCATCACTGGGGTGGACAATGACACTAAGACAGAAAATAAGATATTTTAACTTAACCGTTACATGCAATACATGTATTAAAGTATTCCTTTGACTAAAAAACCCACTGGGTTGAAACAGTAATACTCACTGGTTAGAAGAATCAGATTCACGAAAGCGACCTCTCCGTGTTGTGGTCCACCCTCTGTGAGGTATTGTAGACACTGGTATTGTCCAGCATCCTCAGCTCTGACTTTCTGAACGTGGAGAGAGCAGTCAGACTCCACCCTCAGTCTCTCAGCTCTCGCCGAGGTTTCTGTTCTAATCTGTCCTCCACGAACCAACTCAGTGATGGGCTGCGGAGATCTCCAAAAGAGCCATGTAGTTGACGAGCAGTTTGGATAAACCACGTTGGCACACGGCAAACTGACATCATTTCCCACATTGGAGTACAGACAGTCACCACTGACACCTGGATAGAAAAAGTCTCTTTTTGTACACATTTCGTTTTTTTCCTTTGTACAGTTACATGCTGAAATATAGTGCCTTGCAAAAGTATTCATCCCCCTTTGGTGTTTTTCCTATTTTGTTGCATTACAACCTGTAATTTAAATGGATTTTCATTTAATGTAATGGACATACACAAAATAGTCCAAATTGGTGAAGTGGAATGAAAAAAAATTACTTATTTCAAAAAATTCTAAAATATAAATAACGGAAAAGTGGTGCGTGCATATGAAGCTCCTAAATCAGATCTGGTGCAACCAATTACCTTCAGAAGTCACATATTAGTTAAATAAAGTCCACCTGTGTGCAAGCTAAGTGTCACATGATCTGTCACATGATCTCAGTATACAGTGGGGAGAACAAGTATTTGATACACTGCCGATTTTGCAGGTTTTCCTACTTACAAAGCATGTAGAGGTCTGTAATTTTTATCATAGGTTCACTTCAACTGTGAGAGACGGAATCTAAAACAAAAATCCAGAAAATCATATTGTATGATTTTTAAGTAATTAATTTACATTTTATTGCATGACATAAGTATTTGATACATCAGAAAAGCAGGACTTAATATTTGGTACAGAAACCTTTGTTTGCAATTACAGAGATCATACGTTTCCTGTAGGTCTTGACCAGGTTTGCACACACTGCAGCAGGGATTTTGGCCCACTCCTCCATACAGACCTTCTCCAGATCCTTCAGGTTTCGGGGCTGTCGCTGGGCAATACAGACTTTCAGCTCCCTTCAAAGATTTTCTATTGGGTTCAGGTCTGTAGACTGGCTAGGCCACTCCAGGACCTTGAGATGCTTCTTACGGAGCCACTCCTCAGTTGTCCTGGCTGTGTGTTTCGGGTCGTTGTCATGCTGGAAGACCCAACCACGACCCATCTTCAATGCTCTTACTGAGGGAAGGAGGTTGTTCGCCAAGATCTCGCGATACATGGCCCCATCCATCCTCCCCTCAATATGGTGCAATCGTCCTGTCCCCTTTGCAGAAAAGCATCCCCAAAGAATGATGTTTCCACCTCCATGCTTCTTGGTTGGGATGGTGTTCTTGGGGTTGTACTCATCCTTCTTCTTCCTCCAAACACGGCGAGTGGAGTTTAGACCAAAAAGCTATATTTTTGTCTCATCAGACCACATTACCTTCTCCCATTCCTCCTCTGGATCATCCAGATGGTCATTGGCAAACTTCAGACGGGCCTGGACATGCGCTTGCTTGAGCAGGTGGACCTTGCGTGCGCTGCAGGATTTTAATCCATGACGGCGTAGTGTGTTACTAATGGTTTTCTTTGAGACTGTGGTCCCAGCTCTCTTCAGGTCATTGACCAGGTCCTGCCGTGTAGTTCTGGGCTGATCCCTCACCTTCCTCATGATCATTGATGCCCCACGAGGTGAGATCTTGCATGGAGCCCCAGACCGAGGGTGATTGACCGTCATCTTGAACTTCTTCCATTTTCTAATAATTGCGCCAACAGTTGTTGCCTTCTCACCAAGCTGCTTGCCTATTGTCCTGTAGCCCATCCCAGCCTTGTGCAGGTCTACAATTTTATCCCTGATGTCCTTACACAGCTCTCTGGTCTTGGCCATTGTGGAGAGGTTGGAGTCTGTTTGATTGAGTGTGTGGACAGGTGTCTTTTATACAGGTAACGAGTTCAAACAGGTGCAGTTAATACAGGTAATGAGTGGAGAACAGGAGGGCTTCTTAAAGAAAAACTAACAGGTCTGTGAGAGCCGGAATTCTTACTGGTTGGTAGGTGATCAAATACTTATGTCATGCAATAAAATGCAAATGAATTACTTAAAAATCATACAATGTGATTTTCTGGATTTTTGTTGAAGTGTACCTATGATAACAATTACAGACCTCTACATGCTTTGTAAGTAGGAAAACCTGCGAAATCGGCAGTGTATCAAATACTTGTTCTCCCCACTGTATATATATATATAAGTGTCACATGATCTGTCACATGATCTCAGTATATATACACCTGTTCTGAAAGGCCCCAGAGTCTGCAACACCACTAAGAAAGGGCACCACCAAGCAAACTGCACCATGAAGACCAAGGAGCTCTCCAAACAGGTCAGGGACAAAGTTTGTGGAGAAGTACAGATCAGGGTTGGGTTATAAAATAATATCTGAAACTTTGAACATCCCACTGAGCACCATTAAATCCATTATAAAAAAATGGAAAGAATATGGCACCACAACAAACCTGCCAAGAGAGGGCCACCCACCAAAACTCACGGACCAGGCAAGGAGGGCATTAATCAGAGAGGCAACAAAGACACCAAAGATAACCCTGAAGGAGCTGCAAAGCTCCATAGCGGAGATTGGAGTATCTGTCCATAGGACCACTTTAAGCCGTACACTCCACAGAGCTGGGCTTTACGGAAGAGTGGCCAGAAAAAAAGCCGTTGCTTAAAGAAAGAAATAAGCAAACACGTTTGGTGTTTGCCAAAAAGCATGTGGGAGACTCCCCAAACATATGGAAGAAGGTACTCTGGTCAGATGAGATTATAATTGAGCTTTTCGGCCATAAAGGTAAAATGTCTGGCGCAAACCCAACACCTCTCATCACCCTGAGAACACCATCCCCACAGTGAACCATGGTGGTGGCAGCATCATGCTGTGGGGATGTTTTTCCATCGGCAGGGACTGGGAAACTGGTCAGAATTGAAGGAATGATGGATGGCGCTAAATACAAGGAAATTCTTGAGGGAAACCTGTTTCAGTCTTCTGGAGATTTGAGACTGGGACGGACGGAGGTTCACCTTCCAGCAGGACAATGACCCTAAGCACACTGCTAAAGGAACATTTGAGTGGTTTAAGGGGAAACATTCAAATGTCTTGGAATGGCCTAGTCAAAGCCCAGACCTCAATCCAATTGAGAATCTGTGGTATGACTTAAAGATTGCTGTACACCAGCGGAACCGATCCAACTTGAAGGAGCTGGAGCAGTGTTCCCTTGAAGAATGGGCAAAAATCCCAGTGGCTAGATGTGCCAAGCTTATAGAGACATACCCCAAGAGACTTGCAGCTGTAATTGCTGCAAAAGGTGGCTCTACAAAGTATTGACTTTGGGGGGGTGAATAGTTAATGCACGCTCATGTTCTGTTTTTTTGTCTTATTTCTTGTTTGTTTCACAAGAAAACATATTTTGCATCTTCAAAGTGGTAGGCATGTTGTGTAAATCAAATGATACAACCCCCCCAAAAATCAATTTTAATTCCAGGTTGTAAGGCAACAAAATAGGAAAAATGCCAAGGGGGGTGAATACCTTCGCAAGCCACTGTACAAATACTGTGTTAACTAAATACATACATAATTAAATAAATAAAATTCTGAACTGTAGGCAAATAAAACCATGACAGGTGCTTATAGTGAACAATGAAACGCACTCTGTTGAGTTGAATGTATGACTCAAGTGTTTGAGATGTTGTTGAAATGACAGTCTAAGCCCCTTTCCCCCCCATAACATTCTGTAACTTACCAGTCAAGAGAAGAGCAGTGATCACTAGTTCCTTTCCCCCCATAACATTCTGTAACTTACCAGTCAAGAGAAGAGCAGTGATCACTAGTTCCATCAGAAGTCTATTGTGTTTGTCCACAGCCATGACACCTCTCTCGGTCTGTGTGATCTCTGTGCAGTAATACCCTATGGGGAAATTCATTTGAATTCAATCACTTTTTGACAGCATCTCTTTTGATTTAAACAACACTTTCCATACATGTTTGCCCATGGAAGAAGTGGTCAGAAAGTGACTTTTTGGACATGAATGCAGAAACATTCAGGTGATTAAAGGTGCTCGAAGTAGACCCATTTTACATACCCCACCACACCATGAGATAGCCATGTCTTCATCACTGGAAAATATCAACGGTTGAGTTTGCGATCATGTAAAAGCTTAAAAACTGTTTTGTCAAACTACTTTATTATTTCTAGAAAAAAAATGCAATAATGTCATTTTCAAACCTTTTAACGTATTATCTAAAAACGCATAAACTCCGATTTTCATATTTGCATATGTTGTAGTAAAACATAATCTGAGGTTTTTGTGATGTGCCCACCATCGGTTAAGACTCACTATGCTCTTCAATACAGGGTGGGTGTCATTTCAATCATAGAAATGTAATTCATAGAACGGATCTATCCCTTCAGACCACTGCAATTTAGCTGGTCCACCATTGACATTTTTATGGAATTTAAATTTTAACTTCTATTTATTTCCACAAAGATGACCGCAGGTCCACCCACCGTCGAATGTCAACTTAATGTATATTCTATTATCTATATTTCTATGGTTTCAATAGGTTTCCTATGGTGGATTGACAGTATACATTAAAACAACTGATATTTCCATTCAATTCAACATTATCAGATATGTGGCCCTCCAGTTGAAATTTCAATTTTATTCCCATTTTAGTACATTTATCAGCCCAAACATGACACCCACCCTGTATTCAAGAGCATGTTGTGTCTCAACTGATGGCAGGCACAACACAAAAACCTTAGATTATGTAAAATAGGGTCTATATAAAATATATATGAATATAAAAAAACTATTGAGTTTACTCGTTTTTAGATAATTGATGTTAAAGGTTCAAATATATACATGTTTTTTTTATACCTGCAATATGTAACTTTTTGGGCAACCTGGCCAAATTCACATAGAAATATGAGTTATAGATCTGTCATTCTCATTGAAAGCAAGTTTAAGAAGCAGTAGATCTGTTCTATGTGCACTATTTCTATGCTTCCCGTTCTTATGTTTTATTTTTGTGTCTTTTACTTTCGGTTTTGAACACCAGCTTCAAACAGCTGAAATTACAATATTTTTCGTTTTTGGGAAAAATATTTCACAGCGGTTTAGATGGTACAATGATTCTCTACACCATACTTGCTTGTGTTTTCACAAACTGAGAAATTAGGCAAACTATTAGATTTTTAGCAACCAGTAAATAGCAGAGTGATTTCTGCAAAGTGGCTCTGGACAATTAGCTCACAGTAGCAAGGTGCTAAATTCCTGACATCTATTGCCACTTGCGATTGTAAATTTGAATCCCGCACGGGGCGCAAAGAACATATTTAATATGTGGACTCACATTTTAAAAAGCGGTATTGTGTTGGGAAGAAACGTGCAATTATCTCCTTGAAAATGTAAGATTAGGAATTCAATCCGATCCCGCATTGCAGTAATCACGCAGTAGCTCTTTTTCCATTGATCAAATTAACTCAACTACTACCAGGGCGACCCCTCTCACAGGTAGCCTATGCTTTAACTTCTCAGAATTAGAATATTGTAAATAAAGGATTTGGAGAAAAAGAACAAAGTCCATCCCATGTGGGATTAGAACCCACAACCATAGAACTATGAGCCCACAACCATAGAACTATGAGCCCACAACCATAGAACTATGAGCCAACTATTTTAGCAGACTGCGCTACCAATCAGTCACAGTGGTTATCTCCGGTGTCCTCTGTGATTAGTGGGACAGTGAAGCATTTTGTAATCTATTGGCTCTGTACTCCAGCACTTTGTATTTGAAATGATACAATGACTGGAGGTTCAAGTGGATAAATCCTGAATTAATTGTGAATAATGACGAGTGAGAAAGTTACAGACGCACAAATATCATACCCCCTGTTATTGTAATGGTGAGCGGTTAGCATGCCTTGGGGATATGAATTTTGTGGGTCTGTAACATTCTCACTCATCATTATTCACGAGTCATTCAGGATTATCCGTAATCATGGTAGCATCCACATGAATGTAGAGGTGTTTAGAAACATTCCATTTTTATTTACAATAAAAGTGACAATACATTATTTACCATTAATTTCTATTGGGCACAAAATAATCTGAAACACAACCAAAACAAACAGTAAATGCATCCAACAAGTTTGTAGTCACAAGCTTGGTGTAATCATTGCATGCTAGGAATATGGGACCAAATACTAAACTTTTGACTACTTTAATACACATAAGTGAATTTGGCCCAATACTTTTGGTGCCCTAAAAAGGGGGGTTATTAATAGTCATTGTTTGATTTCAAATCCCAAATGTTGGAGTATAGAGCCAAAAGAAGTCCCAATAATTACAGAGGGCACTGTATTTCTTGTTATGATGGATGTAGCTACGAATATAAACGTATAATCCTCATAGCCAACATGTTTTTCTTCTTCGGAAAAGCACATGGATGTGTATGAAACGGTAAGCAAAAACTTAGAATTTGGTCATATGCCGAAATGTACCTTACTGCCTTTTATTTGGTGTAACATCAGTCTTCTAGGCAAGAAAGCATCGTGCTACATATCTAGGCAAGGAAGCATCATGCTAAATATATAGGCAAGGAAGCATCATTACATTTACATTACATTTTAGTCATTTAGCAGACGCTCTTATCCAGAGCGACTTACAGGAGCAATTGGGGTTAAGTGCCTTGCTCAAGGGCACATCGACAGATTTTTCACCTAGTCGACTCGGTGATTAGAACCAGCGACCTTTCGATTACTGGCACAACGCTCTTAACCACTAAGCTACCTGCCGCCCTATCATGCTAAATATATAGGCAAGGAAGTGTCATGCTAAATATATTGGCACACTCCACTTACCGAGACCATTGCCAAATAAGGCGCACTGTCGCCTGCTTTTATAGTATGCCTTGAGGTGATACCACCAAGCACATTTAAACATTTTTGTCCAGAAATTATAGAATAGTTTGAAAACCCTGTTTTGTAAGCTTTTAAATCATATCAATCTCAACCGTTTATCTTTTATCCATGATGAAGACATGGGTATCTCATGGTATGGTGGGGTATGTGAAATGGGTCAACTTTGAGCATCTTTATCTCTTGAATGTTTTGGCACTCAGGTCCAAAAAGTCACTTTTTGATCACTTCTACAAATGGGCAAATATGTATGGAAAGTTTTGTTCAAATCAAAAGGCATGCTGTCAAAAGGTAATTGAATTCAAATGGATTTACAATTACGTCTCTATACAGCACCATGATATCTTCGAAGTACAAGCAAAAATGTTACTTTTTGTGTAACTTAATACAACATCTGTATCATTTAGATTTTTTTATATTTATGTTCTGCAGATAAGTAGATCAAGATGTCATTACCCTATAAGCGTTTTTATGTAAGTTGTTGGGAAATTGGTCAAAGTAGTTGATTTTGTGTCCAGTCACATTGTCTGGGTAATAGAAAGTTCTACGCCAGTTAATTCAACAGTGGGAAGTTAGCTACATGAATGTAATTAGTGTGGTTACTAAAACATCTAAATCATTTGAATGGTATAAACTATTTATATTCCGATTTCACATTTAAATAGCAGAAAAGTGGACCAAGATTTCAAACACTAAGTTGTGTAAGTTGTTGGGAAAGTGGTCAACATTTCCGTTGTTTTCAAAAGTTGACAGAAAATGTGGTTGATGTGGTTTCTAAAAACAGTTGTATTGTTTTTGATCATTTCAAGTGGGGACTTTTGCTTTCGCAAGTCTCATTAAATATTAAATTAACCTTTTTAATTACCAAGTAACCTTATTTAATCGTTTTTGTTTTGGTTAAATTCACATTCGCCTATATTAGTTAATTGGCACTCGCCCAACAAGGAAATTAATAATTTATCAGTCTTCTTTCTTTTCCCTTTTATATTCTGTTTAGTTCATTCAGTTCAATTCATCCCTATTATTATTTTCACATTTTTAAATAATAAGTTCCTCATAAAATAGTAGTATAGGATGATCAAAACGTTATCGGCAAAAACGGACGGATCTCACCGGAGTTTGGAAGACGCGTCCGCTCTCATGAAACTTTATCCGTGATCCGTTTTGTAATCGACAACCAGCAAATAATCAGATCAGGAACACGCGCAAGGTGCGCAATAGTAAATCCAAAACAAGGAAGTCTCACGGACTGTGTTTAGAAGGCGCCAGTGTTCTTCTATATCTTTGAAACTGGCGAGGTTCACCGGTTGTCTTGTCTCCCAGGTAAACTGTAGCTATCGCAGGTGGAGGGAAAAAAAAAAAGCCAATAATTAGCCGAATGGGCTACCGTCGCCTACCGCTGAACGTCATATAACCGCCCGACTAAAGCGAACATTTTTAATAACTAACCCAAAATAGACCACAGACTGTTTTCCAATGCAAGGAGGTGGGCAGAGCCAAGCACGAGTTAGCGAGAGACTATTGGTGTGTTCTAGCATTTATTTGCATATTTCCGTTAGGGAACGCCTACTCTGTGAAGAGCGCATGTGCATTAACTAAATATGCCCTTGTAGTCTTTCTAAACAACGCAATTTTTAGAACATTTGGAAAAGGGTAAAGTTTACTAAACTTAGTCCACTCTATTCATAACAGATTCTAGTTTTGGAAACAGAAAACTTTATTGAGTTAAAATGTTTCATTGATGAAAAAATTAGCAGAATGTCGGCCAAAATCCATTTTGCGCCATCTTCTCCCACTGCCGGCACTGGGCTTCATCTCACCACCATGTTTGGTAGTGAGTGGAAACGCCAACCGGATGTTTCACATTTATACATCCAGTGAAATATCTCTCTCATTGTTCCATCTGTCACTAGTCTTCTTCTTCCTCTTCTGTTTCTTCTTCTTCTTCTTTGGTATTATGGAAGTTCGCAAACAAATGTTATAGGTGCATGCTGCCACCTGCTGTGTTGGCTGTGTATCAGCCTACTATTCTGTAGTATTAATTCATTACACTTTGTGAAAAGATTGCCCTACCAACTAACCCTACACCCATTAAAACCTCATCAATCTTCCACTACTTTGGCCCTGACTGCGTGACCTCTGCGTCTTATGCTGTTGTAACCGGTGTGAAAAGGCTAGCTAGTTAGCGGTGCACGCTAGTAGCGTTTCAATCGGTGACGTCACTCGCTCTGAGACCTTGAAGTAGTTGTTTCCCTTTGCTCTGCAAGGGCCGCGGCTTTTAGTGGAGCGACGGTTAACGGTGCTTCAAGGGTGACTGTTGTCTATGTGTGCAGAGGGTCCCTGGTTCAAGCCCAGGTAGGGGCGAGGAGAGAGAGAGGAAAGCAACACTGTTACGCTGTCGCCTACCATTGAACGTCTGCCTTACATGTGGTGATACTAACGTCTGCACCTGAGGCTGTTCATCTGCAGGCTATTATAATACCATGAAAGCCAATTTATGCTTGATTAGAAAATGTGGTCGGAGACTCCATATGGAGGGTGTGACGCAATTGCGGAGCCTGCAGAGGCCAAATTGAGCTCTGTACCATCGCTTTGTGCCTCCCAAATGTTGTAACAATGCGGAGGGCTCCGTATAGTTCCACATTGACATGATTGGTTGACGGTAGGTGGGGGCGGTACATCCTGTATAAACACAAACTCACTTCCTTGACAACTTCCCTCACAACAGCTCTACGCTGCTCCTCAAAGCGCCAGAAGTATGAATGCCCTGACTTCTGCAGAGGCCATATCACTATTTAAATGCTGCATGGTCAGTGCAGGACTCAGATTGACCATGCAGCGCCTTTTAGCCTCAGCTGCAGGAGGGTCTACTCATACACTTTTGATTCAATTTTCTTTATTTTAGGTTCAAAATAAGTGTGTCTTCCTCTTACATGATAGGCCTTCTGCTTGCAACTGTAGCATATATTCCGATTTTTTATTAAATTTGATTAAATTTGATGTAAACCCCAATTATACACTCCAATAGTAATTATATTCATCAATCCACTGTAGGCCTATCTAACAATCCATCATCATCTAGCCTATATACAGGGGCGGTGTGTTCATTAGGGCGATATGGGCGACGCACTGCCAAACGGGAAAAGCAAGGGATTTTTTTTCTAATCAATTATATCACGGCAACAGTAGTTATCAGTGTTCTAATCTAGACGTCTGATCTGCCACTAAATGTCCAATCAGGCTAAAGTCGTGCTTCAAATGGCCCCGCCCGTTTTGGGGCGATTTCAGTCAGGTTGAAAATCGCCCAGAAGTCTCTCATAGCCTCTCATGTAAAATCTATTTTTTTCAAATATCAGAGCTTTCAATACAATCTCTATGGGTTTCTGAGGGCTTGCACTTACGCGCTTTCGTCACACGTAACATAACCATGAACGTAACTAAGAAAAGAGCGGGTAGCAGCGTCAATCAATTCACGTACTACTATCAACATGGCTAGCGTTCAGTGCAACTCGATTGTCTCTTTGAAAGAAGTTCACATCAAAGAGACAACCACAAAGTGCAGGAGCGCTTTTTTGAGTTCCTTCCCATCTCGGAATCAACCTCAGTCTCAATCGCCAGTGTGCTTTTGGAGAGACTGAACGGTCTTTTTGCCGACGACGAGAAAGTCAAACTCATTGCGCAAGCTTACGATGGAGCCAGTGTGATGAGGCGAGAGAAGGCTGGTGTGCAGCAAAAGGTGCGTGAGCATTTCAAGAATGGCCATTACGTGCATTGCTATGCGCATCAGCTGAATTTGATCATGCAGCAAGCTAAAAAGTAACTAGTAAACTAGTCCTCAGCATGCCTGATTTCAATGAGAAAGTCATTGACCGCTTTGCTGCATTGAAAGAGAGAAGAGAACAGTTTCAGTACAAGTAATGTAGCCTCTCTCTCTCTTTGTCCCTCCCTGTCTGTCTCTTTAACACACACACGCCCAAATCAGTTCACAGTTGATGTTGTTTAAAATAGTTATTTTTCATTTTTTTTAAAGTAAACAATTTTTTTTACAAATCTATACAATTGGCCAGAATATGGTTGTTCATATTTACAAAGCCATACAGATAGCTGTGTTTACCTTTTCTAGAAATTATTTTCAAATTCTGTTTTCAGGCAAAATGTCTATCCTGTTCCTTTTTCACCACAATCTATACAAGAGGGCAGAATATGGAAGTCTATAACTAAATTTCTTATTACCAACTAACTTTGCATCAATGTTTTCAGTAGCCTCTATCAAAAAGACTCCTGGCTTGCATTGTTGTGAATTTATGCTCAGGTGCACATATTTCCAATTCAACCATGAGGCCTTTTTGAAGCAAGTATCGTGTATCTATCAGTATTGACTTATATGCTGCACCCTGGTCTTCATGTTGTTGCTGGCATACTCTTTTTTAAAAATGTGTAGGTTCACCTAAATCAATCCAGAAAAATTGCCCCCCCCTGAGAATTTTTTCAGGAGCCGCCACTGCCTATATATAGCTGGGATCTTTCTCCCTCGTTCAAATCAACATATTCATTATTATATTACTGAAATTCCAACTTGAATCGATTAATCAGTGGTTATAGCCTACTGTTAACTGATATATGGCCCCTTGTAGCTCAGTTGGTAGAGCGTGGCGCTTGCAACGCCAGGGTTGTGGGTTCATACATAAATGTATGCACTAACTGTAAGTCGCTCTGGATAAGAGCGTCCTGCTAAATGACTAAAATGTAAAATATATATTCATGTCATATTCGTGTCATAAGCCTTAATGCATGGTCTATCTGACATCATTTACTGCGATGCAGCCTCCGCTGACGTCAGGGCAGAGCTATTGTGAAGGAAGTTGTCAAGGAAGTGAGTTTGTGTTTATACAGGATGTACCGCCCCCACCTACTGTCAACCAATCATGTCAATGCAGAGCCAAACGGAACTACTGCAAAGCCCTCCGCATTGTTACAGAATTTGGGAGGCGCTTGGCGTCACAGAATGGAGCTCGATTTGGCCTCCACAAGCCTCCAGAGGCTTCGCAATTGCATCACACCCTCCATACGGAGCCTCAGGACAGCATTTCCAGATCCAGCATACATTGGCTATTATTCGGAATGGACTATTACTAGAACGTTGGTTATTTAATTATTACCCCAGCATCACTGTTTTTCTTTTTTTGTTGATCGAATGCATCAGCGGTCAGCCACTTGCAAAGTATAGACTACTGTGGTCATTCTCAGTGGCAATAGGCTATGTTGTTCAAAGTGGCTTGAGGATGCTGAAATTAGAGAAAGATCATATACCAGGTCTACTGGAAAAATTATATGCTACTGAAAATATTAGGACAATCATCCGACAGCATGTGTCAAACTCATTCCACAGGGGGCGGAGTGTCTGCAGGGTTTTCGCTCCTCCCTTGTTCTTGATTGACTAATTAATTAATTAAGGACACTAATTAGTAAAGAACTCCCCTCACCTGGTTGTCTAGGTCTTTAATTGAATGGAAAAAAACTAAAAACCCACAGACGCTCTTCATGGATGAATCATGAAAGGAGCTTGGCTACGTTTCATTCTTCTTCTTCTCCCATTTAATAAGAAAGGAAACGCAGAACTGGCACCTGTCATCATTCCTCGATTGCACTATGCATTATGATGATTCCTGCCTACAGTTTTCTTTCTGATTTAAAGAGATGAAGTCCAGACAGGCTAGGGCTATTTTAGGAAACTTTTCAAATAAAGAGAATTAGCAAACTCATAACAGCACACCCCCACCTAAAAGGACCCATCAGTTAAAGCCGCCTGCAGCGCATCTCACTCAGACACATAAGCAAATCACATTTCTCCTTTCCCTGACAATGTTTCATAAACCTTGCCTTAGCTTCAAATCCTTTCTGTAGGATACTAAATTATACTCAAATGTTCCCTATAGCCATTATGAGGTTGCTACAACCTATCCTATGAATGAAAGTTTACAACGTAGGTGCACACAGGTCAAGAGAAAGATTTGAGGTGACAGACAGTGACACATTCAATACCCCCTTGCACACTAGCTTATCTAGGGTGTAATCATTAGTCCAACAGTTGCAAACGAGAGTTTCTATTGGACAAATTCAGGTATGGTTATCCCTGTTTCATTCCATTTGCTTCTCTTTAAGAAACGTTTTTTTCAACAGAATTGGCGGAATGAACACACCCCTGTTAACATGCAAACAGTTGACTTTCATAGCCACATACAAACAGCTCGCTGTATTCCTTCTCGCATCTATGCGCTCTCCTCCTCTCACCTCTTCCCTTCGCTTGTGGACTGCAGTGCACAACACATCAGCTGTCTGTGACCAGACAAAAAAAACCTTTCCAAGCCAAACCTTCATATCATAACTGCTACACACAGCCTACATAAAATATGCCATTTAGCAGATGCTTTTATCCAAAGCGACTTACAGTCATGCGTGCATATATATATATTTTGTGTATGGGTGGTCCTGGGGATTGAACCCACTACCTTGGTGTTACAAGCACCGTGCTCTACCAGCTGAGCTACAGAGGACCACCATACTAAAGTTAGATCATTAAATCTAAAGCTACATCATTGTCACCATACTAAAGTAACATCATAGTCAACATAGCTAATAGAACTAACGTGTTTGTAAACCCGCTACAATCATGCAATACAGTGTACAGTCAGTAAGCAGTTTAGCAGTTACACCGGCGGGCCCCGGTGGCAATAAATTAGTCAAACCAAAAGTTTACCTTGACTTGGAAGAGATCCAGTGTTGGATAGTCATAGCCAGCTAGCTAACATAGCATCCCTCTGTTTGAGCCAGGTGTTTGAGTAGGCTAGCTAAGTGAAAGTGTTTTATTTCTCTCTCTCTCTCTCTCTCTCTGTCCTCTCTCTCTCTCTCTCTCTCTCTCTCTCTCTCTCTCTCTCTGTCCCTGTCCTGTCTGTCGTCTGTCTGTCCCCTCTCTCTCTCTCTCTCTCTCTCTCTCTCTCTCTCTCTTCTCTCTGTCTCTCTCTCTCTCTCTCCTCTCTCTCTCTCCTCTCGCTCTCTCTCTCTCCTCCTCTCTCTCTGTCTCATCTCTCTCTCCTCTGTCTCTCTCTCTCTTGTCACTCTCTCTCGTCTCTCTCTCTCTCTCTCTTCTCTGTCGTCGGTCTTTCTGTCCTGTATGTCTGTCTGTCTGTCTGTCTCTCCTCTCTGTCTGTCTGTCTGTCTGTCGCTCTCTCTCTCTCTCTCTCTCTCGTCTCTCTCTCTCTCTGTCTCTCTCTCTCTCTCTCTCTCTCTCTCTCTCTGTCTCTTCTCTCTCTCTCTCGCCTCTCTCTCTCTCTCTCTCTTGTCTCTCTCTCTCCTCTTCTCTCTTGTCTCTCTCCCTCTCTTCTCTCTCGTCTCTCTCTCTCTCTCTCTCTCATCTCTCTCTCTCTCTCTCTCCTCTCTCTCTTTGGCATCTTCCTTCATTTTTGAAGAAATGAATTTGTTCAAAACTGTTCAACTATTGTCTTTCTCTTTGAGTCAACTACTCACCACATGTTATGCACTGTAGTGCTAGCTAGCTGTAGCTTATGCTTTCAGTACTAAATTCATTCTCTGATCCTTTGATTGGGTGAACAACATGTCAGTTCATGCTGCAAGAGCTCTGATAGGTTGGAGGATGTCCTCTAGAAGTTGTCATAATTACAGTGTAAGTCTATGGAAGGGGGTGAGAACGATGAGCCTCCTAGGTTTTGTTTTGAAGTCAATGTACCCAGAGGAGGACAGAAGCTAGCTGTCCTCCGGCTACACAATGGTGCTAGCCTACAGAGTGCTGTTGAGGCTACTGTAGACCTTCATTGCAAAACAGTGTGAAGTGAATATGGTGATGTGAATATATTTTGTATAGTTTTATTTTTATGAAATTCACTGAGAAGGATGGTCCTCCCCTTCCTCCTCTGAGGAGCCTCCACTGAAATAGTTATTATTTCGTCTATTTTGTGGTGCAATACATTTATTTCAACCATTCTTGACTTTGACAAATGTTTTGCATAACATATTTGACAAGGTTTCCACAATGCTGTTCCACATTACTCCTCTGATTTTGTTCCACAGAATGACAATAGCCAACAGTAGTATAGACCTTAAGTCTGAAAGATACATTCTGCACCATGAGTAGAATTGTATTCTACATACAGTATCAGGGTGCTGTATTCTACGCATCAGGGTGCTGTATTCTACGTATCAGGGTGCTGTATTCTACGTATCAGGGTGCTGTATTCCACGTATCAGGGTGCTGTATTCTACGTATCAGGGTGCTGTTTTCCACGTATCAGGGTGCTGTATTCTACGTATCAGGGTGCTGTATTCCACGTATCAGGGTGCTGTATTCTACGTATCAGGGTGCTGTATTCCACGTATCAGGGTGCTGTATTCTACGTATCAGGGTGCTGTATTCCACGTATCAGGGTGCTGTATTCTACGTATCAGGGTGCTGTATTCTACGTATCAGGGTGCTGTATTCCACGTATCAGGGTGCTGTATTCTACGTATCAGGGTGCTGTATTCTACGTATCAGGGTGCTGTATTCTACGTATCAGGGTGCTGTATTCTACGTATTCAGGGTGCTGTATTCTACGTATCAGGGTGCTGTATTCCACGTATCAGGGTGCTGTATTCTACGTATCAGGGTGGCTGTATTCTACGTATCAGGGTGCTGTATTCTACGTATCAGGGTGCTGTATTCTACGTATCAGGGTGCTGTATCAGGGTGCTGTATTCACGTATCAGGGTGCTGTATTCTACGTGTCAGGGTGCTGTATTCTACGTATCAGGGTGCTGTATTCTACGTTCAGGGTGCTGTATTCTACGTGTCAGGGTGCTGTATTCTACGTATCAGGGTGCTGTATTCTACGTATCAGGGTGCTGTATTCATACGTATCAGGGTGCGTATTCTACGTGTCAGGGTGCTGTATTCTACGTATCAGGGTGCTGTATTCTACGTATCAGGGTGCTGTATTCTACGTATCAGGGTGCTGTATTCTACGTATCAGGGTGCTGTATTCTACGTATCAGGGTGCTGTATTCTACGTATCAGGGTGCTGTATTCTACGTATCAGGGTGCTGTATTCTAAGTATCAGGGTGCTGTATCTACGTATCAGGGTGCTGTATTCTACGTGTCAGGGTGCTGTATTCTACGTATCAGGGTGCTGTATTCTACGTATCAGGGTGCTGTATTCTACGTTAGGGGCTGTATTCTACGTGTCAGGGTGCTGCTATTCTACGTATCAGGGTGCTGTATTTCTACGTATCAGGGTGCTGTATTCTACGTATCAGGGTGCTGTATTCTACGTATCAGGTGCTGTATTCTACGTTCAGGGTGCTGTATTCTACGTATCAGGGTGCTGTATTCTATTATCGGTTATTCGTCAGGGTGCTGTATTCTACGTATCAGGGTGCTGTATTCTACGTATCAGGGTGTGTTGTATTCTACGTATCAGGGTGTGTTGTATTCTACATATCAGGGTGCTGTATTCTATGTATCAGGGTGTTTGTATTCTACGTATCAGGGTGTTGTATTCTACGTATCAGGGTGCTGTATTCTACGTATCAGGGTGTGTTGTATTCTACGTATCAGGGTGTGTTGTATTCTACATATCACGGTGCTTTTCAAGAGTGTGCATACATCAGAGGTCCTGGTTGATACAGATTGTTTTCCTGTTCTAATCTCAGGTTCTTCTCCTTATTCAATGTAAAGAAGCCTTCATCACAAAATGGCAACAACTTCTAAACATCGAATCAACACACTTCATGGATTGGTGATAATCCCTGTTGAGGACATGGTGTGTTTTGGTCAAATTTGATCACAATATGTTCTCAACCTATATTTAAATGTAGTTGATTATTAGTTGAGTATAGTTTTCAAAAATAAAAATAATAAAACTGTTGGCTGTCTTTTTGAGTGGGTGAAGAAAGGTTGAAATCTCATTGATCAACGTCTCAACCAACATTTCCACGTTGAAATGCTGTATTCTGCCCAGTGGACAGTTCCACTGCTTTTATTAATTCTTCCCCTCTAATCAGGGACGGATTTAAACCTGGGACTAAATCACATTCAGGTAGAACAGAGCCAGCAGTAACCTACTCCAGACCTCCTACCCCTGGGAAAGGTTAACTTTCTCATGGTAACAACATTTTCTGTTTAGTTGCAAAATAGAAGGGGAAAAAATGATATTCTGTGGTTAAACTAAAATACAATTTATGATAATTTCTCTCTCTGCCTGCTCAGCCTTAGAAAAACAGAAGTGGTCTAAGCTGACAGACCAGTGTTGCTGACGTGTGTGTGTGTTTGTGTTTTGGGGGGTTGGATTGTGAGCAAAAATACACATTTCCATTCTCTGATTTAAATAAATAAAGTATATTTGTTTCTCCTTCTTGTTTCAGACTGTGGGGAGAAGATCACCCTGTGTATCTCCATCCTCCTCTCCCTCACTCTCTTCCTCCTTCTTGTTTCAGACTGTGGGGAGAAGATCACCCTGTGTATCTCCATCCTCCTCTCCCTCACCCTCTTCCTCCTTCTTGTTTCAGACTGTGGGGAGAAGATCACCCTGTGTATCTCCATCCTCCTCTCCCTCACCCTCTTCCTCCTTCTTGTTTCAGACTGTGGGGAGAAGATCACCCTGTGTATCTCCGATCTCCTCTCCCTCACCCTCTTCCTCCTTCTTGTTTCAGACTGTGGGGAGAAGATCACCCTGTGTATCTCCATCCTCCTCTCCCTCACCCTCTTCCTCCTTCTTGTTTCAGACTGTGGGGAGAAAATCACCCTGTGTATCTCCATCCACCTCTCCCTCACCGTCTTCCTCCTTCTTGTTTCAGACTGTGGGGAGAAGATCACCCTGTGTATCTCCGTCCTCCTCTCCCTCACCGTCTTCCTGCTCCTCATCACAGAGATCATCCCGTCCACCTCCCTGGTCATCCCTCTGATTGGAGAGTACCTCCTCTTCACCATGATCTTCGTCACTCTCTCCATCGTCATCACTGTGTTTGTCCTCAACGTCCACCACCGCTCCCCGGGGACCCATAAGATGCCTCGCTGGGTCCACTCTGTCTTCCTGGACCTGATCCCCAGGTGGCTGTTCATGAGGCGGCCGGCGCCGGACGGAAGGAGATGCAGGTTGTTGTTGCTCCAGCAGGGGGCAGCGGTGGCACGGCGTCAGGGACGGACCATCACCGCCAGACCACCAGGTGAGGTGGTGATAATCGCAAGGACCATATTGGAAATAAGTCCCTAGACTTTGTGTCCCAAATGGCACCCTATTCCCTATATAATAATATAATAATAATATGCCGTTTAGCAGACGCTTTTATCCAAAGCGACTTACAGTCATGTGTGCATACATTTTTACCAGCAGGAGTCTTGATAGTAGAAAAAGTCAGCGAGTCAGTGGTTCCTGCACCATAGATCAACCCATAAATAATCTACACCTATATGCATCAGTATCTCTCGCTTTTTGACAATGATTTCACGTGAGGCCTAATTCACATGATATGCCTAAGTAATTATAACCACTAGGCTAATAAATAATCACATTATTTTAAGTTGTCTCTTTGAAGCTACACGCTAAAGCGATTTAGAGTAGATGATGGGTGGCGAGCAGGGCCGGAATAAGAAATCATGGGCCCCAGGGCTTTGTTTTGTTCAGAACAGCTTAAATTCGTCGGGTCATGGACTCTACAAGGTGTTGAAAGCGTTCCACAGGGATGCTGGCCCATGTTGACTCCAACGCTTCCCACAGTTGTGTCGAGTTGGCTGGATTTCCTTTGGGTGGTGGACCATTCTTGATACAACAGCGTTGCAGTTCTTGACACAAACCGGTGCGCCTGGCACCTACTACCATACCCCGTTCAAAGGCACTTCAATATTTTGTCTTGCCCATTCACCCTCTGAATGGCACACATACACAATCCATGTCTCAATTGTCTCATGGCTTAAAAATCCTTTAACCTGTCTCCTCCCGTTCATCTATACTGATTTGAAGTGGATTTAACGAGTGACATCAATAAGTCAATCAGTCTCTTTCATGAAAAGAGCAGGTGTTCTTAATGTTTTCTATACTCTGTGTAAATACACAGTACACTGAACAAAAATATAAACGCAGCATGTAAAGTGTTGGTCCCATGTTTCATGAGCTGAAATAAAAGATCCCAAAAAATTCCATATGCACAAAAAGCTTATTTCTCTCAAATTTTGTACAGAAATTTATTTAAATCCCTGTTAGTGAGCATTTCTCCTTTGCCAAGATAATCCATCCACCTGACAGGTGTGGCATATCAAGAAGCTGATTAAACAGCATGATCATTACACAGGTGCACCTTGTGCTGGAGACAATAACTTTTTGTCACACAACACAATGCTACAGATGTCTCAAGTTGTGGCCTGCATACTCACCAGACATGTGACCCATTGAGCATGTTTGGGATGCTCTGGATCGACGTGTACGACAGCCTGTTCCAGTCCCCGCCAATATCCAGGAACTTCAACAGCCTGACGTGTCGCGCTGCATGAGGCAGGTTTTCTGATCCATGCCCCTACCTTTTTTTTAAAGGTATCTGTGACCAACAGATGTGTATCTGTATTCCCAGTCATGTGAAATCCATAGATTAGGGCCTAATGAATTGATTTCAATTGACTGATTTCCTTATATGAACTGTACCTCAGTAAAATCTTTGAAATTGTTGCGTGTTGCATTTATATTGTTGTTGTTCAGTGTATATTACAGGCTACAGTAGGCTATTAAATATAATCAAATGTAATTTCCACCTAATGATGACGATGAAACCACCACTACTACTCACTGGGATGGCGCCTCTTGGCAAATCTCAAGATGAGCTACTCTGAAAACCAGTGCTGCTGTTGGCATAAATGTAGGAATTGTTGCAAAATATTTTGTTATTAATATTCTATAGTCTTCACTTTTCAGCAGTAAGCATTCGCTTTTCCAAACTGTACGTTTTTCCTGCGATTTTTATTTTGAAATTTGCAAAAGGCAAACCAACAGCCGCAGATGGCAGTTCCCATTCAAGTCAGGACTGGCAGCCATTGCTAGTGTACCCATGAGTTTAACACTCTAATTGCCAGGGTAAGAGGTTCCAAAACCCTTCTATGGATTATAGGTCTATGGCCACAACGCAACAAGATGTATATTTGGCGCATGCTGCCTAAACTGCACAAATTGCGGCCTTCCCGACTGTAGGCAACCGGTAACTGCCAACATAAAGGAAACGAGGGATACAAAGTTATGTAATGGTGTGGGGTGCATTTCCCTGGCACGGTTTAGGTCCACTTGTAGAATCTATGCCAAGGTGCATTGAAGCTGTTCTGGCTCGTGGTGGCCCAACGCCCTTTTAAGACACTTTATGTTGGTGTTTCCTTTATTTTGTCAGTTACTTGTATGTGATTGTGATAAAACTTAATCCACTTTTTTTTAAATATATAATAACAATAATAATAATAATGTAATTGTTTATTAATATTGTTTTGCCTCTTTGGCCCCCTATGGGTTTGGGCCCAGCCCCTGACTCACACAATTGACCAATCACATGTATTTATTATGCAGTTTATTTATTACTTTTTTATTAATCGGTTACCCAATCACGGCAGCCCCCCCCCCCAGTTACCCACGAGGCCCCCCTACCTCCTCTCCTCCCCCATCTGATGATCAGCAGCAGGCAAGCAGTACTCATTGAGAGAGGGCTCCTGAGTCCTCCTGTGGTTGACAGTTGCAATAAATAAATAAATAACACACAACAGTGCATTCGGAAAGTATTCAGACCCCTTGACTTTTTCCACATTTTGTTACGTTACAGCCTTATTCTAAAATTGATTAAATTACTTTTTTTCCTCATCAATATTCACACAATACCCCATAATGACAAAGCGAAAACAGGTTTTTGGAAATGTTTGCAAATTTAGTCAAAATAAAAAACAGAAATACCTTATTTACATAAGTATTCAGACCCTTTGCGATGAGACTGTTTCTACAACTTGATTGGAGTCCGCTTGTGGTAAATTCAATTGATTGGACATGATTTGTAAAGGCACACACCTGTCTGTATAAGGTCCCACAGTTGACAGTGCATGTCAGAGCAAAAACCAAGCCATGAGGTCGAAGGAATTGTCCGTAGAGCTCTGAGACAGGATTGTGTCGAGGCACAGATCTGGGGAAGGGTATTAAAAAATGTCTGCAGCATTGAAGGTCCCCAAGAACACAGTGGCCTCCATCTTTCTTTTATGGAAGAAGTTTGGAACCACCAAGACTCTTCCTAGAGCTGGCCGCCCAGCCAAACTGAGCAATCGGGGGAGAAGGGCCTTGGTCAAGGAGGTGACCAAGAACCCGATGGTCACTCTGACAGAGCTCCACAGTTCCTCTGTGGAGATGGGAGAACCTTCCAGAAGGACAACCATCTCTGCAGCACTCCACCAATTAGGCCTTTATGGTAGAGTGGCCAGACGGAAGCCACTCCTCAGTAAAAAGGCACATGACAGCCCACTTGGAGTTTGCCAAAAGACACCTAAAGGACTCTCAGACAATGAGAAACAAGATTCTCTGGTCTGATGAAACCAAGATTGAACTCTTTGGCCTGAATGCCATGTGTCATATCTGGAGGAAACCTGGCACCATCCCTACGGTGAAGCATGGTGGTGAAAGCATGGGGATGTTTTTCAGCGGCAGGGACTGGGAGACTAGTCAGGATCGAGGGAAAGATGAACGGAGCAAAGTACAGAGAGATCCTTGATGAAAACCTGCTCCAGAGTGCTCAGGACCTCAGACTGGGGCGAAGGTTCACCTTCCAACAGGACAACGACCCTAAGCACACAGCCAAGACAACGCAGGAGTGGCTTCGGGACAAGTCTCTGAATGTCCTTGAGTGGCCCAGCCAGAGCCCGGACTTGAACCCGATCTAACATATCTGGAGAGACCTGAAAATAGCTGTGCAGCGACGCTCCCCATCCAACCTGACAGAGGTTGAGAGGATCTGCAGAGAAGAATGGGAATGCCAAGTGTCACGTCTGGAGGAAACCTGGCACCATCCCTACAGTGAAGCATGGTAGCGGCAGTATCATGCTGTGGGGATGTTTTTCCCTACGGTGAAGCATGGTGTGGCAGCGTCATGCTGTTTTTTCCCTACGGTGAAGCATGGTAGTGGCAGTATCATGCTGTGGGGATATTTTTCCCTACAGTGAAGCATGGTGTGGCAGCGTCATGCTGTTTTTCCCTACGGTGAAGCATGGTAGTGGCAGCGTCATGCTGTTTTCCCTACGGTGAAGCATGGTAGTGGCACCGTCATGCTGTTTTTCCCTACGGTGAAGGATCCGTCACATTCACTGTGGTTATCTGAGTGCTATAGAGCAGCTGGCGATGCCTCATCGTGATTGGTTATTCCCCATTATTTGCAACAATGTCATAGAGCGTCATAACCATCTTATGCGGTACCTCAAACTGTCGTGATTACAAGGATTAACCACAGGAGGGTTGGTGTCACCATAATCGGGGAGGACGGGCTCGTGGTAATGGCTGGAGCGGAATCAGTGGAATGGTATCAAATACATCAAACATATGGTTTCCAGGTGTTTGATGCCATTCCATTTGCTCCGTTCCAGCCATTATTATACATTTACATTACATTTACATCATTTAGCAGACGCTCTTATCCAGAGCGACTTACAGTTAGTGCATACATTATTCTTTTTTTTTTTTTATACTGGCCCCCCGTGGGAATCGAACCCACAACCCTGGCGTTGCAAACGCCATGCTCTACCAACTGAGCTACCTCCCTGCCGGCCATTCCCTCCCCTACCCTGGACGACGCTGGGCCAATTGTGCGCCGGCCCATTGGTCTCCCGGTTGCGGCCGGCTACAGCAGAGCCTGGATTCGAACCAGGATCTCTAGTGGCACAGCTAGCACTGCTATGCAGTGCCTTAGACCACTGCGCCACTCGGGAGACACACCGTCCTCCCTTCAGCAGCCTCCACTGGTCTTAACATCATCCTAAAACCTACTCTAAGCTTGGAGTTTTGTTGTGTGTGTTAAAACAGGTTTTAACAGGATTAACAGGACCTTTTCTGAGATGCTTTGTGGATACAGGCCCAGGTAGCAATAAGGACCACAATGGAAATAAATCACTAGACTGTATTTTTCAGCTTTTTTTCTTTCTGATTTTAATCTATGTACTCCCGTAGCTGAGCCAACTCTATTGCCCCGTTTCCCGGACACAGATTGAGCCCAGTCTTACACTAACAACCACTCATGTCTTTAAGTCCAGGACTAGACTTAATCTGTGTCCTGGAAACCGGCCCTATTTCAAATGTCTCAAATTGATTCCTTCTTTCACCCAGGCCTAGGCCCTCCTCCCTGCCTCAGCACCTCAGCCAGCTGGCTCCGGGACGGAGGGGGGACCATGGAGGACCCCCGGGGACGGACCCCCTGTTATGAGGACCTGGAGCTGGGGGCGCTGACCTCCTACTTCTCCTTCCGTCCTCCGTCACCCAGACCTCCGGGCTCCACCCCTCCGCCCCAGCAGAACCATCCGCCCCCAGGGGCAGGGCAGCCCCAGAACCGCCTGGATGGGGGGGTCGGAGGAGGAGGAGGAGGGGTGAATAGAAGGGTTAACCCAACCCAGCAACCGGCTAACTTGGTGTCAGAGTCTAGAGGGATAGATTTCCCTTTGTCTCCCAGCGTGATACGGGCTCTGGAGGGGCTGCACTACATTGCCGACCACCTGAGGGCAGAGGACGCCGACTTTAGTGTGAGTATTTATGACGTAGTATCAGTGTGAGTGATTTTATGGCGTAACACAACAGACCAGACTTTAGTGTGAGTATTTATGACGTAGTATCAGTGTGAGTGATTTTATGGCGTAGCACAACAGACCAGACTTTAGTGTGAGTATTTATGACGTAGTATCAGTGTGAGTGATTTTATGGCGTAACACAACAGACCAGACTTTAGTGTGAGTATTTATGACGTAGTATCAGTGTGAGTGATTTTATGGCGTAGCACAACAGACCAGACTTTAGTGTGAGTGGTTATGACATGCAGATCCTTTTGATCTTTCTATTTCTGAAATGTCAAGAATCTACAGTGTCTATATACCCAGATAAGCACCCTGTTCCTGAAAACCTTTTGGTAGTGCCGGCACACCTGTATACTGGTTATGAAAGACAGTAACACAGCTGAACAGGGTAGTATTTGTAGCACTAATATTGCAGGTAGCTGCTATTTTTTGTAGAACATTAATTACAAAGATTGTTCAACTAAACCATCACGATCGTTGCACTAAATCAACTATAAAGTGTTACCATTCATTCATGTCTCTCTCTCCTCTCCATCCAGGTGAAGGAAGACTGGAAGTACGTTGCCATGGTGATCGACCGTATCTTCCTGTGGATGTTTATCATCGTGTGTCTCCTAGGAACCATTGGACTCTTCCTCCCTCCCTGGCTGGCTGGCATGATCTAGGTCCTGGACCCTTCCTTCCTCCCTGGCTGGCTGGCATGATCTAGGACCTGGACTCTTCCTCCCTCCCTGGCTGGCTGGCATGATCTAGGACCTGGACTCTTCCTCCCTCCCTGGCTGGCTGGCATGATCTAGGACCTGGACTCTTCCTCGCTCCCTGGCTGGCCATCATGATCTAGGACCTGGACTCTTCCTCCCTCCCTGGCTGGCTGGCCTGATCTAGGACCTGGACTCTTCCTCCCTCCCTGGCTGGCTGGCATGATCTAGGACCTGGACTCTTCCTCGCTCCCTGGCTGGCTGGCATGATCTAGGTCCTGGACCCTTCCTTCCTCCCTGGCTGGCTGGCATGATCTAGGACCTGGACTCTTCCTCGCTCCCTGGCTGGCCATCATGATCTAGGACCTGGACTCTTCCTCCATCCCTGGCTGGCTGGCATGATCTAGGTCCTGGACCCTTCCTTCCTCCCTGGCTGGCCATCATGATCTAGGACCTGGACTCTTCCTCCCTCCCTGGCTGGCCACCATGATCTAGGACCTGGACTCTTCCTCCATCCCTAGGGTCTGGGCCTGAGATCTACCATGCCTGGCCGGCATGATTTAGGACCGGGGGTCTGGCCTGAGATCTACCATGCTTGGCACAAGACTGGCATCATTTAGGGCCTGTAGACCTATCCTCTGCCCCCAGAGCAGGCTGGCACAGTGTAACTGGCACTACGACAGTGGTGTGCAGTAACTTGAACCACTTGGTATTCATGCAGAAAATTATGATTTAGGAGGAGATGAAGAACTGTTAACAAACATCATATCCAAGCAGGCAGAGGACCTTTCTGTTCCACATAGGAATATCCAAGCAGGCAGAGGACCTTTCTGTTCCACATAGGAATATCCAAGCAGGCAGAGGACCTTTCTGTTCCACATAGGAATATCCAAGCAGGCAGAGGACCTTTCTGTTCCACATAGGAATAAACAGAACTGAGGAAGTAACTAGATGACTGACTGGCACAACCAATGTACTGCTTCATATTGGAGAAGCAATGACTTGTGGGTAAATGCTATCCAATAAGGTGACTGTCCGCTTTTCACCTCAAAAGGACAAATAAGTTGCATGCTCTACTGGGAGAGAAAAAATAGTACTTTGATAATATGAACTCTGAATCAGTTTGCATTGCAAAGCAGAGCATTACTTTTCTATTGACTGAGTCTCTCTCTATCCTCTCCCTCTCTCTTATAGATAGCATACGATCTAGATAATAAAAAAAACAGGAGAAGTGAGAAAAAAGAAGCCGGCGAACTAAGAAGAGACGCTATAGGAGCTAAGTTCTGCACCCTCGCGACGCCCCCCCTCTCTCTCTCTCTCTCTGCCTCCCACCCTCTCTCCTTCTTCCCCCCCCCCCCCCCTCTCTCTCTCTCTCTCTCTCTCTCTCTGCCTCCCCCCTCTCTCCTCCCCCCCCCCCCCCCTCTCTCTCTCTCTCTCTCTCTCTCTCTATAACAATATGAAACACGTGTTGCTGTGTAATAAAGACTATATAAACAGAAACGGCTGTTTTGGGAATCGATAGGAATGAAAACGATTTTGGTAACTGATTTAACGTTTGCACCAAGAGTACTGATTGAATCGCAGATAGAAGGAACCTTATGGTTCTGGGTTCAGCCATTAGGTGCTATCTGGCAGTTCTGAATTAGACGTGTTCAGTTTGTAAGGAAACTGTAGCTATTTGAATATAAAAAACTATAGAATAACAGTATTTTACCAAGAAAAATTCAGAACACATCATCAAATACATTAAGAAATGTACTATGATCATCAGAATAATTACTGAACAACGCTGTGACATCAACATTTACTTTAAGATTTCTGACAGTGTTGTTTTGTTTTTTTGCTTGCTTTCCATTACTGCTGGCTAGACTAGCCTAGACCCGTACTTAGAGGGAGACGGCAAAGACGTGTTCTGATTGGTCCGTCTGTATTTGTTCAGGCTTGTGATTGGATTGCAGATAGAACCTTCTAGTTTCTGTTTTTTTCGCTTAACATTAACTTTAAAAAATATATATATAATTTCACAGACATGAAGAACCATCTTAAAGATCAATTATATGAGAGTAACTAATTCTTTTATCAAAAATGTACAGTCCCAAGGTCTTGTTTTGTCCTAGTGTCTGACGTTTTTATTGAAATTCGTTCCATTGTCTCTATTCATATCCATGATGATACAGATGATACAGTGGAAATATAGAAGGGTGCAGTATATTAAAACATTGTCAACAGGGTATTTTCATAACTTTCCTAAATTCTGTATCACTGCACAGAAAGCACACTTTAACTTATATTGAAAAAAAATAAAAAAAATACTATACTATACTGTCAGTTGAATTTAATATACTACAAAACGGATGTAAAAATGGAAAGGTAATGGGCAGTGGTATTATATCTATTTGGTCAAACTCTTAGTCTAGAAACATTATTACACATTCCATGAAACAACACATGCTTTTTTTTTTTTTTTTTTTTGGGGGGGGGGGGTAGATCAGCTAAATATTGCAGATAGATTGTAACTTCCATCAATGTAATTGTCTGCATCACTTCCAATCCCCCATGTTTTATATATATATATATATATATACACTCCCCTTTGTTACTTTTCAACCCCGCCATTCTTTCCCTATAACACATATGCTATTAATAAATCAATTGATCTGGCCAGCATTATTGGAAACATATGAAAATAACCCAGAAGTAAATTCACCTGGATACCTAAACAGACTATTTAAAACACCGATAAAATTCAAGACATGAGATGATACAGATAATCCTGACACACTAATTCAATTTAAAAGGAAACCTTGACCACTGTACTGCCAAGTCACTCCAAGAGGGGGTGTCCTGTGGGTATTTACCCCACTATGGGCTCTCCGGTTTGGGCTTGGCCAGGTTGGCCCTGACCCTGGCCTGGTCCACAGCATCCAGGAGGTTCTTCCCATCCATGGCCAGGTTGTGTGCTGCAGTCAGCATCTGTTTCTTACACTCCTCCTTCAGAGAGGTGACAGCGTTCTGCTGGGCCAGACGCATTTTACTGATCAACTCTGCCATGTCGTTGTTCAAGAGCTTCTGGGTCCCCTCAATCTGACCAGGGGAAAAGAGGGGGAGGAGAGAAGGGAGACAGGGAATAGTTAGTCAACTCTGCCATGTCATTGTTCAAATTGACCAGGGGGAAAGAGGAGAGGAGGAGAGGAGAGGAGAGAAGAGTGGATGAGATAGGGGACAGAGGTGAGGAGGGGAGGAGAGGGAGAGAGGGAGAGAGGAGAGGAGAGGGAAGAGGACCGAGGAGAGGAGAGGAGAGGAGGGAGAGGAGGGAGAGGAGCGGATGAGGAGAGGAGAGGAGAGGAGTTGAGAGGAGGGAGGAGAGGGGAGAGGAGAGGAGAGGAGGGGAGAGAGAGGAGAGAGGGAGAGGAGAGGAGACGAGAGGAGGAGAGTGGATGAGATAGGGGACAGAGTTGAGAGGAGAGGAGAGGAGGGGAGAGGAGGAGAAGGGGAGAGGAGAGGTGAGATGGAGGAAGGAGGATAGGGCAGGTGAGAGGAAGGGAGAGGAGAGGGGATGAGATAGGGGACAGAGGTGAGAGGGAGAGAGGGGGAGAAGGGAGAGGTGAGAGAGGGGAGAGGTGAGAGGAGAGAGAGGGGATGGAAGGGAAGAGTGAGAGGAGAGGAGAGTGGAGAGATAGGGGACAGAGGTGAGAGGAGGGGAGAGGAGAGGAGAGGAAGGAGAGGAGAGTGGATGAGATAGGGGACAGAGGTGAGAGGAGAGGAGAGGAGAGTGGATGAGGATAGAGAGGAGGACAGAGGTGAGGAGAGGAGAGGAGAGGGAGAGGAGAGGAGAGAGAGGAGAGGAGAGGAGAGGAGAGGAGAGGAGAGGAGAGTGGATGAGATAGGGCGATAAGAGATTTGACAGTCTGTTTTATATTTTTTTTCTGCTTAATAATATGACATATGTTCACTCTCACCTCTTAATAATATGACATATGTTCACTCTCACCTCTGTCCTAATGGACTTATGGAGGGTGGGTAGAATATCATCCACACTGCGTATCAGACTCCTTAAGGTCAGCCCCACAGACTGAAGAGAGAAGACGGTTATACATTTCAAATGAACCTTTTGTAACCTTATTAATGCAGCTAACGCCCTCATAGCCAACTGCATGAATGCTATTAGACAGTATCCGAAGTCATCGGCTCCGTGTCTTACTGTACCTTGATGATGGTGATGTACTCCTCGGGCTGTAGTGTGTTGACGTTGTTCTTCAGCTGCACCACCACCTGGACCAGCTCCATGACTGCCTGGTACACCTGGTCATCTGACCGGTCCAGCTCTGCTGTAGGGCGAGCCTGGGATGTAGGGGGGGCCTGGGATGTAGGGGGGGGCTGGGATGTAGGGCGGGCCTGGGATGTAGGGGGGGGCTGGGATGTAGGAGGGGCCTGGGATGTAGGGGGAGCCTGGGATGTAGGGGGGGGCTGGGATGTAAGGGGGGCCTGGGTTGTAGGGGGTGCCTGGGATGTAGGGGGTGCCTGGGCTGTGGGGCCGGTGAGATGCAGGGGCTTGTCTGGCATGGCTGGTTTTCAGAGTGGAGAGGAGGGTGAGAGAAGGAGAGAAGCTTAAAGCTGTGTTTTTTTAGACTTACGTACCACCAGATATTCTATTTCTAGGATATTCTTAAGGGTGACCACTCACCATGTCCAGTCTCTGGTTCGGGTGACTGCAGACAGAGAGAAAAATAAGATGATATGACAATGACCTGTATTAACCTGATAAAGAAATATGGCGCTGCAGTGGATAGTAGCCATCTGATGTCTCTGCCATCACTTCCTATGACCGAAAATAGCTTCTGGACATCGGAACAGCAATCAGTAAACACAATTTGGATGAAATGTCTACTTCGACCAGTCAGGAGCTCTGGATGTTCTGCTTACTCCGGACCAGGCCCAGGACTCGAAAGAGGAAGTGGCTGCGAAAGAGAGGCAGGCGAGGCAGCATCCTGACTGGACTACGTCGGTGAGCAAATAGAACGCCATTGCCCTCTGTTCTAATGGCAAACGTTCAGTCACTGGAGAAAAAACTGGATGAGCTCCGTTCGAGACTATCCTATCAACGGGACATGAAAAACCGGTGCTACTCCATGTTTTTCTATGAGTCGTGGCTGAACGAGGACATGGTTAATATACATCTCGTTGGTTTTTCTATGCGTGGTCAAGACTGGACGGCAGACTCGGGTAAGACGAGGGGAGGAGGGGTGTGTCTCTTAGTTAACAACAGCTGGTGTGCGATCTCTAATGTTAAAGGAAGTCTCAAGTTTTTGCTCGCCTGACTTAGAATACCTGATGATAAGCTGCAGACCATAGTATTTACCAAGAGAGTTTTAATCTATGATTTTGTAGCTGTCTATTTACCACCACAAACCGATGCTGGCACTAAGACCGCACTCAACCAGCTGTATAGGGCCATAAGCAAACAAGGAAAATTAACATCCAGAGCCGGTGTTTCTAGTGGCCGGTGATTTTAATGCAGGGAAAATGAAATCTGTTTTACCAAATTTGACCCAAAATAGCATGTCACCTGTACAACTAGAGGTGACAAAACTCTAGATCACCTTTACTCCACACACAGAAACACATACAAGGCCCTCCCTCACCCTCCATTTGGCAAATCAGACCATGGCCCTATCCTCCTGCTTCCTGCTTACAAGCAAAAACTCAAACAGGAAATACCAGTGACGTGCTCAACACACAAGTGGTCTGATGAAGTGGATACTAAGCTACAGGACTGTTTCGCTAGCACAGACTGGAATATTTTCCGGGATTCATCTGATGGCTTTGAGGAGTTTAACCACATCAGTCACCGGCTTCATTAATAAGTGCATCGACGATGTCGTCCCCACAGTGATCGTACGTACATACCCCAACCAGAAGCCATGGATTACAGGCAACATCCGCACTGAGCTAAAGGCTAGAGCTGCCACTAATCTGGACGCTTAAAATAAATCCTGCTATGACCTCCGATGAGCCATCAAACAGGCCAAAGCGTCAATACAGGACTAAGATCAAATCTTATTACGTCGGCTCTGATGCTCGTTGGATGTGGCAGGTCTCGGAAACTATCACGGATTACAAAGGGAAACCCAGCCGCGAGCTGCCCAGCGACGCTGGGCTAAATGCCTTCAATGCTCAGTTCGAGGCAAGCAACACTGAACCATCCATGAGAGCACCAGCTGTTCCAAACAACTGTTCCAGAACTATCGTGTGATCTCGCTGTCCATAGCCGACGTAAGACCTTTACAACTCCATCATCAAGTTTTTTGATGACACGACAGTGATAGGACTGATCACGATAAGGCAGCCTATAGGGAGGAGGTCAGAGACCTGGCAATGTGGTGCCAGAAAAACAACCTCTCCCTCAATGTCAGCAAGACAAAGGAGCTGATCGTGGACTACAGGAAACGGAAGGGCGAGCATACCCCCATCCATATCGACAGGGCTGTAGTGGAGCGCATCTAGAGCTTAAAGTTCCTCGGTGTCCACATCACTAAGGAATTAACATGGTCCACACTAGAGGTCTTCACACTTCCAGAAATGTTGACCCATTCCGAAATGGATCCGTGGCTTTCCTACCTGATCCGATATGCATAAAAAAATATTTAGATATATAGAGACCCATTCCGAATGGACCCGAGGACAGTCAGACCCGTTACAAAAAGGCCTGTGGAAAGACAGACCCAAACAGACCCATGCCGGGTTCAGATCTGAGAGACTCATTCAGATCTGAGAGACCCGTTCTGATCTGAGAGACCCGTTCGGATCTGAGAGACCCGTTCTGATCTGAGAGACCCGTTCTGATCTGAGAGACCCGTTCAGATTTGAGAGACCCGTTCTGATCTGAGAGACCCGTTCGGATCTGAGAGACCCGTTCGGATCTGAGAGACCCGTTCTGATCTGAGAGACCCGTTCGGATCTGAGAGTAGAAAGGAAGAGAAAGAAACGTTGACTGGGTGCTGCCAGCGCCATCAATAAACAAGCCATATTGGCCAAATGATTCACCTCACGGTTCAGCTGTCTGAGATTTAAGTGCAAATGCATCAAGGCATTGCATGAATATAGGCCTGTAGACCTAGGCATCCAATGTATGATATTGATATTAAAAGGATCAGACCCTTCATCTCAATTTCAGCCTAAGATGACATACCCAAATCTAACTGTCTGTAGCTCAGGACCTGAAGCAAGGATATGCATATTCTTGATACCATTTGAAAGGAAACACTTTGAAGTTTGTGGAAATGTGAAATGAATGTAGGAGAACATAACGCAATAGATCTGGTAAAAGATTAAACAAACAAAAAAAAAGGGTGGCTACTTTGAAGAATCTCAAATATAAAATACATTTTGATTTGTATAATACTTCTTTGGTTACTACATGATTCCATATGTGTTATTTCATAGTTTTGATGTCTTCACTATTATTCTACAATGTAGAAAATAGTAAAAATAAAGAAAAACCCTTGAATGAGTAGGTGTGTCCAAACATTTGGTACTGTAAGTATTCAGACCCTTTGCTATGAACCTCGAAATTGAGCTCAGGTGTATCCTGTTTCCATTGATCATCCTTGAGATGTTTCTACAACTTGATTGGAGTCCACCTGTGGTAAATTCAATTGATTGGACATGATTTGGAAAGGCACACACCTGTCTATGTAAGGTCCCACAGTTGACAGTGCATGTCAGAGCAAATACCAAGCCATGAGGCTGAAGGAATTGTCTGTAGAGCTCAGAGACAGGATTGTGTCGAGACACAGATGTGGGGAAGGATACCAAAAAATGTCTGCAGCATTGAACGTCCAAGAACACAGAGGCCTCCAGCACTGTTAAATGGAAGAAGTTTGGAACCACCAAGACTCTTCCTAGGGCTGGCCACCCGGCCAAACTGAGCAATTGTGGGAGAAGGGCCTTGGTCAGGGAGGTGACCAAGAACCCGATGGTCACTCTGACAGAGCTCCAGAGTTCATCTGTGGAGATGGGAGAACCTTCCAGAAGGACAACCATCTCTGCAGCACTCCACCAATCATTCTGTTATCGTAGAGTGGCCAGACGGAAGCCACTCCTCAGTAAAAGGAACATGACAGCCCGCTTGGAGTTTGCCAAAAGGCATCTAAAGGACTCTCAGACAATGAGAAACAAGATTCTCTGGTCTGATGAAACCAAGATTGAACTCTTTGGCCTGAATTCCATGTGTCATGTCTGGAGGAAACCTGGCACCATCCCTACAGTGAAGCATGGTGGTGAATCATGGGGATGTTTTTCAGCGGCAGGGACTGGGACACTAGTCAGGATCGAGGGAAACATGAACGGAGCAAAGGACAGCGAGTCCTTGATGAAAACCTACTCCAGAGCGCTCAGGAACTCAGACTGGGGCGAAGGTTCACCTTCCAACAGGACAACGACCCTAATCACACAGCCAAGACCATGCAGGAGTGGCTTCGGGACAAGTCTCTGAATGTCCTTGAGTGGCCCAGCCAGAGCCCGGACTTGAACCCGATCTAACATCTCTGGAGAGACCTGAAAATAGCTGTGTAGTGATGCTCCCCATCCAACCTGACAGAGCTCGAGAGGATCTGCAGAGAAGAATGGGAGAAACTCCCCAAATACAGGTGTGCCAAGCTTGTAGCGTCATACCCAAGAAGACTGGAGGCTTTAATCACTGCCAAAGGTGCTTCAACAAACTACTGAGTAAAGGGTATGAATACTTATTTAAATGGGTCTGAATACTTTCCGAATGCACTGTATATGTACAAATCTACCTCAGTTACCTCGTACCCCTGCACATTGACTGTACTGGAACTGCCTGGTACTTCCTGTATATAGCCATGTTATTTCCTGGTACTTCCTGTATATAGCCATGTTATTACCTGGTACTCCCTGTATATAGCCATGTTATTACCTGGTACTCCCCTGTATATAGCCGTGTTATTACCTAGTACTCCCTGTATATAACCATGTTATTACCTGGTACTCCCCTGTATATAGCTGTGTTATTACCTGGTACTTCCTGTATATAGCCATGTTATTACCTGGTACTCCCTGTATATAGCCGTGTTATTACCTAGTAATTCCTGTATATAGCCGTGTTATTACCTGGTACTTCCTGTATATAGCCATGTTATTACCTGGTACTCCCTGTATATAGCCGTGTTATTACCTAGTAATTCCTGTATATAGCCGTGTTATTACCTGGTACTTCCTGTTATAATCATGTTATTTTTACTTGTTATTGTTATTCACTGTTCTATTTTACTTCTCATTAAATCTTCATCTTTAACTCTACATTGTAGGAAAAGGACCCGTCAGTAAGCATTTCACTGTTAGTCTACCCCTGTTGTTTACGAAGCATGTGACAAATAACATTTGATTCGATGTTTAGATAATCATACCAGTTACTGTCCAGCCGAAACATACTGAAATATCACATTGCAGTAAAGTAAGTTGTTAATTGGATAAAAATTAATTGCGACCTCATGTAAATGGGTCGAGCCACAACTAAAGGAATAGAAAATTATAACATACGGTAACACTATACTTAAATATTTCAGGTATAATGCTTTATAACTTGTTATAAGCATCTATGAGCCGTTATTATAATGTATTTTAGTAAAGCGTAACACATGTTACACATACCTGTGGGTTGGTGGTGTCCTCCTGTCCCATTGGGTCCTGTAAAGAAACAAGTAGGTTCAGATTCATTTGACACAATATGAAAACCGACCCACGATTGGTCACGGACCCCATGGTCCCCACAGGGACTGTCAATTTACAAAACACAGAACATTGAGAGTTATAGGGATGGTTGTTAGGATGGACTATGGGATGGTTGTTAGGATGGATTACGGGATGGTTGTTAGGATGGACTACGGGATGGTTGTTAGGACTACGGGATGGTTAGATGGATGATGGTGTTAGGATGGACTACAGGATGGTTGTAGTAGGACAACAGGATGGTGTTAGGATGGACTACGGGATGGTTGTTAGGATGGACCACGGGATGGTTGTTAGGATGGTTTACGGGATGGTTGTTAGGACTACGGGGTGGTTGTTAGGATGGACTTCGGGATGGTTGTTAGGATGGACTACGGGATGGTTGTTAGGATGGACTATGGGATGGTTGTTAGGATGGACTACGGGATGGTTGTTAGGATGGACTATGGGGTGGTTGTTAGGATGGACTACGGGATGGTTGTTAGGATGGACTATGGGGTGGTTGTTAGGATGGACTACGGGATGGTTGTTAGGATGGACTACGGGATGGTTGTTAGGATGGACACGGTGGTGGTTGTTAGGATGGACTACGGGATGGTTGTTAGGATGGACTACGGGATGGTTGTTAGGGTGGACTACGGGATGGTTGTTAGGATGGACTACGGGATGGTTGTTAGGATGGACTACGGGATGGTTGTTAGGATGGACCACGGGATGGTTGTTAGGATGGTTAGGGATGGTTGTTAGGACTACGGGTGGTTGTTAGGATGGATTCGGGATGGTTGTTAGGATGGACTACGGGATGGTTGGTTAGATGGACTACGGGTGGTTGTTAGGATGGACTACGGATGGTTGTGATAGGGGTTGTAGGATTACGGGGATGGTTGTTAGGATGGACTGCGGGATGGTTGTTAGGATGGACTACGGGATGGTTGTTAGGATGGACTACGGGATGGTTGTTAGGATGGACTACGGGATGGTTGTTAGGATGGACTACGGGATGGTTGTTAGGATGGATTACGGGATGGTTGTTAGGATGGACTACGGGATGGTTGTTAGGATGGACTACGGGATGGTTGTTAGGATGGATTACGGGATGGTTGTTAGGATGGACTATGGGATGGTTGTTAGGATGGACTACGGGATGGTTGTTAGGATGGACCACGGGATGGTTGTTAGGATGGATTACGGGATGGTTGTAGGATGGATTACGGGATGGTTGTTTAGGATGGACTATGGGATGGTTGTTAGGATGGATACGGGATGGTGTTAGGATGGACTACGGATGTGGATGGTTGTTTAGGATGGACTACGGGATGGTTGTTAGGATGGACTATGGGATGGTTGTTAGGATGGACTACGGGATGGTGTTAGGATGGACTACGGGATGGTTGTTAGGATGGATACGGGGGTGGTGTTAGGATGGACTACGGGGTGGTTGGTTAGGATGGACACTGGATGGTTGTTTAGGAGGACTACGGGAGTGGGTGGGTGTTAGGATGGACTACGGGATGGTTGTTAGAGGACTACGGGGGTGGTTGTTAGGTGGACTACGGGATGGTTGTTAGGATGGACTACGGGATGGTTGTTAGGATGGACTAGGGGATGGTTGTTAGGATGGACTACGGGGTGTTAGGATGGACTACGGGATGGTGTTGTTAGGATGGACTACGGGATGGTTGTAGGATGGACTAACCGGGATGGTTGTTAGGATGGACTACAGGATGGTTGTTAGGATGGACTCGGGATGGTTGTTAGGAGGATGGACTACGGATGGTGTTAGGATGGATGTTAGGATGGACTAACGGAATGGTTGTTAGGAGGACTACGGGTTGGTTGTTAGGATGGATACGGGATGGTTGTTAGGATGGACTACGGGGATGGTTGTTGGATGGACTACGGGGTGGTTGTTAGGTGGACTACGGGAGGTTGTAGGATGGCACTAGGGATAGTTGTTGTGCGATGGCTACGGATGTTTGTTAGGATGGAAGGGATGGTTGTTAGGATGGACTACGGGATGTGTTAGGATGGACTACGGGATGGTTTAGATGGATGTAGGGATGGTTGTTTAGACTACGGGATGGTTTTTAGATGACTATGGGATGTTGTTAGGATGGATTATGGGATGGTTCTACGTGGTGTTAGAATGGATCTAGGGTTGTTAGGATGGACTACGGTGGTTGTAGAGGGACTCGGTTGGGTTAGTACGATGGTGTAGGTTTGGACTAACGTGGTGGTTAGGCGTATAGGGTAGGTGCATTGTGGATAGGGGGCCTTTGTAATTTGTAAATGGGCTGTTCAGGTGGACTATGTCTAGGGGTGTAAAGGTTGGAAGTCAGAAGTTTACATACACCTTAGCCCAAATGCATTAAACCTCAGTTTTTCACAATTCCTGACATTTAATCCTAGTAAAAATTCCCTGTCTTAGGTCAGTTTAGGATCACCACTTTATTTTAAGAATGTGGAAATGTCAAATAATAGTAAAGAGATGATTTATTTCAGCTGGTATTTCTTTCATCACATTCCCAGTGGGTCAGAAGTTTACATACACTCAATTAGCATTTGGTAGCATTGCCTTTAAATGTTTTAACTTGGGTCAAACGTTTTGGGTAGCCTTGCACAACAAGTTGGGTGAATTTTGGCCCATTCCTCCTGACAGAGCTGGTGTAACTGAGTCAGGTTTGTAGGCCTCCTTGCTCGTACACGCTTTTACAGTTCTGCCCACAAATCTTCTATAGGATTGAGGTCAGGGCTTTGTGATGGCCACTCCAATACCTTGACTTTGTTGTCCTTAAGCCATTTTGCCACAACTTTGGAAGTATGCTTGGGGTCATTGTCCATTTGGAAGACCCATTTGCGACCAAGCTTTAACTTCCTGACTGATGTCTTGAGATGTTGCTTCAATATATCCACATCATTTTCCTTCCTCATGATGCCATCTATTTTGTGAAGTGCACCAGTCCCTCCTGCAGCAAAGCACCCCCACAGCATGATGCTGCCACCCCCTTGCTTCACGGTAGGGATGGTGTTCTTCGGCTTGCAAGCATCCCCCTTTTTCCTCCAAACATAACGATGGTCATTATGGCCAAACAGTTCTATTATTGTTTCATCAGACCAGAGGACATTTCTTCAAAAGTATAATCTTTGTCCCCATGTGAAGTTGCAATCCGTAGTCTGGCTTTTTTATGGTGGTTTTGGAGCAGTGGCTTCTTCCTTGCTGAGTGGCCTTTCAGGTTATGTCGATATAGGACTCGTTTTACTGTGGATATAGATACTTTGTACCTGTTACCTCCAGCAATCTTCACAAGGTCCTTTGCTGTTGTTCTGGGATTGATTTGCAGTTTTCGCACCAAAGTACGTTCATCTCTAGGAGACAGAACGCGTCTCCTTCCTGAGCGGTATGATGGCTGCGTGGTCCCATGGTGTTTATACTTGCGTACTATTGTTTGTACAGATGAACGTGGTACCTTCAGGCGTTTGGAAATTGCTCCCAAGGATGAAACAGACTTGTGGAGGTCTACCATTTTTTTTCTGAGGTCTTGGCTGATTTCTTTTGATTTTCCCATGATGTCAAGCAAAGAGGCACTGCGTTTGAAGGTAGGCCTTGAAATACACCCACAGGTACACCTCCAATTTACTCAAATGATGTCAATTAGCCTATCAGAAACTTCTAAAGCCATGACATCATTTTCTGGAATTTCCCAAGCTGTTTAAAGGTACAGTCAACTTAGTGTATGTAAACTTCTGACCCACTGGAATTGTGATACAGTTAATTATAAGTGAAATAATCTGTCTGTAAACAATTGTTGGAAAAATTACTTGTGTCATGCACAAAGTAGATGTCCTAACCGACTTGCCAAAACTATAGTTTGTTAACAAGAAATTTGTGCAGTGGTTGAAAAACGAGTTTTAATGACTACAACCTAAGTGTATGTAAACTTCTGACTTCAACTGTATATTCCCCACCAGGAGTTTCTCTTCCTTGGTCAGCCAATTGTTGTTAGGAGGTTGTTAGGGTGGTTGCTAGGGCGGGTTGCTAGATCTAGGGGGGTAAAGGTTGGAGGTATATTCCCCACTAGGAGCCTTTCCTCCTTGGTCAGCCATTTGTTGTTAGGGGACTGTTTGTTAGGGTGGAGAGGTGGGTGGTTGCTAGGGTTGACTAGGTCAACAAGGTTTGGTTGCTAGTGTGGAATAGGTTGTGGTTGCTAGGGCGAGTTGCTAGGTCTAGGGGGGTAGAGGTCGGAGGTGTATTCCCCACCAGGAGTCTTTCCTCCTTGGTCAGCCACTTGTTGTCCTCCATCATCTGTTGTTTCTGTTGTCTCATCGTCTCCTGCATACGCTGTCTCTCCATCTGCCACAACCGCTGGGCGTCCTCCTTACTGGACGGCTCCACGATCAACTCTCCCTCCTGGTGGGAGGGAACGCACACATTCAGACACACACACACACACATTCAGACACACACACACACATTCAGACACACACACACACACATTCAGACACACACACACACATTCAGACACACACACACACACACACATTCAGACACACATGCACACATACATTCAGACACACACGCACACGCACACATTCAGACACACGCACACACACATTCAGACACACACGCACACACACACATTCAGACACACGCACACATACATATAGTACAGAGCAAGTAATACAGCAGCCTTGCTTGTTGGGCTTATTGCAGTAACACAAGGCTTTAAAGAGCAAGGACATATGACTGGGATGGTCCTCGAGACTAGAACTAGATAACTAGAGTCTAGAAGGAAGTAGACTAGAACTAGATAACTAGAGTCTAGAAGGAAGTAGACCAGAACTAGATAACTAGAGTCTAGAAGGAAGTAGACCAGAACTAGATAACTAGTCTAGAAGGAAGTAGACTAGAACTAGATAACTAGTCTAGAAGGAAGTAGACTAGACCTAGATAACTAGAGTCTAGAAGGAAGTAGACTAGAACTAGATAACTAGTCTAGAAGGAAGTAGACTAGACCTAGATAACTAGAGTCTAGAAGGAAGTAGACTAGAACTAGATAACTAGTCTAGAAGGAAGTAGACTAGAACTAGATAACTAGTCTCACCCCCATGCTGCGTCGTCGTGGAGACACCGTGGGCACCATCAAGGTGTTGGTCATGGAGTCAATGGGAGTGGTGTAGTCACAGGGACTGACCAGGTCTGGAGAGCTGGCACACAGGGCCTCATTCAGCTGAATGTGCAGACCGATACTGTTCCCAAAACGACTCCCATATTTCATCCTGCAGGGCTGGAGACACGGGACAGAACCGATGACGAGCGTTGAGTAACTTACATGCAAATGCTTACAACGCTACGACAGAAAGGCATTGATGCAGAAGGTGGTGGTGGGGGGGGGGGGGGGGGGGGTCATCAAGAAGATACTGTATGACGCTACCTTAGGGGGAGGTTCGTTGAAGTTGATCTTGGTGTCGTAGAACTTGGTGGAGCGCTGTCTGTCTCTCTCTCTCTCCACCTCCTGCTCCTTCTCCATCCGATGGACGTCGCTGTTACAGAACAGACAGACAGTTTAGTAGGCGGCATGCTGGGCAAGGGAGAAATAGCTTGATCCCATTCCAGTCAGATTCCACTGTTACATCAGGCATTGACATTGAAATGATCGAACATGTCTGCTGTGATATTACAACCAGTGACAGCGCTATGAGTTGTCTGATTGGCAACTCTAGATTGTCGCTTTACTTTCCTTTGGAGGAACCATCAAGGTATAGTTTGTTTACCGTAAAGTGTCCAAGCACCTAACAGGGGTGGCTGCTGATGTAGTCCTTTTGATGTCTGTGTCCAGGGACATCTCAAGGACTAGAAACACAAAACTCTCTCCTCATGCCGAGCCATGTCAACAACTCAACAATAACTTCAACATGCCGAGCCATGTCAACAACTCAACAGTAACTTCAACATGCCGAGCCATGTCAACAACTCAACAATAACTTCAACATGCCGAGCCATGTGAACAACTCAACAGTAACTTCAACATGCCGAGCCATGTCAACAACTCAACAGTAACTTCAACATGCCGAGCCATGTCAACAACTCAACAGTAACTTCAACATGGCCGAGCCATGTCAACAGCGTCGTCCAGGTAGGGGGAGGGAATGCCGGGAGGGATGAGCTCGTTGATAGAGCAATGGCGTTTTGCAACACCAGGGTTGTGGGTTGATTCCCACGGGGGGTCAGTATAAAAAATAAATATAATGTATGTCACTCACACTAACTTGTAAGTCGCTCTGGATAAGAGCGTCTGCTAAATGACAAAAATGTAAATGTATGTGCTTAAACATGCCCTCTGTTGGTTAAAAGGAGCATTAATGGCAAGCGCTGTAACGGACCATACCCTACCACAGCATTACATTTACATTCAGTCATTTAGCAGACGCTCTTATCCAGAGCGACTACAGTTAGTGCATACATTATTTTATTTGTTTATACTGGCCCCCTGTGGGAATTGAACCACAACCCTGGCGTTGCAAACGCCATGCTTTACCAACTGAGCTACATCCCTGCCGGCAATTCCCTCCCCTACCCTGGACGACGCTGGGCCAATTATGCGCCGCCCCATGGGTCTCCCGGTCGCGGCCGGCTACAACAGAGCCTGGATTCGAACCAGGATCTCTAGTGGCACAGCTAGCACTGCGATGCAGTGCCTTAGACCACTGCGCCACTCGGGAGAGCATAAAGCATACCACAGCATATGGCATACCCCACTGCAGTATGATGCTACTTTTAATTGAGGAACCACTGTAGATCTACGTATGTAGGGCCTGTTTTTTCCCCATCAATGACTAGGGTAGGGGCAGGGCTCGGGTATCACTAACATTATGAAGCCATTTGCTTGTGCTCTGCTGTGCAGTACAGTGATATCTGTCTAAGATCATAACGTGGTGTCAGAAGTGCTTCAACCTCGTCAAATATAAGACAGGAGAGATTATTTCACAGAAAATAATAACGTTCGTTGAGTTTTGTTGAAAAGTAGCTACCAGCTAACTGCTCTCTAATGTCTTTTCGTTGAGCAGAGTAGCCCAAGTGGAGCCGTTGCTATGGATACTGAGATACTCGGAGCCGCCATTAGCGGAGTTCATTGAGAGCGAGCTGCGCACAGGGAGCGAGTGACAGACAGAGAGGAGCAGATCATGGATTTACAAACGAAGGATGTTTTTTCTGATTTCGGGTTTTGGGCAGAAGCAATTGGGCCTGGGTCGGATAGGGCCTGAACGTCGCAGGCATGGGTAGGGCTCAGGCTTAAAATTCATGGCCGTGCAGGGCTCTAAACCACAACCCTTTCAAGTCCCACTTTGTGGCACACTGTTACCAGGCTCTATGTGCCAGCGATTCGAGCCTGGGGACAAGGTTATATTGTATTTAATCCAGCGTCTCAGAACATGTCCAGCACAGGCCACGTCAGTACTTGATCTTGACCAAATATGCTCTTAGATCTATGTAAGGTCATGTCAGTATTGTAATGTCTTGTCCATTCAAGTATCCAGGCCAGGGTAGGATCTTATCTTGACGACTCGCTCAGTGAAGTAAGAATAACTAAAACTCAAGACTATTCAAATGAATTCAATTCAAAATACTTTATGGGACAATTGCAGGTAGATTAGAGTACCTGATCTTGACGACCAGCTCGGTGAAGGAGGGTCTGTCGCGGGGGTCGTAGGACCAGCAGCGGGTCATGAGGGAGTAGAGGGCAGGGGGGCAGTTGTCAGGTTTGGGAAGTCTGATGCCCTGCTCCAGCTGGTTGATGACATCACGGTTCTCTAACCAGAAGAAAGGCTGCTGTCCCTGGCTCAGGATCTCCCATATACACACCGCTAGGGGGGGGGGGGGGGGGAGTTACACATAGATACAGACAGAGAGAGAGATACAGAGAGAGAGAGAGAGAGAGAGAGAGAGAGAGAGATACAGAGAGAGAGAGAGAGAGAGAGAGAGAGAGATAGAGAGAGAGAGAGAGAGAGAAAGAGAGAGAGAGAGAGAGACTACTAGAACCTACTGGATTCTCCAATTACATTGAATGAACTATAGGACAAAATACAAACCCTCCAACCCAAAAAGTCCTGTGGTGATGATGGTATCCTCAATGAAATTAAAATATATACAGACCACAAATTCCAATTGGCTATACTTAAACTCTTTAACATCATCCTTAGCTCTGGCATCTTCTCCAAAATCTGGAACCAAGGACTGATCACCCCAATCCACAAAAGTGGAGACAAATTTGACCCCAATAACTACTGTGGGATATGTGTCAACAGCAACCTTGGGAAAATCCTCTCCATTATCATTAACAGAAGACTTGTACATTTCCTCAGTGAAACAACACACATTTCTTTCCACAGGGCCGTGGAGTGAGACAGGGATGCAGCTTAAGCCTTCAACATATATATCAACGAATTGGCGAGGGCACTAGAAAAGTCTGCAGCACCCGGCCTCACCCTACAAGAATCGGAATGCCCTTTATGGTTGTGAGGTCTGGGGTCCGCTCACAAACCAAGAATTCACAAAATGCATGCAGAGCAGAATTAGTCCGATACCCGGTAATGATAAAAATCCAGAAAAGAGCCGTTAAATTCTACAACCACCTAAAAGGAAGCGATTCCCAAACCTTCCATAACAAAGCCATCACCTACAGAGAGATGAACCTGGAGAAGAGTCCCCTAAGCAGGTCCTGGGGCTCTGTTCACAAACACAAACAGACCCCACAGAGCCCCAGGACAGCAACACAATTAGACCCAACCAAATCATGAGAAAACAAAAAGATAATTACTTGACACATTGGAAAGAATTATAAAAAAAACAGAGCTATTTGGCCCTAAACAGAGAGTACACAGTGGCAGAATACCTGACCACTGTGACTGACCCAAACTTAAGGAAATCTTTGACTATGTACAGACTCAATGAGCATAGCCTTGCCATTGAGAAAGGCCGCCGTAGGCAGACCTGGCTCTCAAGAGAAGACAGGCTATGTGCACACTGCCCACAAAATGAGGTGGGAAACTGAGCTGCACTTCCTAACCTTCCTGCCAAATGTATAAACCATATTAGAGACACATATTTCCCACAGATTACAGCGATCCACAAAGAATTAAAAAACAAATCCAATTTTGATAAACTTCCTTATCTACTGGGTGTAATACCACAGTGTGCCATCACAGCTGCAAGATTTGTGACCTGTTGCCACAAGAAAAAAGCAACCAGTGAAGAACAAACACCCTTGTAAATACAACCCATATTTATGTGTATTTATTTTCCCCATTTGTAACTTTAAACTATTTGCACATTGTTACAACACTGTATATAGACATAATATGACATTTGAAATGTATTTTATCTTTTGGAACTTCTGAGTGTAATGCTTACTGTTAATATTTATTGTTTATTTCACTTTTGTTTACTATCTACTTCAATTGCTTTGGCAATGTTAACACACGTTAAGCCCTGAAGTTTGATAGGAGAGGAAGAGAGCCAGAGAGAGGCGAGAGATAGAGAGAGAGAGAGATAGAGACAGAGAGAGAGAGATCATAGAGAGAGAGAGAAGAGAGAGAGAGACAGAGAGAGAGGAGAGGCGAGAGAGCAGAGAGAGAGAGAGAGAGATACGGCCCCCCCCCCCCCCACCCAAAAAAAGGAAGACAGACTTACCGAACATCCAAACATCGCTTGCCGTGGTGAATCGCCTGAAGTTGATGGATTCTGGAGCCATCCATTTGATAGGTAATCGAGTCACAGAGGCTGTGGAAACGATTGAGAAAGATAACAGTCATCTCTGTATATATGTAGTACGTGCGGGGACACTATTTCAGATATACTTGTATTATTACTCCATATAAGATGGAAACTTTGTCTTCTGCTCTTTTCCCTAAACCTCTCCGATATACACACAACGAAAACACGGGACAGTCAGGAGCAGAGGGCAGCCGCAGCGCAGGGCCCAATGAGCAGTTTAGGGGTTCCTTGGAGGTGGCGCTGCCCATGTTCCCATAATGCTTCACAGAAGAGTGGTGTACCCCTGTGTGGAACACACCGACCACCAACCACTCCGTACCTTTGTAATATTCTTCGTCCTCGATGTATCTGGACAGGCCAAAGTCTCCCAGCTTAACACAGTCTGCTGTGGCCACCAGCACGTTCCTCACCGCTATGTCTCTGTTGGGACACAATAAACAGGGTTAGTTGAAACGGAGGTACTACCTGAAGTCATCCAATAAGAACGTAGGTTTTTGTTGTTGTTTCTGCTTTGTTCTGAGTTAAAGGGAAGATGGATGGATGTCTATGTATTACATATCTAGGAGTCTGATGAAGAGTTGTGTTTTCTGAAGAGGAATATGGTGGTCAATATGGGATATGGGTGTCAAGATGGCTGTTCTACCTGTGCACCATGTTGATTCCCTCTAGATAGACCTACCTGTGCACCATGTTGATTCCCTCTAGATAGACCTACCTGTGCACCATGTTGATTCCCTCTAGTCTAGATAGACCTACCTGTGCACCATGTTGATTCCCTCTAGATAGACCTACCTGTGCACCATGTTGATTCCCTCTAGATAGACCTACCTGTGCACCATGTTGATTCCCTCTAGTCTAGATAGACCTACCTGTGCACCATGTTGATTCCCTCTAGGTAGACTAGAGCTTTACAGATCTGCAGGCTGAAGAGAACTAGCGTTATGTTGGTCAGCTTGTTCTGGTTCTCTGTCAGGTAGTTCTTAAGCTGGAAGACAACATTAACATAATTATGGGATGGCAGACGGCAGGTAGCCTAGAGACGGGGGAACCCATCTACTATATGAGACGGTCCGGTCACACAAATGTCCTAGGTGGCAAAGGTCGGGATGGATCCTGTCATTTATCGGCGTAGTAACAAACCCCTACCTCGCGACCCCAAACTGTTCAGACCTCGGGACCCCCAAACGTTCCTACCTCGCGGACCCCAAACTGTTCATACCTCGAGACCCAAACTGTTCCTACATCGCGACCCCAAACTGGTCCTACCTAGCGACCCCAAACGTTCTCACCTCGCGACCCCCAACTTGTTCCTACATAGCCACCCAAACTGTTCTCACCTCGCCACCCCAAACTGTTCCTACCCCGCGACCCCAAACTGTTCCTACCTCGCCACCCAAACTGTTCCTACCCCGCCACCCCAAACTGTTCCTACCTCGCGACCCCAAACTGTTCCTACCTCGCGACCCCAAACTGTTCCTACCCCGCCACCCCAAACTGTTCCTACCTCGCGACCCCAAACTGTTCCTACCTCGCGACCCCAAACTGTTCCACCTCGCGACCCCAAACTGTTCCTACCCGCACCCCAAACTGTTCCTACCTCGCGACCCCAAACTGTTCAGCCCCTTCTACCTCGCGACCCCAAACTGTCTCACCTCGCGACCCCAACTGTTCCTCACCTCGCGACCCCAAACTGTTCCTAACCTCGCGACCCCACAACTGTTCCACCTCCGCGACCCAATGCCACCGCCCCAAACTGTTCCTACCTCGCGACCCCAAACTGTTCAAAACTTCTTTTTGGAAGAGAGAACATGTTGCAGTTTAAAGCTCATTTCCTGCAATTCTACACGTTGCTGTGTCTTATGTGTGTTTATATGATACTGGTGATTCAACAACATCAGTAGGGGCCCCTGGGGGGGTCGAGCCTCCTGCTCACATAATCTGGCCATGATAACTACAACATCAGTAGGGGCCCCTGGGGGGGGTCGAGCCTCCTGCTCACATAATCTGGCCATGATAACTACAACGTTTAGATCGCTGGTTAGCCTAACTTCCCTATCTAGCTGACATGTGCTAGTTGATCAACTGGACATTTCTGACAGGTTATAAATAGCTCTTTAAGGTCTGTTCAGTGAATGACATAACAAGAGGAAAACTGCATATGCACTACCCAATTTCTACTATTACAACTCTCAAGAGTTCCTACATTTTGTTTATTGTTTTATCATTAAGTTGTCCGTATTGTCCCCGTTCTGGGTCCGCATCCAGAACACGATCCGCCAGTTGAGTGTGGCTGGCCTAGAGCTTAGATAAGCTGGTCAGCAATTGAAGGGATTGCTAGATTGGTATCCCAGGTCTGACAAAGAAAATTAACCAATAAGTGAAGTTTATAAAATCCTGGCTTAAATAACATGTAACATGGCTGTCGGTCTCTTACCTCCCCATACTGGTAGAGCTCCATGACGATCCATACGGGGTTTTCCTCAATGACGCCGATCAGACTGACGATGTGGGGGTGGTTCAGGTTCTTCATGATCACTGGAGAATGGATACGTTTAACTGTTAAAGTTTTCCTTCAATTTTCATATGAAGGCTACTTATGAGAGGGAGACACACTTACTTATTAAAGTCCCAATCCAATAAAAAAAAACTTGATTTTCATATTTGATATATATATATTCACACTAGGTGGTGGGAATAATACTGTGAAATCGTAAAATTATGATAATGCCCTTTTGTTGTAAGAGCTGTTTGAAAAGACCGGCTGCGATTTCAGCCTGTTTTGGTGGGAAAACGCCTCACCAGGTGATAAATTAGTTAATAGACCAATAAGAAAGAGAGTTCCAAACCTCTCAGCCAATAACAGCTAGTTTTCAGTTGTCCCCTCCCCACTCAGACCACTCCCAGACAGTCCTAGTAAAATTCTTACTTGAGAAATTGCTCTTTGCTAAGATGCTATTTGGTTTCTTTTTGACCATTTTAGTTGAAAACAATCTCAGTAAGGTACTTAAATGTTACCCAGAAATGATTTGATATTGAGAGAAAAATGGCTGCATTGGACATAAGATGTATTATTTCTATACTATTTATGTGGTTTGTTGATGCTTATTCATGAAAGTGATCACGAAGTGTACATTTTTTTAAATAATTGACTCAAAATCCCTGAGTTTCCAGGCACTTAGAATTCCTCATTGAATAAATACAGCAACTGGTCCTCAGTGCTTGGTTTTAAGGTTTAAATAATGCAGGAGAATGAACAGACAAGGGCCCAGTTTAATCGATCCACAACTGACTTGCTCATAGGAGCAGAAGCCCATCTCCTGTTTATGTAGCGTGAAGCAGCTTGATGTACAAGTATACCCCCTGGAGAGGACGCAGGGCCTTACCCCGAATCTACCTCCGTAAAGCTGAGTGCCAAGCAAAGACTAATCGGTCCCATTTTTTGTCTTTGGTACACTCTTAGAAAAAAAGGTGCTATCTAGAACCTAAAAGGGTTATTTGGCTGTCCCCATCAGAGAACCCTTTGAAGAACCCTTTTGGTTCCAGGTAGAACCTTATTGGGTTCCATGTAGAACAACTTTCCCCAGAGTTCTACATGGAACCCAAAAGAGTTCTACCTGGAACCAAAAAGGGTTCTCCTATGGGGACAGTCGTAGAACCCTTTTTTTCTGAGAGTGTATGACTTGGCTGAGGATTGAACTCCCAACCTTCCAATCTCAGGGAAGACCAGTGAGGTGGAGAAGTGCTGAAGAAGTGTGATCAGTATTTGATGTCTACTGTACCTGCTTCACTCATAAACTTCTCCATGACGTCAGGTGAACAGTCTTTACAAGTCTTCACCGCCACGCTTAGCCTCTCCCCATTCTGGTTCACAAACACACAGAGACCAGTCACACACACACACACACACACACACACAGAGACCAGTCACACACACACACACAGAGACCAGTCACACACACACACACACACACACACACACACACACACACAGAGACCAGTCACACACACACACACACACGACCAGTCAACACACCAACACACACAAACACAGGACCAGCACACACACACACCAACACACAGAGACCAGTCACACACACCACACACACACACACACAGAGACCAGTCACACCACAACACACAACACAGTCCACACACACACACACACACAACAACACACCACAAGAACCAGTCACACAACACACAAACAACACAGAGACCAGTCACACACCACCACACACACACACACACACACACAACACACAACACCAAACCCACACACACACACAAACACACCAGAGACCAGTCACCCACACACACACACACACACACACCCAAACACACACAACCAGCACACACACACACACACACAACCAGTCACACACACACACACCACACACACAACCACACACACACACACCACACACACACCAGCAACCACACACACACACCCAACACCCACACACACAGAGACCAGTCACACACACACACACACACACACACAACCAACACAAACACACAACACACACACACAAACACACCACACACACACACACGAGACCCAGTCACACCACACACACACACACACACAACACACACACACACACAACACACACACAACACACACACCCACACACCACACACACACACACACACAACCACCACAGAGGACCAGTCACAACACACACACACACACAACACACACACACACACACACACACAGAGAGACCAGTCACACACACACACACACACACACACACACACACACACACACACACACACACACACACACACACAGAGACCAGTCACACACACACTTTAGTGTGATAAATATTTTGCCTAGTTAGGAACATTTGAGGTGTTATAATTGACTGTGGGAGTAGGGTGTCGGGAGATATACTTGCCGATTTTTTGTACATTCCTTCATAGACCTCCCCGAAAAACCCCTCGCCAAGGATCCGTCCCAGAACAATGTCATGTCGGTCGATTACATACTTCACCACTGGAACCAAGTACACAACAACACCGTGAGAAAATGTAGTATAGAATATAGAATATAGAGTATAGAATATAGAGTATAGAACATAAAGTATAGAACATAGAATATAGAGTATAGAATATAGAACATTACATATAGAATATAGAATATAGAACATCAAATATAGAATATAGAATATAGAATATAGAACATAGAACATAGAACATAGAATATAGACCATAGAACATAGAGTATAGAACCTAGAGTATAGAACCTAGAGTATAGAACCTAGAGTATAGAACATACAAAATAGAACCAAGAGTATAGAACCTAGAGTATAGAACCTAGAGTATAGAACCTAGAATATAGACCATAGAGTATAGACAATAGAATATAGCGCATAGAATAGAGAATAGAGAATAGAGAATATAGAATATAGAATATAGAACATAGAATATAGAACATAGAATATAGAACATAGAGTATAGAACATAGAATATAGAACATAGAATATAGAACATAGAGTATAGAACATAGAATATAGAGCATAGAATAGAGAATATAGAACATATAATATAGAGCATAGAGTATAGCATATATAATATAGAACATAGAGTATAGAACATAGAGCTTAGAACATAGAATATAGCACATATAATATAGAACATAGAGTATAGAACATGGAATATAGAACAAAGAGTATAGAACCTAGAGTATAGACGGTAAACGTCTACATCAGTCTCCTTAGATACTATACTATAAATGTATCCCATCCTGATAAAGCGTACGTCTCTACTTACCAGACTTTGGGCGTTCGTCAATCTCAGCGTAGATATCAGATTCTGAATGATGGACAATATTTGAGGATGTCAGTTTGTGGTAAAAACAGATGGGTCAACTTGAAACATACAGTGTAGCCATGCCCCTACACTTCTAGTTTCAAACAATTCAACACAGCCACTGTCCTTCACTATTAGTTTCAAACAATTCAACACAGCCACTGTACTGACAAATTAATCATGATATTTGTAAAACAAAGATGAAGACAGTCGTGGTAGATGACAACTCACCCATGCTATATCTGAAGGAGCCTGTGTTCTCTGTTTGACTACAGCCAGAGGAGGAGAGGAGAAGATCATTAATCCTGGGTTTGAGGTAGCTCCTCAATACACCAGGCACACTGTTACAATAACACTACCTGTCTCTTGTATACATTTATCTGACAGCCTCATGGACAGTACATCCCATGTTCCAACAAGTACTAAATATTACAGTTTGGTTTCAGTATAATGACTTGATGTGGAAATTACACAAAAGCCAAAAATATGAAGCCTTGTTCAACCAAGAGAAAGTGAATCCACTCACTTCGTGGGTAGGTCTGGTAGGGAACTTCGTAAATTGGCATCTATGGGTCACAAAAGAAGTCACGTTGGTTCAATAGACTTACGAGGGATGAGGAAACCAAGTTAGACCATTGTAATAATAATAATAATAATATGCCATTTAGCAGACGCTTTTATCCAAAGCGACTTACAGTCATGCGTGCATACATTTTTTTTGTGTATGGGTGGTCCCGGGGTTCGAACCCACTACCTTGGCGTTACAAGCGCCGTGCTCTACCAGCTGAGCTACAGAGGACCACATTGTGATGCACTCTTTCAGTGTATCCCCCTTACCATTATATACACAGGGTGGACTTCCTGATCCCCCTTACCTTTATTTGGTCTAGAGATGAACGACTCGTCAGTGGCGTGCTCCAAGCGACAGTAAGCGTCAATAAGGTCCACCATGTTTTCTGCTATCGCAAACTTAGTCACGTTGATAGACAGAGGCTGACCAAGAAGATACAAATGATTCACATTACTCACAATTACTACAATTACAATCACAATTACAATACAAACACTTTATAACATTATAATGTCATAGGGGTCATAGACGGATAGGCTTTCAGGGTAAGATGCAGGCATTTAACTCAACGATCACATCAATCAAAATGTTATGTAAAAACAAAAAGACTTAAGGACACAGCTCTCTAGTTAGAATTCAGGGCCTGTATTCATAATGTCTCTAGTTAGAATTCAGGGCCTGTATTCATAATGTCTCTAGTTAGAATTCAGGGCCTGTATTCATAATGTCTCTAGTTAGAATTCAGGGCCTGCATTCATAATGTCTCTAGTTAGAATTCAGGGCCTGTATTCATAATGTCTCTAGTTAGAATCTAAGATCAGGTTCCCCCTGTCCATATAACCTTATTCATTATGATCTAAGATCAGGTTCCCCCTGTCCATGTAACCTTATTCATTATGATCTAGGATCAGGTTCCCCCTGTCCATATAACCTTATTCATTATGATCTAAGATAAGGTTCCCCCTGTCCATGTAACCTTATTCATTGTGATCTAAGATCAGGTTCCCCTTGTCAATATAACCTTATTCATTATGATCTAAGATCAGGTTCCCTCTGTCCATGTAACCTTATTCATTATGATCTAGGATCAGGTTCCCCCTGTCCATATAACCTTATTCATTATGATCTAAGATCAGGTTCCCCCTGTCAATATAACCTTATTCATTATGATCTAAGATCAGGTTCCCCCTGTCCATATAACCTTATTCATTATGATCTAAGATCAGGTTCCCCCTGTCAATATAACCTTATTCATTATGATCTAAGATCAGGTTCCCCCTGTCAATATAACCTTATTCATTATGATCTAAGATCAGGTTCCCCCTGTCCATGTAACCTTATTCATTATGATCTAAGATCAGGTTCCCCTGTCCATGTAACCTTATTCATTATGATCTAAGATCAGGTTCCCCCTGTCAATATAACCTTATTCATTATGATTTAAGATCAGGTTCCCCCTGTCCATGTAACCTTATTCATTATTATCTAGGATCAGGTTCCCCCTGTCCATGTAACCTTATTCATTATGATCTAAGATCAGGTTCCCCCTGTCCATATAACCTTATTCATTATGATCTAGGATCAGGTTCCCCCTGTCCATGTAACCTTATTCATTATGATCTAAGATCAGGTTCCCCTTGTCAATATAACCTTATTCATTATGATCTAAGATCAGGTTCCCCCTGTCCATGTAACCTTATTCATTATGATCTAGGATCAGGTTCCCCCTGTCAATATAACCTTATTCATTATGATCTAAGATCAGGTTCCCCCTGTCCATGTAACCTTATTCATTATGATCTAGGATCAGGTTCCCCCTGTCCATATAACCTTATTCATTATGATCTAAGATCAGGTTCCCCCTGTCCATGTAGCCTTATTCATTATCATATAAGATCAGGTTCCCCCTGTCAATATAACCTTATTCATTATGATCTAAGATCAGGTTCCCCCTGTCCATGTAACCTTATTCATTATGATCTAGGATCAGGTTCCCCCTGTCCATATAACCGTATTCATTATGATCTAAGATCAGGTTCCCCCTGTCCATTTAACCTTATTCATTATGATCTAAAAGGCAACACTGTTCTCCTACTCTGAGAGTCTTTGTGAATATTGGCCCAGGCCTCACTGTCTGTCTGGCTCCGTCTATGTCCTGATTAAGCAGTACTAATAAAGTTTTTCTATATCTATTTTATTGTGTACCTGTCTGGCTCCATCTATGTCCAGGTTGAGGAGGGCTTTGCCGTCACTCTGAGATAAACACTTGATGCTCTTGATCTGTTTGAAGTCCGCTAGACACACAGCCTGGGGATGAGAGAGAAACAACACTTAAGAGCCACAGGTGTCGGCTAGAGGTTGACACAGGAATAGGACTCCCGGCAACAACATTTACATTTACATTTTCGTCATTTAGCAGATGCTCTTATCCAGAGCGACTTACAAATTGGTGCATTCACCTTATGATAGCCAGTGGGAGAACCACTTTACAATATGTTTATTTTATTTTATTTTTTGGGGGGGGGGGGGGGGGGGGGGGGGTAAGGGGGGGTAGAAGGATTACTTTATCCTATCCCAGGTATTCCTTACAGAGGTGGGGTTTCAAGTGTCTCCGGAAGGTGGTGAGTGACTCCGCTGTCCTGGCGTCGTGAGGGAGCTTGTTCCACCATTGGGGTGCCAGAGCAGCGAACAGTTTTGACTGGGCTGAGCAGGAACTGTGCTTCTGTAGAAGTAGGGGGGCCAGCAGGCCAGAGGTGGATGAACGCAATGCCCTCGTTTGGGTGTAGGGACTGATCAGAGCCTGAAGGTATGGAGGTGCCGTTCCCCTCACAGCTCCGTAGGCAAGCACCATGGTCTTGTAGCAGATGCGAGCTTCAACTGGAAGCCAGTGGAGTGTGCGGAGGAGCGGGGTGACGTGAGAGAACTTGTGAAGGTTGAACATCAGACAGGCTGCGGCGTTCTGGATGAGTTGTAGGGGTTTAATGGCACAGGCAGGGAGCCCAGCCAACAGCGAGTTGCAGTAATCCAGACGGGAGATGACAAGTGCCTGGATTAGGACCTGTGCCGCTTCCTGTCTAAGGCAGGGTCCTACTCTGCGAATGTTGTAAAGCGTGGTCCTCTGTAGCTCAGCTGGTAGAGCACGGCGCTTGTAACGCCAAGGTAGTGGGTTCGATCCCCGGGACCACCCATACAGAAAAATGTATGCACGCATGACTGTAAGTCGCTTTGGATAAAAGCGTCTACTAAATGGCATATTATTTTATTTATTTATTTTATTATTATGAACCTACAGGATCGGGTCACCGCCTTGATGTTAGCGGAGAACGATAGGGTGTTGTCCAGGGTCACGCCAAGGCTCTTTGCACTCTGGGAGGAGGACACAACGGAGTTGTCAACTGTGATGGCGAGATCATGGAACATGCAGTCCTTCCCCGGGAGGAAGAGCAGCTCCGTCTTGCCGAGGTTCAGCTTGAGGTGGTGATCCGTCATCCACACTGATATGTCTGCCAGACATGCAGAGATGCAATTCGCCACCTTGTTATCAGAAGGGGGAAAGGAGAAGATTAATTGTGTGTCGTCTGCGTAGCAATGATAGGAGAGACCATGTGAGGATATGACAGAGCCAAGTGACTTGGTGTATAGGGAGCATAGGAGAGGGCCTAGAACTGAGCCCTGGGGGACACCAGTGGTGAGAGCATGTGGTGCGGAGACAGATTCTCGCCACGCCACCTGGTAGGAGCGACCTGTCAGGTAGGACGCAATCCAAGAGTGAGCCGCACCGGAGATGCACAACTCGGAGAGGGTGGAGAGGAGGATCTGATGGTTCACAGTATCAAAGGCAGCAGACAGGTCTAGAAGTACGAGAGCAGAGGAGAGAGAGTTAGCTTTAGCAGTGCGGAGAGCCTCCGTGACACAGAGAAGAGCAGTCTCAGTTGAATGACCAGTCTTGAAACCTGACTGGTTTGGATCAAGAAGGTCATTTTGAGATAGCAAGAGAGTTGGCTAAAGACGGCACGCTCAAGAGTTTTGGAGAGAAAAGAAAGAAGGGATACTGGTCTGTAGTTGTTGACATCGGAGGGATCGAGTGTAGGTTTCTTGAGAAGGGGTGCAACTCTCGCTCTCTTGAAGACGGAAGGGACATAGCCAGCGGTCAAGGATGAGTTGATGAGCGAGGTGAGGTAAGGGAGAAGGTCTCCGGAAATGGTCTGGAGAAGAGAGGAGGGGATAGGGTCAAGCGGGCAGGTTGTTGGGCGGCCGGCCGTCACAAGTCGCAAGATTTCATCTGGAGACAGAGGGGAGAAAGAAGTCAAAGCATAGGGTAGGGCAGTGTGAGCAGGACCAGCGGTGTCATTTGACTTAACAAACGAGGATCGGATGTCGTCAACCTTCTTTTCAAAATGGTTGACGAAGTAATCCACAGAGAGGGAGGAGGGGGGGGGGGGAGGGGGAGCGGGAGGAGGATTCAGCAGGGAGGAGAACGTGGAAAAGAGCTTCCTAGGGTTAGAGGCAGATGCTTGGAATTTAGAGTGGTAGAAAGTGGCTTTAGCAGCAGAAACAGAGGAAGAAAATGTAGAGAGGAGGGAGTGAAAAGATGCCAGGTCTGCAGGGAGTCTAGTTTCCCTCATTTCCGCTCGGCTGCCCGGAGCCCTGTTCTGTGAGCTCGTAATGAGTCGTCAAGCCACGGAGCAGGAGGGGAGGACCGAGCCTGCCGGGGGATAGGGGACATAGAGAGTCAAAGGATACAGAAAGGGAGGAGAGGAGGGTTGAGGAGGCAGAATCAGGAGATTGGAGGGAGAAGGCTTGAGCAGAGGGAAGAGATGATAGGATGGAGAGAGTAGCGAAGGTTGCGACGGCGCATTACCATCTGAGTAGGGGCAGAGTTAGTAGTGTTTAAGGAGAGCGAGAGAGAAAAGGATACAAAGTAGTGGTCGGAGACTTGGAGGGGAGTTGCAGTGAGATTAGTAGAAGAACAGCATCTAGTAAAGATGAGGTCAAGCGTATTGCCTGCCTTGTGAGTAGGGGGGGACGGTGAGAGGGTGAGGTCAAAAGAGGAGAGGAGTGGAAAGAAGGAGGCAGAGAGAAATGAGTCAAAGGTAGACGTAGGGAGGTTAAAGTCACCCAGAACTGTGAGGGGTGAGCCATCCTCAGGAAAGGAGCTTATCAAGGCGTCAAGCTCATTGATGAACTCTCCAAGGGAACCTGGAGGGCGATAAATGATAAGGATGTTAAGCTTGAATGGGCTAGTGACTGTGACAGCATGGAATTCAAATGAGGAGATAGACAGATGGGCCAGGGGAGAAAGAGAGAATGTCCACTTGGGAGAGATGAGGATTCCTGTGCCACCACCCCCCTGACCAGATGCTCTCGGGGTATGCGAGAACACATGGTCAGACGAGGAGAGAGCAGGAACTCTCTCGGGAACAAGACTCCCGGGAACAAGACTCCCGGGAACAGGGCTCCCGAGTGGCGCAGTGAGCTAAGGCACTGCATCGCAGTGCTAGAGGCGTCACTACAGACCCTGGTTCAATCTCATGCTGTATCACAACCAGCTGTGATCGGGAGTCCCATAGGGCAGCGCACAATTGGCCCAGTGTCGTCTGGATTATGGGAGGGTTTGGCTAGGGGGCTTTACATGGCTCATTGCGCTCTAGCGACTCCTTGTGGTGGGCCGGGAGCCTGCAGGCTGACCCCGGTTGTCAGGTAAATGGTGTTTCCTCTGACACATTGGTAAGGCTGGCGGGCGGGTGTTGTTCCGGAGGAAACATGACTCAACATTCGCCTCCGAGACTGTTGGGGAGTTGCAGCGATGCGTCAAGATCAAAATTGGGGAGAAAAAAGGGTAAAAAAAAAAATGTGTTGACTCTTGGGGGTCCTGCGGGATTCTGGATCAAGTTTGGGACATGCTCGACAGTGCACAGGACGGGCAATACAGGAATAGTTATAAACGGAGGGTATTTTTGGGGTGGGGGGGGGGGGGGGAGTATGTAATGTGTGGAACATTTTATAAACAAAACAAAAAAACTGTGTGTATTCCTAATATAGTTTACTTAATATTATTTTATTTTTAATGTAATTTCTCCCCTTCCATCAGCTCACTCTCGCACCTCGCTCCAGTTGTAGCCATGGCCACTGCGCAGTCACTACTTTACCGGTACCTCAGATGCCAACGTACGTCAGTGAATGATGAAGCCTTCAAGAGGGGAGTTTAGTTCATCCGACTCTGAGTAAGTAGAAGGGCTGCCTTCATTGCAAAACTGGTAATGTGTTTGTTACCAGCTGTGTGTAGGGCAGGCTACTGTCTGGTGAGCGCTGAGCAGCATTCAAACGGAGCAGTAACTATGGCTAGTCACATGCAGAGCTGATTTTTTGCATTTCTGATTTCTGTGCGTAAAAATTAGTACGGGACGGGAGTGATTTTATAGGGACAGAACAGGAAAGTTCAGTGGTTACATAACTGTTGCCGAAACAGGACAGTATGGGAAAACATTTGACAGGACAAGACGGGACAGGAATGGATTTTCACTCCCGTGTCAACCTCTACACTCTCAGAAAAAAAAGGGTTCCAAAAGTGTTCTTCGGCTGCCTCCATAGGAGAACCCTTTGAAGAACCCTTTTTGGTTCCAGGTAGAACTCTTTTGGATTCCATGTAGAACCCTCTGTGTAAAGGGAATTACATGGAACACAAAAGGGTTCTACCTGGAACCAAAAAGGGTTCTACCTGGAACCAAAAAGGGTTCTTCAAAGGGTTCTCCTATGGGGACAGCCGAAGAACAGTTTTAGGTTCTAGATAGCACTTTTTTTTCTAAGAGTGTAGTGCGGGGAGAAGTTACATTTACATTTTAAGTCATTTAGCAGACGCTCTTATCCAGAGCGACTTACAGTTAGTGCATTCCTCTTCAGCTAGGTGAGACAACAACATATCACAGTAGTAGCGAGTACATTTCCCACACATTGCCCAGTAGACGCTGACCTTGGTTCAGTTTAGCATTTTCCATACTAATGGTTGAGGTAAGGATCAAGGGAGTGGAAGCTGATCCTAGATCTATACCTTGGAGAAGCTTCATCCCGGACCCAGCACAAGCTTGGGGATGGGACATGAAGAACATGAGAATCACGGCCAGAAATCGTTCACGACCATGCATTGAAAATGAACAAATGGCAACAACCATAACATCCTGCTTACCGCTGAGTCTTTATGGGTGCGTTGGCGAATGCCCCTGGCTCCAATCACCAGCTCTACTGACAGACTCCAGCCTTGCTGTGGACACATAGTTGGGTTGCAACTTAACTTTCATTTCTTGACAAAATTCAGACTCATACAATCATTTGTGGTGCCGTGATCCAAAAGTAATCAGTTATTTAGGAAAACGAAGAAAGTCCTCATTCAGGTATTTGCTTTGTACTGACTGGATCTCACTCAGGTATTTGCTGTGTACTGACTGGACCTCATTCAGGTATTTGCTGTGTACTGACTGCAAATACCTGAGTGCAGACCTTCCTAATTTTCTTGTCTGTAAAGCCAAAAGCAACACTCACCACCAGTTCGCAGGGGTAGACCTCCTCGTCAATGTTGATGAATTCTGTGAGCGTTTTGAAGAAGCGAACCATGCACTCCTCCTCCTTCAGAGTAGCGTACTGTTGGAACGTCTGCGTGATCATCTTCCGAAGGGGACGAGCCTGGGACAGAACATCACAACATTAGACAACACTTTCATAACCCTATTTTACTACGACGTCAAATAGTAAACAAGTCGATTATTTTTTTTTTGCAGGGTGAACAACGCTGCTAGCATAGAAATTATCAGAAATGATCTTTGTTGACGGAATAGTTACAGTTAGGCTCATTAACAACTTAATTTATGTTAGTAGAAACTTCCAGTAATATTTTAAAACGATCATGTGGATATCAAAATGCATAAATGTACCTTCATGCGGTCAATGAGCTCCTGTGGAAAGAACAGGTTCAGCCCCACGTCCTTCCTTCATTGGTCCAAATAAATCACATTCAGAGAGATCAGTTAGAATAAAAAAAATAAAAAATCTATCGAAACCAATGTGATAGAAAAGTTATGTGAATTGAGGTTGGTACAACAAACATGTAAAATGTAAGTACTTACTCTAGCAACTCAAAGTTGGACTTCTTCTCCAGACCTTTAGCGTTCATATCTTTATAGAACCTCCTGAGGACGAAGCGGATAAAGACTGTGTTTTATTTATTTCTGACTCACTGATGTTACCCTGATTTTTCTTTAAGATACTATTTAAATGTTCTCAGTGGTCGAGGAAGAGCTTGTAAGCATTTCACTGTATGGTTTACACCCCATTTTATTCTGTCATGTGACAAATAAACTTGAATTTGAATTGATTTAGAACAACATGATGTATACAACAACTAAGCTCTATGGACAAACCCAATGTGATGTTTGATGGTGTCTACACATGGCCTCCTGAGTGGCGCAGTGGTCTAAGGCACTGCATCGCAGTGCTAACTGTGCCACTAGAGATCCTGATTCGAATCCAGGCTCTGTCGCAGCCGGCCACGACCGGGAGACTCATGGGCGGCGCACAATTGGCCCAGCGTCGTCCAGGGTAGGGGAGGGAATGGCCGGCAGGGATGTAGCTCAGTTGATAGAGCATGGCGTTTGCAACGCCAGGGTTGTGGGTTCATTTCCCATGGGGGGCCAGTATAAAAAAATATGTATTCACTAACTGTAAGTCGCTCTGGATAAGAGCGTCTGCTAAATGACTAAAATGTAATGTAAATGGATATATAAGGAAAGCCCAACCTCACCTGATCTCCAGGCAGCCCAGCTGAAGGGCCATCCCGTCACTGACTTTACTGGCATGATACTGCATGTAGTCACTGCGCACCTAACACAGGCAACACGGACAGAACACGTTAACTGTTATCTGTATGAAGTCACTCAGCCCGGTCTCATAGAACAGACGTAACATAGTAAATGTAAATCCGGGGGACACTCAAATCAGTGTGATATGTTTTAACGGTTGGTATGGTTACACAAGACAGATGGTTACTTAAGGCAAAAACAAAAGTAGGGTGGTTGGCTGGGGTGGTCTAACATTGCCTACCGTACCTGTTGATAAAAATACAGCAATGTGGTACTGTCTTCTTTGAACTTTTCCAGGAAGTTGACTGGAATGTAGCGTACTCTCAGGTCATACCTGGGGAGAGATGAAAATACCCATGGCTTAGAGTAGGAGTCTTCAACTGATGAACATACAACTGCTTTAGAGTAGGAGTCTTCAACCTTTTCTTGGTCAGCGACCCCCTCCCAGGCAAACCCGACGCAGCACCGCAAAGCGTTATATTTTACAGTGAAGGCTAAAGCAGAAACAAACTCATTTGTCTGCGACACTTTTCGTTCGCGTGTGCGCCCGTGTGTGCGCGATTGGCTGGGGAACGGCGGCTGGCTGGTGGCTCCATTAGGAAACTCCTTTAAACCTGAAGGCTGTCATATATTGGTTCACTTATGCCCTAAAATAAATGTGTTCACATGGGCAGAATATTGTATATACATGTGTTCACATGGGCAGAATATTGTATATACATGTGTTCATATGGACAGAATATTGGTGACAAACAAGCAACCCATGGTCCTCTTCATACCTTAGCAAAAAATCATTATTACACGTCTTGTCTTGTCATATGGTGAATGATAATGGCAAGGAGAGTAATCAGCATCCGTCTCCCATTCTCCACCTCCTGCATCCCTGTCCCACTCCTCCCTGTCTCACCCCTCCTCCATCCCTGTCCCACCCCTCCTCCACCCGTCTCTCCGCCTCCACCTCCTCCACCGCTTGTCCCCACCCCCTCCACCCCTCCTCTCACCTCCACTCGGCCTCCACGTGGTGACTCTCATAGCGTTGCTCCACCTCTTCCACGGTCAGGTCTGGATGGAGCCAGTGGAGCTCATCTGACTTGAGGTGCTTCAGCAGCAGGCCATAGCAGCCTTTATACAGGATGTTAGGGCCCAACCTACCACTGGTCAGGATAGACTGCACTATAGCCTGGAGGAGAGAGAGTCAGATATCACTGCATAAAGGCTAACCCAAGTCTAAAAAAGCAGTGTCAATGAGAGTTGTGCTATCACTGGCTAAAGGGCAGTTTCGAAACAGAAACATTTATTTTGGGGGCTAGTCTGAGATGCTAGTTGAGTTATGGAAGTGTAAATACACAAACTATGTTACAGCTCAGTAACTAAGTAACGAAGTGACTTCTGTGTAGAATTGACGATAAATAAATGTCTTATTACAAAAAAAACTGTAGTAAACAGTCCATATCTAACTCCAAGGGGTTGTACACATCATGAACAGTAGCACACTTCATTTCCTACAACAGTTCCTCAATCGATCCATCCGTCAATCAATCAAAAAGTCACTGAATCAACCCATCAACCAACCAATCAGCCAATCAATAAATCAATCAAACGTATTAATGTAAATCCCTTTTGACGTCAGCAGCTGGTCAAAGTGTAGTTAATCACCCTGATCTTCCAGGAGCTGTCGCACTTGACCAGCTTGAAGTTCTTCCCAAAGGTGTTGTTGGTGGAGAAACAGACTTTGAGGATCTTGGTGGGCCTTCCCTCCCCACTGAAGGGGCTCTGTTGTGGGCCGTCGTTGTGGCCTGGGCTGGGTAGCCTCCAGGACAGGGTGGTAGTGTCTCCCTGCATCACCTCGTACATTCTCAGGGCAGAGAGAAGGATAACGTCATACTGATATCATACCTGGGGAGAGGGAGAGAGGAGGGGGGGGGAGATAGGGGGGCGGGGAGAGATAGGGGAGGAGAGATAGGGGAGGAGAGATAGGGGGGGAGAGATGGAGGGGCGAGAGGGGGGGGAGAGAGGGGACGGAGGGGGGAGAGATAGAAGGGGGGTTATGCCATCATCCCCAGTATGAGACAGACAGTGTCGTCAGTCAGCAAGATACCTGGTAACTCTCCCACTCTGGATCAATCCAGTCAAACCCTTGCAGTACTTAAATTCAGCAGTAACATGCTTTACATAGTAATAATGCTATGCTGTGTACTATAGTATCAGATGTGGTTCTGACTCACTTAACAGTTGATTTTCAGATGTGATCTACTGATAGCACAACATTCCTGTCTTTTACTTCATGTGAAGGCCTGTATAAATCACAAGGTAAACTCACATGGCAAGACTTGTAGGCCTACACACACCACGTTCAGTATCTATTCTACTGCCTCAGACGACATAGTGCTATGTAGAACCATTTGTTTCAGTAGGAGAACCCTCTGAAAAAAGGTTTCAGATAGAACCCTTTCAGGTGAGATATAAAAACCTTTTTGGTTACTAATCGAGTAGCAGCCTTTCAGAGGTGCTATGTGGAACCAGAGGTTCTATGTGGAACCAAAAATGGTTTAATATGATCCGAAAAGAGTTCTATCTGGAAGTTATTTTTAGAGGGTTCTCCTACAGGTGACAAATGGTTGTATATGCCACAATTTTTTTCTGAGCGTGTACTGTATAAAAACCAACCAACTTCAGTTGATTTTCTTATGAATTAATTTCTAAATGCAAACGCAACAAACAACATTGAACAACATTTCAACACGGAGGTGTTGAACCTAAAGCCGTACTTGACATAAACCAATGACAGTAACAACATGAACTTGTTGGCCAGAAGCTGTAAAGGGAAAACACCAGAGAAACCCCCCCAACTCCAAACTATCAGACCTTTTAACACAACACTAGGAGTGAGGACAAAAGGGGTAAGCCTGTTTTCTAAGCTCTGTCAATAGTACGTTACGCAACAAGCACACTTCACCACGCTCCATTTTCTCTACAGTGTGTTCTAAGGATGGGGGGGGGGGGGGATGGGGGGGGAATCAACACAGTAGAGTATTGCGATATTATTTTTGACGATATTATATAGATTCTATGACTTTCTATGGAGAAAATAAATTTTATTAGGTAGCTAGTTGGCTGTACCTCCACCAAATCTCTGCTATTTCTCCTTGGCCTCAATCTTATTTTTCAATGGTGAGCCATGTTTTCAGCACTTTTATGTCCATGACTGATCAAAACTCATTCTATCATAATGGCTCTCTCTTGTCCCTCCGCAGCAGACATATGGTGAGCAATGTGTTTGAAAAATGTATGCACTCGCCAACTGAAAGTCGCTCTGGATAAGAGCGTCTGCTAAATGACTAAAAATGTAAAATGTAAAATGTCCCTAAGTGTGGTGATAATATTGTATTGTGAGGTACCTGGCAATTCCTAGCCCTAGTGTATTCTGTAGTGAGGCACAAACCTGAGTTCAAGTACTATTTGAAATCTTTCAAATGTCTTTGAGTCTTTGCTGTAGTCTGCCTGGATGTCAGATGGGCAGGGTTTGAGACTACTCCATTGGTTCCATTGTGCCAGGCAAGGTCAATCAAGCCTAGGTAAAGTATTTGACATTATGTCGAATAGTATTTGAACCCATGTCTGGTGAGGCAAGCTGTGGTCACCATGGAGCCAATCATGTGTTTGTTCTGTCTTACTTCAGACAATCACACCTCAACAGGAAAAATGTCCAGGGCTCAGTTTGTCAAAAGTTATTTCACCTATTGGAGTTCACCTGTGGGAGTTCACCTATCGGATTTTACCAATCGAAGTTCACCAATCGGAAATAAGAAATAGATAACGTTTGTAAAGCTGGGCCCTGAAGATTAAAGCAGATTCTGTACTAACCAACCGGCCGGCTAGCTTCAACAAACTACTGATGATAGACTGCAAGTGATCATTAGGGTTGTACAAACAACAAAGGGTAAACAGCCACACACCTGGAAATGCTCCTGCCACAAACAGTATCTCTATATTCTAAATGCTCCTGCCACAACCAGTACATCTATATTCTAAATGCTCCTGCCACAACCAGTACATCTATATTCTAAATGCTCCTGCCACAACCAGTACATCTATATTCTAAATGCTCCTGCCACAACCAGTACATCTATATTCTAAATGCTCCTGCCACAAACAGAATCTCTATATTCTAAATGCTCCTGCCACAAACTGTCACGATCGTTTATGGATGAGACGGACCAAGGCGCAGCGTGATAAGCGTACATTTTATTACGTACTTAACACACGACACAAAACAACAAACAAACGATACGTGAAGTCCTAGGTTACACAAAACAAACCTTTACGGAACAAGATCCCACACCGACTAGTGCCAAACAGGCTGCCTAAGTATGGTCCCCAATCAGAGACAACGAGCTACAGCTGCCTCTGATTGGGAACCACCCTGGCCAACATAGATCTACACGATCTAGAAAACACAACATAGAAAATATGATCTAGAAACTCCACACCCTGGCTCAAAAGTTAAGAGTCCCCAGAGCCAGGGTGTGACACAAACAATATCTCTATATTCTAAAGGCTCCTGCCACAAACAGTATCTCTATATTCTAAATGCTCCTGCCACAAACAGTACATCTATATTCTAAATGCTCCTGCCACAAACAGTACATCTATATTCTAAATGCTCCTGCCACAAACAGTATCTCTATATTCTAAATGCTCCTGCCACAAACAGTACATCTATATTCTAAATGCTCCTGCCACAAACAGTATCTCTATATTCTAAATGCTCCTGCCACAAACAGTATCTCTATATTCTAAATGCTCCTGCCACAACCAGTACATCTATATTCTAAATGCTCCTGCCACAACCAGTACATCTATATTCTAAATGCTCCTGCCACAACCAGTACATCTATATTCTAAATGCTCCTGCCACAACCAGTACATCTATATTCTAAATGCTCCTGCCACAAACAGAATCTCTATATTCTAAATGCTCCTGCCACAAACTGTCACGATCGTTTATGGATGAGACGGACCAAGGCGCAGCGTGATAAGCGTACATTTTATTACGTACTTAACACACGACACAAAACAACAAACAAACGATACGTGAAGTCCTAGGTTACACAAAACAAACCTTTACGGAACAAGATCCCACACCGACTAGTGCCAAACAGGCTGCCTAAGTATGGTCCCCAATCAGAGACAACGAGCTACAGCTGCCTCTGATTGGGAACCACCCTGGCCAACATAGATCTACACGATCTAGAAAACACAACATAGAAAATATGATCTAGAAACTCCACACCCTGGCTCAAAAGTTAAGAGTCCCCAGAGCCAGGGTGTGACACAAACAATATCTCTATATTCTAAAGGCTCCTGCCACAAACAGTATCTCTATATTCTAAATGCTCCTGCCACAAACAGTTCTCTATTTTTTAAAATGCCCCTTCCCAAAAACCAGTACTCTATTTTTCAAAAATTCCCCGGCCAAAAAAAAAAGTCATCAAAAAACAAAATGCTCCTGACAAAAAAGGGGTTTTTAAAAACCCTTGGAAAAAGGGGTAATTAAAAATTTCCAAAAAACCAAAAAGTTCCCCAAAGAAAGTAACAATTTTAAATATCCCCAAAAGTAATTAATAAAAATCTCCCCCAAAAGAAACCCGTACAAACCCATAAAACTACTTCCCCTTATTTAAAAGTCCCCCCCAAACCTATTCCCCTTTTTTAAAAATTCCCCCCAAAACTTTCCCCTCTTTTTATAAGTCGCCCCCCTATCTTATTTCTAAATTAACCAGGGCAAAAAAAACCAATGCACATTTTAAACAAAATAACTCCCCGGGGACGGACGGGGGGGAAAAAGGGGAAAAAGGGTTGGGGTGGCCTTGGGTTTTAAAACCCTTAAAAAAAAAACATTAAACAAAGTACACCCTTAGTATTTTTAAGGGGCGAAAATTAATCCCCCCCTAAATGGGGACGGGGGCCCTTTCTATTTTTCCCTTCGTAGAGTCAGGGGTATTTTTAGTTTAAAGTCCCCCCTTATTTTTCCCCCGGTAGTGGGTTGTGGAGCCTTTTTTATTCCCCTTAGAGAAAGAAAGTTAGGTTTTCCCCCCTTTCTTTTTCGGTTTTTGTTTTTTGAAAAAAGGGCCGGTTTTCAGTCCAGAACAACCGGCGGGAGGGGCGGGGGAGGGGGGCTGGGGCCGGGTGGTATCCCCAAAAAAGGCTTCCACGTTTTGGGGTATGTTTTTAGCCTGATAAATTTTACCCCCAACGGGGGGGTGTTTTCCTCCTGTTGGGGGGGGTTTTGGGTCGGCGTTGCTGGTTGTTTTGGTTGTTGCCTGGGGCTTCCCCCTTTTGGTCCCCCCCCCTGGGGAGGGTTTTGGGCGGGGTGGTTGGGGGGGTAGGGGAGGAGGAGAGGGAGGGGGGGTTTGGGGAGGGTGGTTTGGATTAGGGTTGGAGGGAGGTTTTTGGAGGGAGGTTGGGAATCCTTAAAGGGGGGCCCTTGGAACCAAGGGTTTGGGGTTGGGGGGTTTTGGGAGGGGGTTGGTGGGAAAATTGGGGGGACCCCCCAAGGGGGTTTTTGGGGGGGGAAAAAAAGGGGAGGTTAGGGAGGGGGGGTTTGGAGGGGGGGAGGGGGGGGTTGGAGGGAGGGTTGGGGGGGGGTAGGAGGGAGGGTTGGAGGGGGGTTTTTTTAAATTGGGGGAGGTATGGGGGGAAAGGGTTGGGGGGGGGTTGGGGGGGGGTTGGGAGGGATTTTTGGGAGGGAGGTATGGAGGGGGGGGTTGGAGGGAGGTATGGGGGGGGGGTTTTGGGGGGAGGTAGGGGAAAGGGGGGGTTGGAGGGGGGGGGGGTAGGGAGGGGGGGAGGTAGGGAGGGAGGGTTGGAGGGAGGTGGGGGTTTGGGAGGGAGGTAT